ATATAAAGTCTACCAGAGGTGCTTGGAGAGGGAGATTTTAGAACCCCCGGTGAGTATTCTAAGACCGTGGTCTCCACCTGGCAGTTGGCAGGATGCCACGTTTCACTCGGTGTGAGCGCTGGGCAAGGCTGCCTTCACAGGCGGAGAGGGCTCTCCCAGCACTCAGGGTGGCACTGCAGCACTGGGCTGCATTGTGCGGGATGACTGGGGTCTGTGTCTGGCTTGCGCACTGTGGCCTCCGCCAGGGCTGCTCCGGAAGTCCGGTCTGGTGCTGACCTTCCGCAAGTGAGAGTGCATCCAGCCAGGGACAGGCAGGTACTGTGCCACCGCAGAGCCATCCGACTCCCGCCAGAAAACATGACTTTGGTTTAGTATCTAAGGGGCTGGCTTCTTGCTTCTTTTTCCTGGAAGTGACCCTGGTCCAGAATCATATATTTGAATATAATAATTAATTTAACAAATACAAAATTTCAGCATGATAATGTTACCTGGAAATTACCCGCAATTTTTATTCATGAACTTTTGTCCATTAGCTAATTAAATAGCACAGTTTGGAAAGTACATTTTTACTTCATTTTATCCAAGTTGGAAAGAGGTGGAATGACAGTGTAGACAGTCGCTCCCACTGGGAGAGAAAAGAAACATGATGCGTTTTCTGAATACTGCAGAGATCCGGGCAGGCAGTGCTTGGACTGACCCGAGGCCAGCTGTCTGCTGTTATGTGAGCGGGCTGCCCTGAAGGTTGCCACTCCACGGCAGTTGTCATGCTCACCAAGTCTCAAGAGAGGACACTGATTTTCTTCTGCACACTGCCTTTGTGTATTTACAGAATAAATCAATTTCAAAAAATTAATTTGTTTTTATTTATGCAGCAGAGTGACAGAAGGGTAAGAGGGAGAATGAGAGAGGGCTAGAGAGACTACAATTCCCTGGTTCCCAGGTGACTTTGGCAGCTGGGAATGGGCCAGGCCTAAGTTAGGCATCTGAGACTTTGTCTGGGTCTCCCACATGGGTTGAGGGGCCCAGGTACTTAGACTGTCACTCATTGCTTTCTCAGGCTTGTTAACAGCGAGCCAGATTGAAAGTGCAGTGTCTGGACCTGAAGCTCTCCCCCAAGAGTGGGATGCTGGGATTGTCAGCCACAGTGCAACCTGCTGTACAATTGGTTATTCACCCTTTCCTTCTCCTAGGAATTCTATAGTTTAACTGTTGGGTTAGGGCCTGGTGTGATGGCTCAATTTGTTAATTCTCGTCTTGTAAGCAGCAGCATCCCATATGGGTACCGGTTTGTGTCCTGGCTGCTCTATTTCCCTTCCAGCTTCCTGCTTATGGCCTGGGAAAACAGCAGAGGATGACATAAAGTCTTGGGACTGTGCATCCACGTAGGAAACTTGGAAGAAGCTCCTGGCTCCTGGCTTCAGATGGGCTCAACTGCGGGCTTTGCAGCCATTAGGGATCCAAGTAGATGGAAGATCTTTCTGTGTCTCCTTCTCTGTGCAAAATCTGCCTTACCAATAAAAAGACATCTTTTAAAAAATGTTAAGTTTAGAAGTTTAATCCATTTTATGAAGATCTAGTTATTTTACTTGGAAAACAGGAGAGAGGAGAGTCCCTTCTGCTGGCTCTGTCCCCGAGTGGCTGCAACAGCCAGAGCTGACATGATTTGAAACCAGGAGCCAGGAGCTTCTTCCAGGTCTCCCAAGCAGGTAAAGGGTCAAAAGACTCAGGCCATCCTTCACTATTTTCCCAGGCCACATACAGAGAGCTGGATCGGATATGGAGCATCCGGAACACAAAGCAGCACCCACTGGGACGCCAGGGCCACCGGGTGGAGCACTAGCTGCCTGCACCATGACGCTGGTCTCTTCACTCATTTTGTTTTGTGTGAGGCCTGAATGCAACTTATACTTTTGCATGTACATCCAACTATGCTATTTTCTGTGTGTCTGCCATGCTTCTATAATTAAATCCCCTGCTTATTAAATTGTGCAAAAATAGGACTTGTATATCCATGTTGTTCTGATATTCAAAATGAAATATATCTTCTTTCAATTCTCCCACTTTAAAATGGTATAAAACATTCATTAAGTTTCTATTTTCATAGGGGATAAATTAGAATTTCATGAGCCTCTTAAAAATTAAACATTTTGTGAGTTGATGAGACTAAATTATGAGGCATAATTAGGCAAATTCACAGGTGGGAGATAACCCTTCCCTTTCCACTCAGCTTTTCTTGTTGGGGATGAGACCTGACTTTAGGCTAAGGCAGGCGCTGGGCTTGGGGGGCTCCTGGAAGACACTCAGAACCCTTACACTGCAAGCAGTGAATAACTGCCACGCAATTTAGTGACCTGAGTTTATTCTGTTTAGGAATCACTATTGCCTGCTGTGTTTCTATATTGTTTCCAGAAACACATTAGGGTCTAAATTAACGTAAAAGTAGGCCATGGAAGGATTTCTCCTTCAGGTCAGTCATGTCTTCCCTCTGAAAAAGGAGGTAAAAAGAGCCAGAGGATTGCCTCATTCCGCCAGACACGCTGCCTGGAGCGGGCTGCCTGGAGCGGGCTGCCTGGAGCGGCCTGCCTGGAGCGGCCTGCCTGGAGCGGGCTGCCTGGAGCGGCCTGCCTGGAGCGGGCTGCCCGGAGCGGCCTGTCTGGAGCGGCTGCAGCGCGTAGGCAGCCCTGCTCTGAAAGTCTCCATCACAGGTGGCTGGGCTGCTTCCGGGCCGTGGGATCCTCTCACACAGGATGCTACACCTTGTAGTTTCACACACAGGGAGCTCTTGGATAGTCTTTGGTGTGCATTGGACAGCTGAAAACAGACAGGTGTCAAGTGAGCTATTATTTTTAATGACCACCAATTAAGGAAGACCTTTGGCCTTCAAACAGCCCTACCATTAGGTACCCATGCTAAGCTTGATGCTTCACTCAGGGAGCTGGGGCTGAGAGCGTAGACAAGGCAGCTCTCTCCCTCTGCTCAGGCTTTCTGTCAGGCGCATCACTTCCTGGGGAAGTCTCCTGCCCACTCCCTGTCGCTCTGGGATAATAAAATCCTCCCCTGTGCTCAGGGAATGCGAACAGATAACTGAGGATTATGGAATCCCGTTGCTGATTCTGGTTGAGATTTTTCACACGGATTTTCTGTGTGTACATGGAGAGAGAGGATTTTTTTTTTCCATCTGGGAAAATGGAAGCTTGTACTACAACTCTCCCTTTAGTGCAACTTGAGGGAATTCTGCATGTAATTGAACAAGACAAACTGAGCAAGAGAAAAAAGTTTTTTGTTAGTTATTAAGCTTAGGTCTATTTCTGGAATGAAAAAGTTACTCTTCCTGGCTTACTTTTAGGCATTCAATAGTTATATTGTTCATGGATCCAGCAAGTGGACTAGTGGCTAAAGTCCTCACCTTACATGCACTGGGATCCCATATGGGCGCCAGTTCTAACACCAGTGGCCCTGCTTCCCATCCAGCTCCCTGCTTGTGGCCTGGGAAAGAGGTGGAGGACGAAGGCCTAACCCCTTGGGACCTACACCCGCATGGGAGACCTTGAAGAGGCTCCTGGCTCCTGCCTCCAGATCAGCTCAGCTCTGGTCGTTGCAGCCACTTGGGGAGTGAATCATCCAACGGAAGATCTTCCTCTCTGTATATATGACTTTCCAATAAAAATAAATAAATCTTTAAAAAAGAATTATTGTGGAATGATGCAATAAGAAGGCTGCAAAGCTGTGCTGCAGGCAGGGTGTTTGGTTATCTGCAGTTGGTCAAGGACAAGTGACCACAGCTGGCAGATCTATTATACATATCCCCCCCACACCTCCCCCCTCAAACAAAAAACTCATGAACAAGACTGGAGGAAGAGCAAAATCACTTGCAATTGTCAAGAAAAAACATTTTATTCTCTTAGAATAAGCCAGTCTAACTAGTAACACAGGTGCTAACATCTTCATTTGATGCAAGTGATTGGAAACAGGAAACAGGAGGCAGAGGCGTGCCTTTCCAGCTTGGGCTGTCCTCCTCCCACTCTCCTGGCCCTAGCGGAGTGGCTCAGTTACCGCCACGGAAGATACAACATGCACATCTATCACAAGGAAACACTTCAGCAAATATAAAAAACCTGCACTGCTGTAGATATGAGACAATTACGAAGACACACAGACACGCATACAATTCTCCAAATATCCATCCAGAGGTCTAGAGCCTATTTCTCTCCAAGTGCTCAGACATCACTTAAATGTTCAAAATTGCAAAAACACCCGGTCACTGACTGTAAACTAGAAGTAGAAATGGATAAGCACGAGTTGGCTGTTAAGACCTCGCCGCTGGATGAATCTTAAGTCAAATGTAAAATATTAAAACAGCAGTTTCGGATGGGTTGAGAATTCCCAACAGAGCAACAGCGGACAGCGAAAAGTGCAGCGAGATAACGTGCTGCCCACAAGGTCAGAAGAGTTCCTGGATACTTTTCATTTTGTTGCTGAAGTTCTCATTTCTCAGATTTCCCCCTCTGCTCGGCTGGGTCAGTGCACGGTGCGTTCGGGTCCCTGGGAGCGCTCAGCGTCCTGTCCCGCGCGCCCACCCCTGCCCTCTCTGCTTTGCACCTGCCGAGTGGCCAGCCAAGCACCAGCTGATAGGCAATGTTTCAGTTGGAGTGGCCGGGTCACTCCGTGGTCCGGGAGAACTCCAGAAAACAAAGCCACAGCCAAGCTCCACGTCTGAGCTCGTGGGGACGGCTGGGGCGCGGGATCCCCGCGCACAGCGAGCGGGATCCGTCCCAGTGTCCACTCCCCGCAGCCCGCGCCTCAGCCCGCGCTGGACGCCGGAAGCTCAGGCGGAGCAGCCCGGAACTCCTCGCGGGGAGCGCGTCTGGGCTAGGACTACAACTCCCGGCATGCGTGGCGGCCAAAGCCGGCTCTATACCTGCGCGTCGCTTGGTTCGTTCTGTTTTGTACCCTAGACGCAGACCTCTGCTGAGAAACTGCCAGAGGTATTTTCTCAGGACGCCGTAGGCCTCTGTGGCGGACGCGGGGCCTGGACTGGCGTGTGCCCTCTGGGTGGCTGCGGAACGCTGCGTGCGCCGGCGGAGTTTCCGCGGGGGACGGCGTTAGCCGCCGCACGCCGAGACGCGGCAGTTTCGTTCCCCGGTGGCGGCGGAGCGCAGGGAGGCGGGCGCGATGGCGCTGAGCGGGCTCATCAGGAAACTCGGTAAGCGCGCAGGCCGCCGCGGGGCCGGGTGGGAGCCGGGTGGGAGCCGGGCTGCGGGGACCAGGTGGGAGCCGGGCTGCGGGGCCGGGCTGCGGGACCAGGTGGGAGCCGGGCTGCGGGGCTGAGCTGCGGGGCCGGGCTGCGGGACCAGGTGGGAGCCGTGCTGCGGGGACCGGGTGGGAGCCGGGCTGCGGGGTCAGGACTGAAGGTGCGCCTCCATCCTCCCCGCCAGGGCACCGGCTGGCCGAGATCCGTGCGCGCGCGCTCCGGAGCCTGCTGTGCAAGCTGGAGCACCGGCTGCTGGCCGACGCCGAGCTGGTCCACGAGCGCCTGCTGTTCCTGCACCTGCTGGAATGGTTCAACTTCCCCTCGGTGCCCATGAAGGAGGAGGTGCTGACGCTGCTGCAGCGGCTGGTGAAGGTAGGCCGGCCTCGCTGGAGGGGGCCGGGGCCGGCAGGTGGTCCTCCTCCTCCCGGGGTCGCCGCTGCCTGTGGCTTCAGCTCCGTTCTCACTCCTGCGGTCATCGCTGGGGGCCAGGGGCCCTTCCTCTGCTGCGTTCCCTTCTGACCGTTGCGTGTCACAAGTGGTGGTGTCTGTGTGCATAACAACACGTTGAGCCTCACCATACAGAGCTCGGTGCACGGTTGTGTAAAGTTGATGTCCCGACGCCTGTCGCACCAGGAGTTCGATGCCAAGGGTCAGCTGTAAACTGGGAGGGGATGCCGACCCCCTGGCATCCTGTTGGCTGGTTGGAGTGGGACAGGAGGGAGGTGAGAGAAGTAAGCCTGGCGCTGTTGGGTGTTTGGGTTGCCTGCCGTGTTACCCAGTGTTCTGTACTGGTCTTTATGCGTCCCGTTCACGGGAGCTGTGCTGGGCGTAGGAACGCAGGGCTTGGAGAGGAGCATCCGGGACGTTTGGCTCGCTGCAGGATGGCTTGGAGAGGAGCCTCCGGGACGCGGCAGGTGGTGTCTGGTTTGGCTTGCTGCAGGATGGACGTGCGACATCTCCCTCCTTGTAGCCCCTCTCAGCCTGTCTCCTGTGTTGCAGTTTCCTGCAGCTGTCCAGCATCTGGTCGACCTCGGTGCAGTGGAGTTCTTCTCCACGCTTCGTCCTCACGTGGAGCCCAGCCTGCAGGCGGCCATCGACGGCATTCTGGATGGGCTGTTCATCCTTCCCTCGGAAACGCCTGTGCTCGACCCTGCCCCTGCCCCTGCCCAGGCCAACCCAACCGGTAACTCTGGGTATCAGTCTGGTGGTGGGGATGCATTTTAAGGAAAGAGGCATTGGATTAAAAGGGAGTATTCTTTCACTCTTCCCACAGTTACGCTTGCGTTCACTGACCTCACTTTGACCCTTCTCTCCCTCCTCTGGTGATGCTCAAAGGAAGATACATTTGTATTTCTTGCTTTGTGGTGGCCTTAAAAGGCGCAGAGACTTTGGGGGTGTGCTACAAGTTGGATAGTGTATCTCTTTACGCCAACAGCACACTGTTCTCTGAGCGTGCATGGCGGATCAGGGTGTGCTGAATGCTTTGCAAACTGGGCCTCTGGTGTCTGCCCTAGTCTACAGGGAAACCTGACGTGATGTGAGTGTTTTACCTGGACGTACTTCTCAGCAGTGATGGGAGGCGACAATGGGACACTGCCCTGGCCTGGGATGTGGTAGTGCAGCGAGATCTTAGCTGCTCCTAGGATTCTTGCTGTTACTTAATTTTTTAAAAAAGATTTATTTTCTTTTATTGGAAAGTCACATTTACAGAGAAGGAGAGACAGAGGAAGATCTTCCATCCCCTGATTCACTCCCTAGGCAGCTGCAATTGCTAGATCTGAGCTGATCTGAAGCCTGGAGCCAGGAGCTTCTTCCGGGTCTCCCATGTAGGAGCAGGGTCCCAGGGCTTTGGGCCATCCTTGACTGCTGTCTCAGGCCACCAGCAGGGAGCTGGATGGGAAGCAGGCTGATGGGATTAGAACTGGTGCCCATATGGGATCCCGGCATGTTTTAGGCAAGGACTTTAGCTTCTAGGCCACCACACTGGGCCTGTTTTGGTACGCTTAAGGTCATCATTTGATTAACATGCTGTTAGTTTTGTTCTATAGATGAGAACAGAAATGTAAGGAAACTGCAGCAAAATTACCCTGTTTTCAATTTTGTGACAGAGCCAGGATTTTGCTTGATCTGGCTCCAAACCTTGCGTGGTTTCTAACTATTTCTGTATTATTTATTTATTGCTTTATAACTTCCGAGTTCATCTAAACAACTGACTTTTCAGCAGGATGGACTGATAATCTCTCTCAGTATTGGGGATTCCTGGTAGGGGAATTAGTAGCACAAATTTTAAGATTACGTCTTTGTCTCTTGTCATTCTTTTTCTCATTGTAACTGAAGTAGTGCAGTGCTCTGAAAGGTGATGGTTGAGTCCCCTGTTGGGCGGGTTTTTAAGGTATGGAGAACATTGCAGAAGTTAGGGGCTACCTGAAGAGAGCAGGAGGTGGGAGTGGTGGCTGAGGAGCTCCTGGCCAGTGCTGGCCCGCGCCTGTGGCAGCTTCTTCCTGGCCAGTGCTGGCCCGCGCCTGTGGCAGCTTCTTCCTGGCCAGTGCTGGCCCGCGCCTGTGGCAGCTTCTTCCTGGCCAGTGCTGGCCTGTGGCACCTTCTTCCTGGCCGCCATGGGTGGTTTCATTCTAATACACAGTTCTTACTTGCTGAACAGTAGGAGAGGAGAAACGCCTCATTAGCAGTTGGTGTAGTGTTCACATTTTCTCCTTTCGGGGAAGGTAGTCTGTTCAGAAAAAAATAAACTTCTGTTTTGCTTTGTTTTATCTTTAAAGTGATTGAAAAACTTAAAATATTGCTATTTTAGAAGAGTAAGTTTCATTCTTTGCAGGTAATGAATCAGTGATGCACTTATGCTTATCTGTGTATATATATTTTTTTCAGAACTGTCACAGCAACCTGTAACGTTAACAGGATATTTTCCCCAGGACAGAAGTAGCGCCCAGCAGATGGAAATGTCTTCACGACCGCCAGGTGTGTACATGTAGGGATGTAAAGCCTATTGACTTTGTAAATCAAAAGGTGATACTTCCCTTTATTGCTGGCAACACATACTGTGATGAAAACTTGGATGCTTTAGCACCAAATGAACTTTCCTCTCTTTAGTTGGCTTGGGCGTAGCATGCGCATGGTGTCACATGCTTCGGTCTGCATTTGATGGCAGTAGCACCCTAGTGCTTCTTGAGCTGCTTGTCCCGCCGTGGAGCGTGTCCTGAGCTCGCTGACCGCTGACTTCTCCCGGGAGCCTTGTCTGCAGGCCGCCGCTCTCGGAAGGCCCCTGGGCCACTTCCGGAGAGACCTGCCTGCTGACTCCTACCTGTGTTGCTGTGTTTCACTCTCTTCCTAGCACATGGCTTGTCCTTGCTGGTCTGTCTCCTCTGGTAAGTGTACTGCAGGCTGTGCGTGCCACTGCGAGACCCGTGTCAGGATGCATTCGGTGCTCCTCGGTTGCCGTTCTGTTCTTTTTACTTTGTCTTTCTTTTTTCTTAAAGATTTATTTCATTTTAATTGGAAAGTCAGATATACAGAAAGGAGGAGAGACAGAGAGGATCTTCTGTCTGCTGCAACAGTCAGAGCTGAGCGGATCTTAAACCAGGAGTCAGGAGCTTTTTTTGGGCTCCCGTGCAGGTGCAGGGTCCCAAGGCTTTGGGCCGTCCTTGACTGCTTTCCCAGGCTGCAAGCAGGGAGCTGGATGGGAAGTGGGGCCACTGGGACTAGAACCAGCGCCCATATGGGATCACGGTGTGTGTAAGGTGAGGCCTTCAGCCACTAGGCTACTGCTCCAGGCCCTCAGTAACTACACCTAATGAATGCATCTTGCTGGAGTCCCAGTGAGATGATGATGATTATGGTAATGATTTCTAAAGATTCTTTTTTCCCCCGGAAAGGCAGATTCACAGAGAGAAGGAGAGACAGAGAAAGATCTTCGTCCACTGGTTCACTCTCCAACTGGCCCCAGTGGCTGGAACTGAGCTGATCTGAGACTGGGAGCCAGGAGCTTCCTCTGGGTCTCCCTCTTGGGTTCAGAGTCTCAAGACCATGGGCCATCCTCCACTGCTCTCCCAGGCCCCAGTGGCTGGAGCTGGAAGGGAAGTGGAGCAGCTGGGGCATGAACCGGTGCTTTTGGGATCCTGGCGCTTGCAAGGCGAGGATTTAGCCATTGAGCCATTGCTCCAGTCTGGAGATTAGTACTGTCACCGACCCTGTGTCATTGATGAGATCACTGAGCTTTAGTAAAGTTAAGAACTTGGTTCTGGGGGAAACAGGAGAAGGTTCAGTAAAGAGTGCATGTCAACATTTTATGCCTGCGGAGTTGGGTGAAGAGAGTGTCCAAGAACTTAACTGCAGACGCCAGGTATTCGTCTGAGCTCAGCTGGGAGACTTGTTATTGAGAAGCCTTCGTGGGAACTTGTGGGTTGTAGAACAGCGGAAGAAAGCTGTTGTTGTTAAGCTGTTGAAATAATTAGCCTTTGTTTCTTGGAAAACGTTTGGTAGGCTGCTAGGCGAATGTGTTTCTGAGGCAAGGTGGTGGATGCAGTGTTGGTGCGTGAGAGGCCCAGTGGAGCGGTGGTAGAAGGCTCCTGGCGGGAACACGCACCTGTCGTGGCTTGTAAGATGGGGATGAGAGCGTGAAGGCCAGCTGGCATTGGTTCCCAGTTTTATGGGAGTCAAGGTTTGTCTGAATTCCTGGTATGGTTTATTTGGACACCTCTTTACCTGTGCAAGCTGTCCCACCCTCTGCTCACTCGGGTTTCTTTAGGAGGGAGGCCCTGCCTTTTCCCCGGGGTTCTTTTGTAGGAGCAGCTCTGCCCATTGGGGGACTTCATGGGAATGTTGTCTCCGCTTAATGATCCCGTAGTCTTTTCCAAGCACTTGGCGGAAAGACTCATTTGCTGTTTTGAAGGGTTATATGCCCACAGATACCATCTCTGTGTTGCCATGGTAACTTGTAAAATATAAGATCTGTTAAAAATTTGAGTGGAGTTGTTTTAAAATTATGTTGGTTTCTCAGATTTGTTTGAACATTGCTTGAGTAGTTATTTTTGGTCTTCAAGCTATCTTCATAAAGGTTCAAATGTCTTTTATATGTGGTATTTGAAGATGGCCAGCTGTAGCATATGATCATATTTATACAATTTCAGGTTGCTAAAGGTAAAGGCTTTCCCCAAATGCTGTTTTCTTTTTACAGTTGAGGTTGATGTTCTGGTCAACCAAGGGTAAAGTAGAAAATTTAATTGAAACCTGGAATGTCATTCAGTGTTGGATTGCTTGCACTCTCGTGCTAATTGCTTTAATATGATACAGGTTGTTTATGAAAAGAAAGAGCCTGGTGTTTATTCGGTGATAGAACAGCTTGGCAGCTGACCTCTGTAGGATATTTTAGGTTACTCTTTAGTTATAAGCTTTATTTTGGGACTCACTTTACAGGTGAAGCCTCACTTTTAACATTGTCAATCTGTCATCTTTGTTTTCCGACACCTGCACGCTGGCCGTTCCGAGAACAGTGCATCCGAGTGTGAAGTGCTTGAAGGTTTCCACGTTTCCTTGGCTCCCGCTGACGACGACAGACAGGCACGTCCTCTCCTCCAACGAGAGGTAGGGTACAGTGTCTGCTGTGGCTTGGTGCTCTTTGTTCATTGAACGCCATTGAGTGATAGCTGTACCTGTGCATTTTCACCAGGAGAAGATGAGTGACTGGAAGGTTGAAATGCACATATGAATGATTTTTCAAAATTTAAAAAACCCAGGCAGTTCCTGCTCTCCTTTAACCAGGCCAGACATCAGGTTTCGTTTTGGTGATTGGAAATTGTGAAGTGCTTGGTGATGCACATTATGTCTCAGGGACAAGATTCTCTGCTTGTTCATGCCCTGGATTCATAGAAGTGAAAAAAATCAAACATAAAAGCATTCTTTTTAGCACAATGTGTATATTAGATTATTTTGTTTTACATTTATCTGAAAGGTGGAGTTAGAGAGGAGGAGAAGCAGAATCTTCTGTCTGCTATTTATTTTCCAAATTGCTGTGATGGTCAGGACTGGCCAGGCCGAAGCTGGGAGCCTGGAGTGTCTTCTGGGTCTCCCACGTGGGAGCTGCATTGGCAGAGTGCTGGGTTGGAAGTAGAGCAGCTGGGGTCCAAGCCGGCACCCATAAGGGATGCCGGTGTCATGGGCAGAAGCTTGCTAAGCCACAGTATTGCCCCCATTAGGAGAAGAGCATGCTCAGTTGATAATATTGGCTACTGTTGGTCTTCTAATCTTATGTGATGGATGCTACCTGCTGGTTCCTGCCGCAAGTAGACAGACACGTGGAAGCTTGGGAGTGTTGAATGTGCAGACTCACTGTGCACACTCAGCGAGTACTGCAACAGGTGTGTCTAACCAGCTTTGAGGGTAAATCTGGACAACCCAGAGCAGCTTGTGACCTCAGGGCCAGGTACACGTGTGTTAGATGGCTTTGATGTGGCCCATCAGGGCCAGGTACACACATGTGTGTTAATGGCTTTGATGCGGGCACCTGTAAGGCATTAGTAAGGGCTTTTAAACAGCCTATTCAGGTCGTAGAGTGCACATGAGGAATCATTAGGAGGTGGTTTGCTCTGCCATTCGGAGTCCAGCCACAGCTCTCAGCGAGAGTTGCCAGGGCGCGCCTGCGGGTGGGAGAGGGTGGGCTGCAGGGTGCGGGGGTGCACAGCTGTTAGACCTCTGGGTTAGCAGAAGTTGAGGGGTATCTGTATGGGATAGAGGGGAGTCTTGACCTGTGTCACCTTAGAGTAGGGAAGGTCCATAAGGAATCCAGCTCTGTGATTTGCTTCTGTTTACTGTGAGCTTTTTCTGCTTTATTTCTTTATGTAGCAGTTGTCGTTGATTTCCGTCCGTAGCAGGTGTCATTCTGTAGCGATAGGTAGTGGCTGGGCACTTAGTGGTTGATGTAGTTCCTGCTTCTAGGGAGAGTCTCATGAGGGATACAGACTCCACACACTTCTCACGTCTGGAAATAAAGGCGTGTGGGAGGCCTACCGCTGTGGTGTTGGCTTAGGGCAGAGGCCTGGGAGGGCTTCCCGGAGCTGTTGTGTGTCAGCCAAAGGCCCCAGGCTTGTTGGTACATTCCTTATGCCAGTTGCTGGTCCAGCTGGATACTTTGAAAGTGGAATCCTGCTTTGTTTCGTAGTTCCTTAAGAAGTGGCAACCACACGTTAATATGGAATACCTGCGAGTTACTGAAGGACGTTATCATGCAAGATTTTCCTGCCGAGGTTTTCCTTCAAAGGCCAAAAATTGTTCAAGTGAGTATCTTCTGTAATAATTTTGTATTTTGAAAGGAAACTTTTGCAAGAAAACAGATTTTTCATAGTAAGAGTGCTTAGGAAGGAAATTTGTACTAATGCGTTTTTTAAAAATGAAATATTTGGTTATTTAAAGCTCTTGTTCTTTCGCCAGCTGGTTGTCTTTCTGGATTTAGGGCGGCCACCTGAGGTGGTCATTCATGCCCAGGCTGGCGGGGGGCTGAGGCCGAGGGTGGAGGGCACTGGTCACCGGCGGCAGCATTGTTCGGGTGTCCGGTGTGCTCAGAGCGTTAGGTGCTCGTGCTTGGGCGTCTGTCAGTGAACCATAGTGAGTCACAGCTATGGGAGTAGGGACAGAGGGCTGAGGGGTTGGGGACTGTGGCGTGTGCCCAGCGTCCTTGCTGCCTGGGACTGCAGTGAATGGCAGGCACATGGCGGCTCATTGCTACAATTTGTAGAATGACGCAGGTGTTGGAGATGGAGAGCAGCTCCGATGTTTGAGTTTTTGTACTGTGTTGTCTTGAGTGGGACACGATCCCGTCCCTGTAGAATGCGCACTCGGCTAACAGATTTTAGAAGGATCACTGACCCTTCTCCACATTCTCCTTCGAAGTCGAGTTCTTTGTCCCCGTAGTGACTTTCACTGCCCTTCTTTATTTCAGAGCCTGTTGTCTCTGTTGAACCTGGCTCCCGGAGGGGATGGAGCGCACCGCCTGGCGCTGCAGTCCGTGTCCTGCTTGCAGCAGCTGTGTGTGTGTTTAAGGAACAGACTCAACTTTCACCGGGATCCAGGTTTTTTCTGTAATAAACAAGGTGCTGATGTGTGTTATTTGGCAGCCAGGTGTGTCGGAGAGTCTCGTGAGAGCTCTTCATTATACCGTGTGTGCATCAGGCGCCCACTAAATGTACTCAGACTGACATGTTGGAATACTGTGACTGACAGAACCACTGCAATTTTATGCTTTAAAAACTTAAAGTCGTTTTGGTAGGAGATATTTACAAAATTGTTTTTCTTGACTTCTCCCAGACGTACAGAGAGTCTCTGTAAGTATTGCTGGGATTTAGAGATTAGGCCCCTGATTATGGTTATTCAGGTAGGATTTGGGGCGTGTTAGCAAATGACATATCAAATTACTACATTGTTTAGTTTGAAAAATCGGTGGTTTCTGTTATAGAACCTGTTCAGTGCAGCCTGCTGCAGTCTGTTCTGGGGGAGCAAGGTCAGGACTTTGCAGTGAAAAGGCACCACCTAGTGGCTGTGGAGTGCCGGCCCAGCCCTGACATACAGACTGGGACCTGGTTCAAGGCCCGAGTTCAGTGGTTTGTGCTCCACACTCCGTCCCTGTTGCGTTGGCATTTCCCCTGTGCTGTGCTGGTGGGTGTTTGTCCTTGGTGCTGGCTTTGTTACAGATTTCACAGGCTTTGGTCGCCTCATTTGCATTTTTGAGGTTTGGATGGCATTTTGCAAATGAATGATGATGGAACACTTCTGGGTACCTTTTATCAGCAGAAAGTCCTGGTGTTGGCAAAATTATCTGGAGGTGTATTCACGTTTTAAATAAGTTTCACCTGTTATTTACTAGTTGAAGTTTGGCTCTTGAGGGCATCAACACTGGTCAGATAGATCAAGTGCCATCTCTGTGATCTGCCCTTTAGACTCCTGGGGACAGGTAATAAAAAGCCAGGTTATTCTCAGATAAGGACCAGTAGCTGCAGGAAGTTAAAAGGGTGATATGGCAGAACACGGCTAGGAAGTGCCGCTTATAGGATGAGCAGGGAAAGCCTCCTAGAGAAGGTGAGATGCAGGCGATGAGGAGTAAGCCACTTGGCGAGCTGGAAGGGTGTTGGAGGGATGCTCGGTCACTCACAGAGCAACAGGAGGGCCCGTGCGGGGGGGACAGGGGGAGCACGGGGAGGGCCTGTGCAAGGGGAAGCTGGGGGAGCACGGGGAGGGGCTAGGGGGGAGCAGGGGGAGGGCCTGTGCAGGGGGAGTGCCTCTGGGGGGGAAGCCGGGGGAGCACGGGAGGGGCTGGGGGGAGCACGGGGAGGGGCTCTGTGGAGGGAGTGGGCGGGAGCTGGGGGGGAGCACGGGGAGGGGCCGTGCAGGGGGAATGAGGGGAGCACGGGGAGGGCCCGTGCAGGGGGAGCACAGCGAGACAGGAGGAGCGGGGGAGGAGCGGGGGTAAGTGAGGAAGGAGAGCCGTTGGGCTGTAGTGTATTGGGACTTGGCAAAGATTTTGTGTTCTCTGAAGTGTAGTAGATTTTTTTTTTTCTCTGCAAATTTAATTACCTTTTTTTTCACTGTGGGAAAGTATGTATGACATAAAATATGCCATTGTAACTATTTTTAAATGTGCCATGTGGTGGCATTAAACACACTGTTGTTCAGCTATTTCTTCTTGACAGACCTTCTCGTTACCCTGATGGAAGCAGTAGCTCCCCATGTCTCTCGCCCAAACCCTTTGGGACTTGCAGTCTGTCTGCGTCTGCCGTCCTGGTTTGGTCTTGCACATCAGTGAGGTCATCCAGTGTTGGTCCTTTTTGCTCTCAATTATTTTGCTTATCGTGTTTCTGCATTTCACTACACTGTTGCCCTGGTTTAGACTTTTACTCCTTTTTTTTTTAAAGATTTTATTTTTATTGGAAAGGCAGATATTCAGAGAGGAGGAGAGACAGAGAGGAAGATCTTCTGTCCAATGATTCACTCCCCGAGTGAGCGCAACGGCCGAAGCTCCGCCGATCCGAAGCCAGGAGCCAGGAGCCTCTTCCGGGTCTCCCACGCGGGTGCAGGGTCCCAAGGCCTTGGGCCGTCCTCGACTGCTTTCCCAGGCCACAGGCAGGGAGCTAGATTGGAAGCAGGGCTGCTGGGATTAGAACTGGCATCCATATGGGATCTTGGTGTGTGCAAGGTGAGGCCTTTAGCCACTAGGCTATCGTGCCGGGCCCGAATTTTACTCCTTTTTATTGCTAAATCTATTGTATGAGTATACCATTTTGTTCGTTTATTGATGGACACATGAGCTGTATCCACCTGCTGGCTATTGGGAGTAAGACTTGCGTGAGCATCGCACACAGGTGGCCGAGCGTGTTCTGCTTCGGGGTGTGTGCGGGACCGGAGCAAGGCTTGCAGGCAGTTCTCGGCTTCTGGAAGCGCCGTGCTGTCTCCCACAGCAACTGCGCCACGTCACGCAGCTGTGGGTAGTTGATGAAGCTCCCAGTTCTCCCGCCTGTTCACCAGTCCTTGCTGTTTCCTAAGTCGTAGCCATTCCAGGAGAGTGGAGTGGCATCTCATTATGTAATGTTTAATTTGCATTTCTGTGAAGAACAGTAATGACTAATGTTCCTTAGTCATCTTCCGTGTCCTGTTCAGTTGTGTGTCTTCTATGGAGAAGTGTCTGTCAAAGTTCTTTGCTTATTTCTAATTGGATTTTTATCACCTTATTGTTGAGTTTTAGGGAGTTGTTTATGTCTTCTGAATATTCTTATCAGACATGATCTGCATTTATTGTCTGATTTTGTAGGTTGTCTGTATTCTGATGCCTTGATGCGTCAGAATTCTAAATTTTAATGAAGGGCATGTTTTTCTGTGTTTTTCTTGATCGACCTTACTTTTGATGTCGTGTGTAAGAATCAGTTGCCAAACAAGTTCTGAAGGTTTACGTCTATTCCTTTCTGAGAGCTGGTTTCAGCTCTTCCATTGAGTTCTTGGTGTATTTTGAGTCAGTTTTTGCATACGGTGTGGTCCAAAGATTCAGGGTTCTTGAGGAGTTGTAAGCAGGCAGTATGTGAGCTGGTGTTTTTCTGCTTTGGTCTCGAATGTTCTGGGTGAATACCAGTGGCCATAAGGTTCCATGTCATCAGATCAGTTAGTGAAAAACGTCAGTGTGCTACATGAATACTAAATGAAAATTACTTTGATTTTTATTTCTGTGGAAGCATTTCTGCTATCTTAATTTGGTAATCTTTTTTGAAGTGACATATATATGTAAATATGCAGGTATGTATATGTGGAATCACAGTGTAATGAGAAATCCTGCTTCTGCTAACGGACGATCTTGTTTCTTTTTTCCCAGACACGGTTTCCCAGAATTCCTCCTTGTCTTACTGTCAGGAAGGCCGAGGCACTCACGCCTCCCGGAATCCTTCCCCAGGAAGCAGCAGCCCGCGGCCCTCCGTGCTCGGGCGCACAGGCCAGCGGGCCCGAGGGGACGGCCAGGACTGGGATGCCGCCTCCTCCAGGTGACTGGGGGTTGTGTCTGGGGGGAATTACAGTAGCTCAGCTAGCTACTGGGACTCTCAAGTTCACAAGGACCTCATTTTCCCTTTTTTTTTTTTTTTTTTTTAATATTACCATTTAGACCTTGCGCTAAACCATTGGCTTTTGAACATTTTTTTCATGGTGATCCACGGTATGGATAAATAAGTATCACATTGTTACTCAGTATTCAGTATACAAACATCAGTATACAAACATTACTGTGTATGTATACGTGTGTGTGTCTGTTGACACAAAGTTTTTACAAAATATATTGGGCCTAGTGTGGTAGCCTAGTTGCTAGAGTCCTTGCATTGTGCAGATTGGGATCCCATATGGGTGCCAGTTCTAATCCTGTCAGCCCCACTTCCCATCCAGCTCCCTGCCTGTGGCCTGGGAAAGCAGTCGAGGACGGCCCAAAGCTTTGGGACCCTGCACCCAGGTGAGGGACCAGGAAGAAGCTCCTGGCTCCTGGCTCTTGGCTCAGCTTTGCTCCTTGTGGCCACTTGGGGAGTGAATCAGGATGGAAGATTGCTATGTGAATTTGAGAAATTTAAAATATTTCATAGCGTTAGTGTATCTTTGTGCTTCTATTTCGATTGTGGATAACATGAAAAGTAAAAAATTTTGAGCCTTTGCTGGAGATCATTACACTTGGTGAACTACGTTAGAACCAGAAAGGTTTTCTCTGATTTTTTTTTTTAGTAGCCAAAAATTGAACGTGTCAAGGTGAAATTGACATTCCGAGGTTTGATTAGTTTATGGCTCATCTCTAGTCTGCTAAGCAGTGGTGTTTCTAAATTTTTCCTGTTTAACTATTTAGTGAAGCCTTTGACTATAATGTAAGTTAAAAATGTGTTACTGCAAAAATTAGAGGAAGGAGTAGGGAAAGTGGGGGGGCTAATTTATCATTATTTAGTTTATTTGAAGGACAGAGTTACAGAGAGGTGGGGGGCAGGGAGAGAGAAGGAGAGAGATACCGTTTGCACCACTGGCCCACCTCCCAAATGTCTCAGTGGCCTTTGTGGTACCAGACTGAAGCCAGGAGCCAGGGGCTTCTCCAGTTCTCCCATATGGATGCGGAGGCCCAAGCGCTGGGGCCCTCCTCTGCTACTTTCTTAGGCACATTGTCAGGGAGCTGGACTGAAAGTGACACAGCTAGACTTGCAGCGGCTGTAGGAGGTGCCAGCACCACGGGCGGCAGCTTTGTCTGTTACACCACAGCGCTGGCCCCCCGCTTCCACCCACTGTTTTATACTCATGGTGAAAAGTTTTTAATGAACAAGCCAAGGAATCTGGATATTCCATATGTTAGTAACACTTTCAACATAGTTATATGCTGTTGAATGTGCTGAATAGTGTATTTAATGAGTAACATTACCTTCCCTAAAACACTTCAGTAAATCACAGAAAATCTGACGATCTATGAGCTTTTAAGTTTTGCTTTTACAAATTGATTATAGAAGAGTTTTGGTCTAAGTCTGTTTTCCTTTAGAAATCAGTGGATTGAGGTTGATGTGGTAGAGTAGTAGGCTTATTGTCTGTCTGCAAATGCCGGCCTCCTGTATGGGCACAGGTTCTTACCCGGCTGCTCAGCTCCTGTTCAAGCTCTCTGCTTGAGGCCTGGGCGAGCTGTGGAGGCTGGCCCAAGTCCTTGGGCCTCTGCAGCCATGTGAGAACCCTGGAAGAGGCTCCTGGCTCCTGGCTTTAGAGCATGTCAGCTCTGGCTACTGCAGCTGCTTGGGGAGTGAGTCCATGGATGGAAGGCCTGTCTTTTTCTCCTCTCTGGAAAAATCTTTCAAACAAAAATAACTAATAAATCTTCAATTTAAAAAATGGATTCCCATCACTAATGTTAGGAATATTACATTTTGAAATTATCGATTTGAAAAGCCAAGTTCCAGTACAGTTGAGTCGTCTCTATGCTTTTAGTCTTGCAGAGTTACCAGTATTTCTGCAACCCTGAGCAGAGTTGTTGTATGTGCTGATGTGGTTGTGCTGCTCTGAGGCTATGACGCGCCAGGCAGCAGGTAGGACTGTCTTGGTGTTCGGGTTTGTCATTTTTCTGTGTTGCAGTGGTGGCAGCAGCCATGCTCCCGTCAACTCCAGGACCTCTGCCCATTCCCCTGTGGACATCGGACACGTGGACCTGCCGGAGCTGGAGCCTGAGGACACGCTGGAACTGCGCTTCCGGCAGCTCGGCCTGCCTCAGTTCTGTGTCTCCGTTCTGGAAGCGGCACTTCCTCTTTTGAAAACAGGTTAGTTGTTTTTGAAATTGTAGTTCTTCGTATGCACTTGTATTTCTTTACAGATTTTCTAGCTTGCTTTCTCTTCCTGTACCACTTTTAAAATTTATGTTTTTATTTGAAAGGCACAGAGACAGTTCCTTTCCCAGCAACACACACACACACACACGCTCTCTCTCTCCGCCTCATCTGACTGTTCAGATACAGGCCATGGTCAGGTCTGGGACTTGAGCAAGCCATACTGGGCACTTGGTCAGGTCTGGCACTCTGGGTGGCAGGGACCCAGCACTGATCTGCTGCCTCTTGGGTGCAGTGCACACCCCCAGGAAGCTGGAATTGTGACACTTGTAGGACCTGAACTTGGGTGCTCAGGCAGGGGTGTAGGTGATCCGAGCAGGTCTTTGCTGTGGTGTAGATGTCCTTCCCACTGGGTCCTTTGGGGTCTGTTTTTGCCTACCTTTTGGGATACAAACTCCTGAAAACTTAAGAAGAAAGAATTTTATTTTAATTCCCCCAGGCTTTTTCATATGTATATGTATGTATATGTGTGTATATATATATAATGTGTATGTGGGTATATATGTGTATATTTACACACATGTATGTATATATATGTGTATATATTATATATATACACACATGAGAAAAAATATACCTTTTTTTTAAGATGTATTTATTTATTGGAAAGTCAGATATATATAGAGGAGGAGAGACAGAGAGGAAGATCTTCCATCTGATGATTCACTCCCCAAGTGAGCACAATGGCCGATACTATGCCGATCCGAAGCCAGGATCCAGGAATTTCTTCTGGGTCTCCCACACGGGTGCAGGGTCCCAAAGCTTTGGGCCATCCTCGACTGCTTTCCCAGGCCACAGGCAGGGAGCTGGATGGGAAGTGGAGCTGCTGGGATTAGAACCGGCGCCCATATGGGATCCTGGCGCGTTCAAGGCGAGGACTTTAGCCACTAGGCAAGCTGCCAGGACCAAAATATATGCTTTTGTTTTTAATTTTATGGTATAATGCCATAGTGTCTGGGATTTCCCTACCCTTTCCCCAAACTTCTTCCCCCCAACTGATTTTCCCCATATTATTACAATAGTATAGTCCTTCATAAGCAGTCACAAGTCCATTATTCTGCTATTTAAGTGTATCCTGACATTGGTGCAGACAATGTCAGACAGTCCAGCATTCTGCTGTCAAGAACTGTCCAACACTTTCCCTGGGAGGCCATCTTTGACTTGTAAGTGGAGGTGCATGCGGCATTGCATCTTCACATCTAAGTGTAGCCTCTCTCACGCCATCACTATGCCTTCTTCCCTTCAGTGAGAAGCCAAGAAACAAAGTCAGCAACAGGAATAAAGTTAAAACAAAAATTTATAGCACCATGGAGTTAAGTAACATGCTACTGAATAGCCAATGTGTTGATGAAGAAATGAAAAAGAAAACACAAAAGCTTCTTGGGTGAAGTGATGGTGATGTGTGATCTATGAGTCAGTGAAGAATTGGACAAGGGAAAAGAAAACTGGAAGAAATGAATACAAAACCAAAAATATCCCCCATTTTCATTGGTGTCTATTTCTCCCTTTAAATCCCATTAATGTTTGTTTCAAGTAGCAAGATGCCCTGGCATTTGGTGCGTAGACCTTTATTAAAGTTAAAGTGATCTTTTGTTGATAAATGGATCCTTTGATCATTATGTGGTGTCCATCTCTTAATGTTTTTCACCTCAGAGTCTAAATCATCTAATATAAGAATGGCTACATGCTCATTTTTCCTTACCATTAGTTTGGAATATCCTTTTAATCCTTTTCCTTTTAGTTTCTGCTGATCTTTGTCGATGAGTTGTCTCATAAGCAACAGATAGATGGTTGCTTTTTTTTTTTATCCAATCCACTAGTCTGAAGTTTGGTTGAATTTAAAGTATTTGTATTAGGGTTAGTATGGATAGGTGGCAGTTCGGCCCTGTCACTTTAGCAGTGGGTTGTTCTTTGATTTAGTCTTTTGTTATTTTACTGGGATGTTCTCCACATTTGCCTTTGGTTTTGGTGCATGTTATTCCTCTTCTCTGTCGAGAGAACATCTTTGTTTTGTAGGGTAGGTCTGGAAGAGGCAAATTCTTTGAGCTTTTCTTTCTGGTGGAAGAATTTTACTTCCTTTCTCATGACGAAGGAATGCTTTGCTGGATACATCATTCTGGGCTGACACTTTTTCTCCTTGTGAAGTCTGGGATATGTTGCTGCATTCTCTGCTTGCCTGTATAGTTTCCTGTGAGAGATCAACTGTGAGTCTGATTGGGGTTTCTCTGAAGGTCAGTTGATTTTTTTCATGTGCACATTTAAGGATCTTTTATGTTTGATTGAGTACAGCTTGATTATCATGTGTCATGGTGAAGATTGCTTTTGGTCAACTCTGTTGGGAGTTCTGTGCCCCTCCTGTATATTGTTTCCTAATTTTTCATATTGGGGAAATTTTCCTTTATTTCATTAAATGCATTTTAAAACCAAGCTTCTCTTTTTGTGCCTTCTGGAACTCCCGTAACTCTTATATTTGGCCTTTTAATCATGTCTGTAATTCTTGAATACTTGTTTTAGTTCTACCCAGTTTTGCTTCCAGCTTTTTGATTGTTTCTCCTTTGTGACAACAAATATAGTGCAATTCTGAGATTGATTGATCTGCTTCGTTCATTCGGTTATTGAGACTATCCACTGGTTTTTTAATTTGCTCTAATGTGTCCTCCTTAATAAAAAGATAATAAAAGCCTTATTAAATGTGGGTGCCATGGAGCCCTAGTCAGTGACACCCCCTTCCAGACAGGAGTGTTCCTGTTTGTATGGCAGTTTTAAGTTGTAAACATGAACAGCATCATGGAGTGGAAAAAGCCAGAGAAGGTGGTCTGGCATTAGCTGACTAAAATTAAAAACATCTCTGACAGTAAGTGAATAGCCCGTACCAAGCAGTGAATCCCCGCCATGTTCTGTTGTAATGCTTTTCTGTGTATTACTTGATGCACTTCAAACACTGATTGCTTTTAACCCCATTCTCCCCTCCCTTTTTTCTTTACAAATTTCCTCAAGAGGAATTTTATTGATGGCTCCCGTTATTTCCTCCCAAAAAACCAAATTGAGTGAACAATAGCCTTAAGGTTTTATTCTCTTCATAACAGAGGATGAAGATTAGAATTGGATCACTTGGCCTCTTCTCGTGTCCTCCCAGTTCAGATTGTTTCCATCTGTTAACAGCCAGCGTTCTCTGGGACCTGCACTCGGCTTCTACACACTCAGGCCTCAGCACAATCTTCTTTGTCATTTTAGCCTTTTTCTGGAAAATTGGCTCAGTGTGCCCACTGTAGCCTCTCTACTTCCTGTCCTAACGCCATTTCCCCTGGGCATGGAGGGAGTCTTTGCCCTTCCTGTACTGTGTTACTGTGAAGGGCTGGTGCTTGCCACACTTCCTGCAGAACTTCCGGCATGTTTTAGGAACGCTCACCATGCTTACAGAATGCTATTGGCATGAAAGGAGTCTCCTCCCCTCCCTTTTTGAGGTTTTTTTTTTTAATTTGAAAGGCAGATTTTACAGAGAGAGAAGGAGAGATAGAGGGACACGTTCCTCCATCTGCTGATTCCTTCCCCAAGTGGTGTCACGGCTTAGAGCTGAGCTGATCCGAAGCCAGGAGCCAGGAGCTTCTTCCAGGTCTCCCACGTGTGTGCAGGGTCCCAAGGCTTTGGGCCGTCGTCCACTGCTTTCCCAGGCCACAAGCAGGGAGCTGGATGGGAAGTGGAGCAGCTGGGACACGAACTGGTGCCCAAATGGGACGCGGTTGCTGTAGGGTGGAGGATTAGCCCACCCAGGGTGGTGCCTGATTTTATCCTCCTACACAGTGATATTATCAAGTCTCTTCCTAGTTAAAACAGAGAGGAGGAGAGACAGAGAGGAAGATCTTCCATCCGATGATTCACTCCCCAAGTGAGCACAATGGCCGATGCTATGCCGATCCGAAGCCAGGATCCAGGAACTTCTTCCAGGTGTCCCACATGGGTGCAGGGTCCCAAAGCTTTGGGCCATCCTCGACTGCTTTCCCAGGCCACAAGCAGGGAGTTGGATGGGAAGTGGAGCTGCTGGGATTAGAACCGGTGACCATATGGGATCCCGGTGTGTTCAAGGTGAGGACTTGACCCGCTAGGTCACGCTGCCGTGCCCTAAAAGTAAAGTCTTAGCTGAACTTTTTCTGAATCTAAATTCTGGACTCTTGAACTTTCAGCATTTTGCAAGATAAAAAGAAATTTAGAAGTGGTGATGCTTGTTTTCTAGATGTGCACATTTTCGGCAGCAAAACATGTCAGGATATACATGCAATGTGAACAAGTTTCTAATAATTAAATAGTGCATCTCCTGTTAATGATTGTCACGTTCCCGTGGCTGTTTTTGCCTCTTGGCATGTCAGGAGGAGGACAGTAGAAGGAAGGCTCGTGTTTGGAAATGTTGAGCATTCTTTTATTCTGAGGAGAGATGTATACTCTTCTCCTCGAGGGAGTAACTGCTTCCAGGAGTTAGGACTGCGTAGTAATTCCTATGCTAATAATGTGAAATGATGGAAGCTTTGAACTTTGGCATCATAAAGTTTATGTTTATCTGCCTGGTGCACCAAGAAGAACAGTTTTAGACTTAGTGATTATACATTTAACCTTTCCTTAATTTCATATAAAAAGTCAGATTGATAATTACAAAGCTATTTCCTGGTACATAAAATATTTCTAAATGTTCTCTTGCCCTTTTCTGTTAAATTATTGCCTAACTTGTAATTGATGAATATCATAAGAGTTCTAGAGAATTTGCCACAAGCTGTTCTAATGGAAGAATTAATCTAGATTCTTGTGACCAGTAGTTTGTTTTGCTTCTGTTCACTAGAAATGAACCTTTTGGATATGAGACTAGCAGTCTTGCTGGAGTGTTCACTTCATGCAGGCTAAGAAAGCGTTAAGTTCTCTGTCCCTCCGTCTCTGGAGGAGGGAGATTGCTCTGGTGGGCATGGCTCTGATGGTACAGTTTCTTTGGGAATTCTCTTGGAATCTAAGATAAGTACAGATGGAATTGCATGAGGTTTTTTTGACAGATGCTGGCACAGACATTTGTTTAGTTGCTCCAATCTAGTCTTAGCTTCCCAGGCAGTTCCTGGGTGGAAAAATACTAATTTATGATGAGTAAGTTTTCTAGTACTAAATAGTAATTATGAGAGTGCATTTTTAAACTTGTCTGATGTTTTGTCACATACCAAATGTATAACAGGATGGTCTCTGGACTAGAGAAATTAGTTCCATCTCTGTTTTTAGTTGGGTTATTATTGCTGTCATTTAAAAAAAAAATCTTTGGGAGCAAGATGGGAAGAACACAAGAGAATGACTATGAAACTGCTCCTGTTTGCTAGTTCATTCCCTGAATGCCTGCGGTGGCCTGGGCAAGGCTGGGGCTGCAGCCAGGAACTGCAGATTCGATCCAGGAGCTCACTTCCCTGGGCTGTCACCTGCTGCTTGTTACGTCTGCCTTAGCAGGAGTCTGCAGTCAGGACCTGGGCCTTGAACCCTGACTCTGGTGGGAGAAGTGGAGTTTTTATTTATTTATTTTTTTTAAGATTTATTTTTATTATTTTTTTATTGGAAAGGCGGATATACAGAGAGGAGAGACAGAGAGGAAGATCTTCTGTCCGATGATCCACTCCCCAATTGAGCATAATGGTCGATGCTATGCCGATCCGAAGCCAGGAGCCTCTTCCGGGTCTCCCACGCAGGTGCAGGGTCCCAAAGCTTTGGGCCGTTCTCGACTGCTTTCTGGGGCCACTGGAAGGGAAGCGGGGCTGCAGGAATAGAACCGGCGCCCATATGGGATCCCTGGCGTGCAAGGCAAGGACCTTAACCACTGCGCCACTGCGCCGGGCCCGAGATGTGGAATTTTTTAAGATTTATTTATTTAGAAGAGTAGCTGTAAGGATAGAAATAGGGGGCGGATAGAGAGATTGATCCACTTACTATTTGCTGATTCATTCTCCAGATGTCAGCAATGGTTGGAGTGCAGTTGGTTCAAAGTCGGGGACCTCATCCAGATCTCCCATGTAGGACAGGGGCCCCAGTCCTTGGGCCATCCTCCGCTGCTTTCCCAGGCACACTAGCAGGGAGATGGATTGGAGGAAGTGGGAGGCCCATATGGGAGGCCTATAGGAAGCTTCTAGCATTTGGGGAGTCACCCACTAGAAGGGAAATCTCTCTGTCCCTCTCTCTCACTCTGTATTTCTGACGTTGAAATAAAATTTTTTTTTTTTAACAGCCAGAAGTCTTTAATGGTGATTTAGGTCATGATTAATGTACTCACCTCTTTTTTGATTTAAAAAGCTGAGAGACACTAAGAGAGAAGGAAGGAGGAGGGCATTGGGGCATGCCTACCTGGGGCATTGAGAGAAGGAAGGAGGAGGGCATTGGGGCATGCCTACCTGGGGCATTGAATGAAGCTGACTATTGATGTGGCATTTTCCCTTTTCCCAGGAAGTAGACAGATGATAATTAGAGTGCTGGAATTGCTTGCGGAAGATCTGACTCTTATTGGTGAAGCAATTTCATCAGATATTTGGGATGACAACAGCCTTTTTGCTATAGACATGGTAAGAATTAATGTTTCTTGGATAACAGTGTTGTCTTCCCCCATTTCTGTTTAACCTGGGTTCATTGGCAGATCCGTCTCTGACGTGGGTTTTGGGCTTGTTGTGCACATGTTGCGCACAGGCCGTTCTGCAGCGTGCTGGCTGCTCCATGCAGCTCGCCAATGGACGGCTTGAGGCTGAGAGCTCAGTGCTTGTGGCTTTCTCATGGTAAGAAGTGTAGTTCTTAATTAAGGTTTAAAAATTACATATTTTAAGCAACTTGTAAGTTATTATGGAATGAAATGTGATTATCTGCTGTGAATAGTCTCCATGATTCTAGACAAGTCATTCAAGGTGTAGCAACATAAAAAGGATGTCTTATTCTTTGCTGCTTGTATTTGTTTGTAAAAAATTATTTGAAAGACAGTTACAGAGACAGATCTTCTTTCCATTGGTTCACTCTCCAAATGGCTGTAAAAGCCAGGTGCTGAGAGCTTTGTCCAGGTCTCCCGTGTGAGTGCAGGGGCTTGTGCTGGGGAACTGGAGCTGAAGTAGGGCAGCTGGGACTCGAACCAAGACCTCTATGGTGTGTTGGCGTAGTAGGTGCTGGTTTTTCCTGCATGCTACAGTTTGTATTTCAGTAGTAGAGATAATTTGTAAAGTGTGACTTTTTATTTTTCTTCTATTAGTATTTTTTTTTTTTAAAGTAAGCTGACATTATAATCAATTTTTCCAGCCTTGTTTTCCATGCCAGGTTTTATTTATTTGAGAGTCGGAGACACAGAGAGCTTCCTTCAGCTGTTTGTCTCCCTGGGTGCCCCAGCAGCAGGACTCCAATGGGAGTGGCAGCTTGCTTGGCCCATCCTGGCAGGTGCTGGAGCCAGCTCTCCAACCCAGTCCTCCCATGTGGCTTGTGAATGTCTAAGCTGGCGTGTTAACTGCTAGGGAAAGTGCCACCAGTCTTTCTTGTTTCTGCAGGAAGTGTTTCAATAGTTTTTTGTGAGGAATCAAGACCTTTGCATTGTCCTCAGGAGTTTTCTGTTACAAGATAATGTTTAAGAGATCTGTGGGCTGTCAGAAAGAGTCTCCATGTAATTGGAAATGTGTCGTTTTGACCTTTCAGTATGATTGCAAATCGTTTGTCAATTTATGCCTTTAGTTTTGAATGTCTGCCTGCCTTGGAGTGCTAATGTTGTGTTTTGTTAATGACGGTTCTTTTTCTTTCCGTTGTCTTGTCCTTTTACTTTAACATGTCAGGGGAGAAGAGAAAAAGTTCGAGTCATACGTGTGTGTGTGTGTGCACTCTTAGTTACCGATTTTCTTTATACACTGCTTTGGGCTAGCTGTATCTATTTTTTTTTTTAATTTTATTGTTGATGATGTTTACACAGTTGATCAGGGTGGGAACTATCTGTATTTTATTAAACTCTGTAATTAGCTGCCTGAAATTTTTGTGGCTAGAGCTCAGTACATGAAGAATAAGTAAGACACAGATATTTTAATGCAAATATCTATGTGTGTAAAGAATCTAAACTTTATCTTTTAAGCAGTATGAATCCCTTAAAAAGAAAAAGTACGTATTTTATACCAAATACAGGATATTTTCAAGTCCTTGAATTTCTGATGATAGTTCCTAATTTTTTTTATTCCTTAAGGTTATCATACAGTTTTGTAGTACTTTTAGATGATTTTCACATATTGAAGCTTTTCAACAAGTGACTTTTTCCTTAGAAGTGTGAAGAGTGCTTTATCAGTTGCTTCTTAAATTAACTTAAATTTTTCTTGGCCAGAACATTTATCTGTAAGTTAGTCATTCTCTTTATAATTTTTGGCTGCTGATCTTTTATGATTCAATGAATTATTTTTACTTTAAAGGTTAAGTCTTGTTTTGTGAGCGCCAGTTGGGATGTTAAAAATGCTAAATTAAGCAGTTCTGCCTCAGATTACATTTGACTTTGTAAAGAGAATAAATGCTAACATTTTAGAAATAAAGTACCTGAGGATATATAGTGAAATCTCTAGATATTTCCAGATATTACTACCATCACTGTCATCTAGGAATTGTATTACTTGGGTTTAGTAAACTTAGTGAAATAAATTTTCCTCCTAAGATTATTTTGCTTGAGGTAAGTAAAGTTTTTAATAAAAGAATATTTTTTGCTGAAATAAAAACAAATATTGGTAAGGATTAATAAAGTTAGGTTGACCTAAAGTGTGTTTCCCATGTTCTTGCCACCTGTGTGAAATCCGGCAGGTCTTATTATTCACGTGGGAAGTTAGATTCAAGAACTAGGGAGCTCCTGTGCTCTCTTCTTTCACTTACTTCCTTTGCTTGCATTTCTTCTCTCTGTCTCTAGTCATTGCAGTGTCTTTGAAATGCTAGTCTTGTTTTTTTACTTTGTGATTTACAGCTTTTAAACTCTGGTCCCTGCTCTAGTGAGCTGGTGACTGCAATATCGAGGATGTTGATGGAATTGCTGGTTGGAGTACAAATGGGCCTGATAGGATTGTGAAGAATCTAGAAAGAGTGATTAAATAGAGGGAGTTTAACCAGATTATAAATTCATAATCTGGGTAGTAAAAGTTGTAATTAGCATAGGACTTCCCTTTCAGGAATAAGTAAAATATGAGTTATTTTAATCCGCAGGTATTTCTGCTTTAAATTTTTGTTTAGTTGAAAGACAGTCTCTGTGTCTTTCTCTCTCCCTTTGTTACACCCACCCACTCACCCACCCTGTTCCCCAGCCCAGTTTTTGGTTAACCTCTGGTTCACTCCCCAAACATTTGCAACAGCTGTTACTGGTGTTGCAGCAAGCTGGATTGGGCAGAACCAACAGTCCAAAACTTGATCCAGGTCTCCCACACTGGTAGCTGGAACCCAAGGACCTACTACCTCCTAGGGTTGATGAACAGGAAGTAGGAGTCAGAAATAGAAGCAGAGCTTAAACCTAGGTGCTCTTACATGGGTTGTGGCGTGGCTGTCCCAAAAGTCATCTTACCCATTGGGTAAGATTGCCTGTTGTATTTGAATCACTGGGGAAGAGAAATAAGATGTAGATGTTCATGTTCTTGTAGGGGGGTACTTTGAATATGACATTAGTAATACCTGCAGGGAGTTTAAATACAGAACTAAGTTATTTAAGCTTTTTTTTTTTTAGATTTTTATGTATTTACTTGAGAGACAAAGCCAACAGAGTGAGAGCATGTGGCAGACAGGCACACATGACTCTCACCCGTTGGCTCATTCTTTCAGATGCTTGTACAGTTGATGGGACAGAATCTGGAAGACAAACTTAATTCAGGTCTTCCACGTGGTTGGCAGGAACCCAGTTGTTCCTTGGCTCATTACTGTCTTTGGGGTCCTGTGCTGGTAATCGTTGCGTTTTATTGCCATGAGCGCATTCAGAAAACTCATGAGGATTTTAATAAGTCAATGACCTGAATGTATGATTTGGCCAAACAAAGACAGGGCTTCTTTCTTGCTTTCTTTTTTCTTTTCTTTTTCTTTTTCTTTGTCATCTGACAGAAGAGGATGAGCCATGATGAGGATGTTTGGATAGTGTGGATGGGGTAAAGGCTTGGGTTGACCGTGGACCCTAAGAACCTGGGGCCAAAATTGTGAAGGCGAAATGTTAGGAGAGGGCTGGTGGGTGAAAGGAAGGGTTGCCTCCCTTGGGGAAGGCATTCCAAGTTGTTGAGTAGTGCGGCCGTTACTCCGAAGGTAGGGTAAGACTGGTTTTAAACAGGGAAGTGTGCTTGGAGAGCAACTGAGCATATGGAGGAGTGGTCCAGTGGGCAGTGGGAGCACATGGAGGAGTGGTCGGTCCAGTGGGAGCACATGGAGGAGTGGTCGGTCCAGTGGGAGCACATGAGAGTGGTCCGTTAGAGTGCACAGGCTAAGCTATCTTAGATATACTTGGAGTGCAGAGATTGTTTGCACTGTAAAGATCAGTTCTATTGTGTATGTTGTAAATATTTTGCCGATTTGCTATCTTAATTCTGATAGCATGTAAAAGTTATGAACATCCTCTGAAAGCTGGCCTTTGAAATTTTTTTGCAGCATGAACTCTTGCAAGGCTGTTTAAATATCTTTAGTCCAAAGAATCAAAACTATGGGCCAGGTTTTCAGCGCCTCTCCCACCCTTCCTAAAAAAAGATTTATTTCCTTTTTATTGGAAGGGCAGATTTACAGAGATGGAGAGAAAGAGAAAGACCTTCTATCCACTGACTCACTTCCCAGGTGGCCACAGTGGCCAGAACTGAGCCGATCCAAAGCCAGAAGCTAGGAGCTTCTGCCGTTTACCATGTGGGTAACAGGTCCTAAGGTTTTGGGCCAGCCTCCACTGCTTTCCCAGCACACAAGCAGGGAGCTGGATGGGACGCAGAACAGCTGGGAAGTGAGTAGGAGGTGCTTAAATAGGATGCTGGCACTTTCATGCAGAAGATTAGCCGGTTGAACCATTGTACCTTTTTTTTCTAACATATTAAACCAAGCAAACGAATCCACAAATCTTAGAAGAAATGCTAGCGATAGTGAAAACTGCATAAGAGATTTTTGTAGTCTTTTCTTGTTATGCTGTTTTGTGAAGCACTCCGCAGGTTATTTGAAACAACTTCACAAATAAACAGGCTTTTAGAAAAAACTCTACTATGCTTATTTCTTAAATGTATCTATTAAATTGTAAATTGTCACTACTAATAATGATATGTTCTTCTTAGGTATATAAAAGCTGTTATTTTAGTGGAGAAATATGCCTGTTTAAGGAGTATTGTAAAGCATCAGTGTATAGTTAACGTCAGCCCTGGTCCCAGGCCCTGGATGCTTGGTTGTGTTTGGATAGTGAAATAAAAAAATGGGAGTGCTCTGGCTCAGAATGGTTGAATTAAAGTTTGTCCATGTTGGTAACAAGTTTTGTTTCATATTTTATGTTGTTCATATCACAAAGACATGTTTCTGTTGGGTCCTTAAAAGCAACCATATTTCATCCATGGAAGATCATTTTTATGTAGTTTTTTATCTTAAATTATTTTACTTAAATTTTTTCTTGTTCTGCACTAAACATTTAATTTTAAAGATGTATTTATGTATTTGAAAGGCAGTATTACAGAGCAAGTGGCGAGCTCCTTCATCTGTAGTTCCCTTTCCAGATGGCTGCAGTGGCCGATGCTGGCCAGGGTGAAGCCAGGAGCCAGGAACTTGATCTAATCTTTCCTGTGGGTGGCAGGGGCTTCTTCCAGGCCCTCAGCAGTGAGTTGGAGCAGAAGTAGAACAGCTGGGACGCAAACCAGCGCACATGTGGGATGCTTTAGTTGCTGTGCCACAGTGTTTGCTCCTACACATTCCGTTGTTTTTAAGATTTATTTTATTTTTATTGGAAAGCCATATATACGGAGAGGAAGATCTTCCGTTTGATGATTTCCTGCCTTAAGTTCTTTTGTTCTGTATCCAGAAGGGAAATTTAGTGGGTCATATTTTGCTGCATTTAACTTTTTTTTTTGAGAAATTGACATTTTTTTGTGGTTGCTGTACCATTTTAAATTTTTGCCAGCAAAGCATAGGGATTCTAGTTTATGCTATATCCTTGCCAGTACTTGTCACTATGTGTTTATTTTTATTATATAACTATAATTGTGTAAATTTTGCAGGCTTCATATTACTTAGTTTTGTCTCCCATATATTATTATTATGTAAAAAATTTTGGACAAATACTAGATTTCATTTGCTTGGTTTACACATTTGTTTTCAATGTTTATTCTTCTGTGCTGTATTGTTACTGGAAGCTGGAGAGCTGGAATCCTGATGTGCGCCTGGCTCTCCTGCTGTACTGTTCTGTTTCCTAGTCGCTATATGGGTGGTTGTCAGCAGTTCTAGGATATCCACTTTGTTTTTGCTGTTTTGACTTGTAAGCTGGTCAACCACTTTAATTCTCTCTTGATATTTTATAAATCTTACATGTTTTTCAATATGATATTTATAACTCCTACTAAATAGAAAGTTATTTGGAAGTTTATAATGGCAGGACATTAACCTAACCATGTGAAAGGAGGACGTTTACACAATTTGATGGTTACTTTTTACTCATTTGCCTTCTCTTATTTATATAATATAAATGTTATATTATAAATATAATATAAAACAATAAACAATAAATATAATATACAATATAACTTATATTATACGAATAATTAATATATCAAATAAGCATAATTTTAAATATAAATAATTTAATCATCAATTAAACATATTATTTAATAATTTATATGATATAATGCCTGCCGTGATATTATAGTTGACATGCCCAGTAAATACTTTCAGGTTGGAAATAAGGAATACTGCAAATGTAGGAGAAATTTTTGATTACGTTTTTTGGATTTTACTGCTTTTAAGAAATTCTCATTTTATTGTATTAAGTACTTCAAGTTGTTAAGGTATAGGTATGCATTGGGAAAAGATGTACCGGGCCGGGCCAGACACTAACACGTTCTGGTGCTCTGGAGTACCAGGGTGGATGTGGGGCGGACTAGGCTAGGTCCCAACCTCAACTTAGCCATGTACAAGCTATATGGGGGCATGGATGACCGTGGCCGCGCTGAAACACTCTACAGCAAGAACCAGAACGGGATGATGGCCAGTTAGGAAAGACCACTGTTCCTACAAGGATAAGAGGCGAACTGGCACATGGACCCACTGACATGCGCGAAACCTGGCACATGGAGGGGTTCTGATGGAGGAGCTCAGGCAACTCCTCTGGCAGGACACAGACCCTGCAGGTCAGCACAAGGAACATGCAAGGCAACAGCCAAGAGGTCATAGAAAGTGTCCCACTGGCATGCATTTGGCTTGGGTCGGGGGCAGACCAGGCTGAATCTGTTCATGTCATCCACTGGTGAATCTGACCGCCAGAACAGAGTGTGGGTCGAACCAGGTCCGGTCGTAACAAAAGCAACACGCAGGCTGGAATGCCAAGGTGAGGTAGCCTGAGTCGGATGCAGCCGCAGCACCCAACCAACACAAGTGAGAACCAGGAAAGGAGGCGGCAGAGCTGACAGGAGAAAAAGGGGAGGCTCCCTAGCTGAACAGCAAATTACACTGAGGAGCGGGAGCTGGGTGGGGGGTAGACTAGACCAGGCAGGGACACAGCGCCTGTGCACCTCATGGGGACCAGATTGGGTGAAAACCAGGCTAGGCTGACCAATCCCACTAGAGTAAGCTACAACCAGAGTTGGTGAGGGTTGTTGGGCTTAGTTGTAGCAACAGAAGGGTACTGGGGACAGACTGGGCTAGTATGCCATATATACTGGCAAGCCAGGGTAGGAGGTGGGCCTGGTTGAGGCTACTGTGGGCCGCCCTGACTGGGCTGCAACTCCTACTAGTTCGTGCGAGGGACAAATGCGTCCAGGGTGGAACCAGGCGGGACTGCAAGAAGACACGGGTGGAGACAGAACCGGAGGTATGCTGAAGATAGTGGATGTTCTCAGAGCGGAATACATTCTTGCCTTGGTTTGTTTTTCCGTTTTCATGTTGCTTAACTCTTTGCAGAGAGAGAAGCTGCTCCGGATCTTGGGGTCTCTTGGAGAGATACTGTGCTACCACAGAGGCGGTGGCAGTGTGCAGCGCCCGCAGCCCGTGCTGCTGCATCACCGGATGGCCTACGTCAGCACCGCGCTGGTGGCAGTGCGCATGCTCCAGATACTGGTCCCTGTGGAGAAGGTGAGGCGGGCGGGACGCTGCCGTGGCTTGCAGCTTAGGTGCTGCTGTAATAAGTGCTCTGCTGTGAAGTTCTCATCATTTCATGGTGTGATGTTACTGTGTTTAAAAAGATTATTTGGGAAATGTGGAAACTGAGAAATGATTAACCTTTGAACAGTCTCCACAGGCCATTTGATAGAAAATTGCTTTTATAATATAGCAGTTATTTTTGTTGCATGTGCTTACTTGCGCTTCTGTGTATTGGTTTGTTTATTCCTTCAATCAATCAGTGAATATTTAGTTTGTTGATTTAAAGGCAGGGATCATGTCTCCTGTATGAACATTACCCCTCACCCCATTTGTCAGTTTCTGTGCTAAGCAATGGCAAGCCTTGTAAAATGCATAATATTTATATGTGTGCTTATATTCATATTCATGTATGCCCACATGTACAGGAAGGGTTCCAAAACTGGAAGACAAACTTTGTCTTTTTTTTTAAAGATTTATTTTTTTATTATTTTTTCATTGGAAAGGCAGATATACAGAGAGGAGAGACAGAGAGGAAGATCTTCCGTCCGATGATTCACTCCCCAAGTGAGCGCAACGGGCCGATACTATGCCGATCCGAAGCCAGGAGCCTCTTCCGGGTCTCCCACGCGGGTGCAGGTTCCCAAAGCTTTGGGCCGTCCTCGACTGCTTTCCCAGGCCACAGGCAGGGAGCTGGAAGGGAAGCGGGGCTGCCGGGATTAGAACCGGTGCCCATATGGGATCCCGGGCGTGCAAGGCAAGGACTTTAACCACTTGTGCCACCGCGCCGGGCCCAAACTTTGTCTTTTAATTTCATGTTTCCGTGAAGTTTTGAAACTTACTTATGTGTATATCAATATGTGTGTATATGTTTGCGGGTTTAATTGATGCACTTAATACGCCTTTCAAGGGAATGAAAGTCATTGAAGATCTGTTGATCTCCGTTCTTGAAGGAGCCTGTCCGCTTCTGTTAATACAAGACCGCTCTCTAGTTCCTCACTCGGCCTCTCCCTGGTCCTCCGGCTCGGGGGATACAAGCAGTAGTTGCCAGTACTCCGTTAGAGTTTCCTTCCTAGTTAGCATATGCTGATGTTATATACCTATATTTTTTCTCATTTTACAATTTGGAATTGTCTGTCATGCAAGGTGGCTCCTTCTGCTTTTGTTTGAAGAGTGCAGCGGCGTTTGTGACTGGAAGAGCTTTGCGCATTGTGGCAGGTTGTCACGTGTCTGCTTAGGAATGCTTTTAATGCCGTGACCTTAGGCTGTAGTTTAAATATTACACTTTTGTTAAATTTCTTTAGTTTATGTAAATGTAAACTTCTGCTGCCCTCTGCCTGGTGCTAGCCCGCCAGCAGTTGAAGTAGAGTCTAGACTTTAAAAGTGAATTTTTTGAGCTGCCACTTGCTAGATACATCATTTTGATGTTGGTAAACCAAAGTGCGTATGTGTAGAAAAGTCCTTATCTAAATGATTTTTTTTTAATGTAAAAAAAATATTTGAAAAGCAGAGTTACAAAGAAGGTTGGGAATGGAGAGAGAGAGAGACATCGAGATATCGAGAGATCTCCCCTCCACTGACTCACTCCCCAGATGGCCAGAGTAATCCAGTCTGACCCATGCTGAAGCCAGGATCCTGGGATTCCTTCTCAGTTTCCCTGTGGCAGTAAGACCCCAAGCACTGCAGCTGTCCTATTGCCTTTTTGTGCAGGGTTTGAATTGGAGTGGAGCAGTCAGGATTTGTACTGACGCTCGGTGGGACGCTAGTGCAGCTGGCAGAGGCTTAATTGGCTGCACTGCAACGCTGGCCCTCGTTGCAGGATCCTAACGGCTTTCAAAAAGTGCTTTATTTTAATTATTTTTGGAAGGCAGGGTGAGGGAGATAGAGAAAAGGAGAGATTGAGAGAAAGAAAAAGTTACCATTTGCTTTTCTATCCCTCAGATGCCTAAAGCAGCCAGGCTGGGTCATGTTGAAGCCTTCTGGAACACAATCTGTCTCTTGAATGGGGAGCAGGGATTCAAATTCCTGTGACATCACTTGTTGTCTCCCAGGATGTGCGTAGTAAGAAGGCCCAGTGAGCAGAGCTGGGCTCACACCCAGGCCCTCCCCGGCTGCGGGCACCCTGCGCAGTCTGCTAACCACTAGTAAGATACTCATGTTTAGATGAAATGATCCCATGGTAACTGTTAACAATATTACAGCTGGATAGTCTAAATTAGTAAAGCAAATAAGATGATCTTATTTGGAGAAACTCGTGAGGACTAGGAGCTGCACGTGCTGGGGTAATGTCGTAGGGGCTTATATCACAAAGCTGGAGCCTTCGAGACACGTGCTGTCTCTGCTTCAGTCCATACTGGCTGTGGCTGATACATTTGTATTTAAAAAAAGTATTAATTGGTGGCCTTGTGTGAGTATTCTAAAACTATTTCTAATATTATATTGAATTTCTCTTTTCCTTTCTAAAAAGCAAAACCCAAAATCAACTTTTGTTCTGGTGAATCTGTGCTTCTCAGTTTAAAACTCCATTCAGCTGAAAATGCAGCTGCTGGGACTTGTGTCCCGTGCCTGTGGGCTGGCAGTGTTCCTGTCTCCAGGACCTCGTTGGTTTACTGTGGAGATTTTTGTGCATGTCCCTGGATACTTAGAGAATGGCCACATATTTGACCTGAGTAGCAGAAGCATAAGCAGGGTGTAAGGCCAAGGGAGAGAACGCAGTACTGGGCGTTGGTGTGGAGGGGACAGAGTAGTCAGCCTCCTCGCTCGGAGAAATAGTTAGTATTTAAACTTGAGAAACTTTGATTGAACCAGTGCAGACATTGGATGGTGTGTTAGGATGAGAATTTTCTTTGGAAAAGGTGTAGGCTTTGTGATAGAGAATCACTGAAAAAGAAGTTAGATTATGATTGTCTGTATTTTTCTGAATTTTTTAATACTGAAATTTTATTTTTCCTCCTCAATTTATCAAGGCAAGTGAAGTTCTCCCCGAGCCTATGTCAGCAGCATTATTTCTTCTTTCTTTGGACATGCCTGTTTCTTTGGAGTACCCAAATATTCACGAAACTGTTGTGGCTTATTTGGAGCAGCTGAATTCAGAAGGTTACAGTATTTATAAGCGAACTGCAGAGGCTGTTTATTCGATTGAATGTACATGTAGTTTCCTATCTGAGATTGGGAAGGAGGTAAGAAAATTTTTTTTTTTTGCTAATATCTCTTCTAATTCCTATTGTTGAAATGCATAAGTATTTTATATTGAAATAGGTGGACATATAGCAGTAAAGGTTTTGGGAGTTAGGTACATTATTACATAGTAGGCCAATGGCTGGCTTGAAGGTCATGATCTGTGTAAAATTAAAGACTTTAATGAATGGTGGTTGCGCATAATATCAATTTAATAAAGCCCTAAATACTTAATAGCAAGTAACTTTATGAAGTGACTTACTACATATGCCATACTAATAACTGATATCGCTAGAATTATAATGGACATTTTAATTGTGACCATGTTTTAACTTATTTTTTTTAGACATTTTTATTGGAAATTCAGACATACAGAGAGGAATATCTTCTATCCATTGATTCACTCCCCAAGCAGTTGCAACGACCAGAGCTTTGCCAGTCCAAAGCCAGGAACCAGGAGCCTCTTCTGGATCTCCTGAGCGGTACAGGATCCCAAGGCTTTGGGCTCTTAAGTGCTTTCCCAGGCCACAAGCAGGGAGCTGGATGAGGAACGGGGCCGCCGGGATTAGAATCAGCGCCCATATGAGATCCTGGCGTGTGTAAGGCGAGGCCTTTTGCCACTAGGCTATGGCACGGAGCCCTGTGGTGCAATTTTGAAATGTGTCTTTCAGCCAAATTATTTTTGTAGCATCTTCTCTGGCCAATTGGTCACGTGTTGGATATTTTCCCAAGTATGTTCCCAAATGTGATCAGGGTATTAGAAGATGGAAGTGGATAAGAAAATACACTATCCCTGTGTTTCATAGGGGAGGTAGAGTTCTAGACAAATAACCAGGTCATTGCAACTTTAAGCTTATTCAGTGTCTGCTGTGGCATTTACCTAGAGTTTCCCTCCCACCCTCCCTCCAGGGGAAGGTGCGGCCTTGAGCAGAGCAAGGATGAGCAGTCTCTAGGTCTCTCCACAGTCATTTCACGAAGCTGCTTAGTTAGCTGTTGAGAACCCTATTGCATATGAACTTGACATGTATCATTCCGTTGCAATTCTTTTTTAGGGAGACAAGAATCTCTTGGAATTAGTGGAGCTGGCAGACCAAGCCTTGCGTACCTTCTCCTATCATCAGCACTTCCCCCTCATAAAGGAAATCCTCTGTATTTGTTCAAAGATGTAATACCTTCTTTCTTACTGTGATTATTTGATTGTAGGATGTATTGTATATATTTGTGTGTGTGTAAACTTAGGGTTAGTGAAAATGAGACTGTTCTTAAGTCTTTTATTTTTTAGTTTAAATTGCTTTTCTATGCACCTGCCCTTTGACCTGTGCCTGTGTGTATGTGCATGTGTCCCACACAGACATGCGTGTGTATATGTGCTTACGTCACACAGCATGTGTACATGTGTGTATGTCACACACACCATGCAATACATGTGTACACGCTAACATGTGCATACGTGTATATACATGTACGTGCCACAGAATGCATGTGTCCCACACAGACATATGTGTGTATATGCACTTATGTCACACATGCCATGCAGTACATGTGCACACACTAACATGTACATATGTGTATATACATGTACGTGCCACAGAATGCATGTGTCCCACACGGACATGCGTGTGTATATGTACTTACGTCACACAGCATGTGTACATGTATGTATGTCACACTACCATGCAATGCATGTGCACATGCTCACATGTACATACGTGTGTATACGTGTACGTGTCACGTAATGCATGTGTGTATATGTGTATGTGTCCCACACATGCATATCTGCATAACTGCCTTAGGACAGTTGGCTGTTTCATTTAGAGATAAATTTTGGAAATGTCATGCTTATACTCACAATGAGTAATCTTTAGTTTTTATACATTTAAAAATTTTTTGATATCCATTCAGATCAACTACTAAAGCATATTTGTTTTTGCTAGTTTAATTACTAAAGTTTTGTTTTGAAGCATTTGTGGTTTTGTAGCTTTTTGTTATACAGATTTTTAGGAATTATTGCGCAATGGTTACGTTTCTTAGAGCAGATCCCGCTTTAGAACTTAGCGTCTTTCTTCATTGCTTTTGGAAAGAATGAATGCCATGGTGTGATAAACATCAATTAATTGTGGATCTTTAAAGATGCTTTGTGTGTGTGTGTGCTCTTAAAAGAACATTTGCATCGACACAGATACATGTTTAGTTATGTATTTGATAATATTTTTTAGTTAGATAAGATCTCAATTGTGGAATTTGGTGCAGGAAGACGTCTCTATCAGTATGCTTTGCAGCCTGTTGCTTAGTCGTTTACTGGCCCTGAATGCCTGGGATCTTCTTCCTTTTTCGCAGCTGGAAATCGGCCCAGGCCAGTCCGCTCCTGCAAGGAGAAAGTCAGAAGGTGCTTCTGCGCATGCTGTCTCACCCAGTGCCACAAGTGAAAGCTGAAACCTACCGTGGCTGTCTGGAGATTGTTAAGGTGGGCTTTGATTTTGTTTAGTTTGGTTTTTGAGTGCTAGTGCTAGATTCTGTTATCAAAATTAAATTACTTGCCTTTCAAGATTTTAGAACTATCAGGTAAAAATAGAAGGTTATTACTAATTAGTTCTAGGAAATTTGTACTACTGAGTTACCTGGGATAATGTCATGTGCTTTTAAAAGCAATTTTTTTAAATTGCATATAGTGCAATTAAATGTAGAAGGCTACATTGTTGAAGTCTGCTGTTGTTTCAACTGTAATGTGTTTCCCTCTTGTGTCTTTTAATGTTGTGTCTGGTGTCTGGTGCTCTGAGGTCTCTTTGCGTTCCTGTAATGCACGCAGTGTTTGTATCTGGGCTAGGACGGAGTGCTCATGTTTACCTTCGTCTGAGTTACCGTCAGCCAGCGGTACTGACTATTGCTTGCTTCTCACTGTGCTATGCCTTTCAAGTGGAATTTGGGTGTTTATTAGAACTTACCATTTTATGATTGCATCTTTTAAACTCTCTTGCATACTTTTTGATATCTCTTTTAGTTTTATTTGCATAGAATCCCTCAGTATATTAATTTTTCCTTAGCTATGTCTCATCTGATTTTATTGTTATGAAATGTTCAAAACAAAGTTTACAATTTAGCCTATTTTGAAGTACACAGTTCAGTGGCAGAGGTGCCTTCACATTCCTCTACTGCTATTACCATATCTGTAGGAGTTTGGCTGTTCTAGGAACTGATGTAAGTGCAAGCATAAAGAATTTGATAGTGACTGGCTTGTTGCACTTAGCCCAGTGTCCTCAGGGTTCGTCCATGTGTAGTACCTATTAGAGTTCCATTCTTTTTAAGGTTTAACGGTCTAGTCTATGTGTGTACCACATTCTGTTTATCCTTTTGTCCATCCATTAAGGAGGATTGTCATGAAGGTCTGTTTTCACCTGAAATGTGTTTAAACAACACAACCAGCAGTTGGGGTGCAGTGAGTAAAGCCGCTGCCTGCAAAATTAACATCCAATGTTGGCGCGCCAGTTTGAGTCCTTGGAAACCCAGATATAGTTCTCAGCTTGTGGCTTTGAGCTGGCCTAGATGTGGTTGCTGTATCCGTTTGTGGAGTGGATCAGGGGATGTTAGATCTCTCTCTGTAACTTTGCCATTCAAACAAATAGATCTTAAAAAGAACAGCAGAGAGGAAAAAATTGCAGGAAGAGGGGTGGGTGGTGACTGTCTAGTGCAGCCAGCAGACAGGAATGTCAGGTGAGAAGGGAGGCGGGGTGAGAATCAGGAAGGCCCTGGGTGGGCTGGCTTTAGAGAGGGCCTCGGTGTCTGTGCGGAAGCTTTTACACAGTGCAAAGGAAAGAGGCCCTGCTGGTGTGGGGGGCAGTACCCTGGGGAATGAGGAAGGAAGGTTCAAGGACAGCAAAATCCTTTAAGGACTTGGGCCATGAAGGAGAACTGAAAGATGGGTATTGCCCAAAGGAGAGGCATGTTAGGAACTGTCGTGGTGATTGCAGTAATCCTGAAAGCAAGGAGATTAAAGAATTGGGAGGAGGCACCTGTGGCGTGAATCCTGATATTAGGTGAGTGTGGGAAATAGTGTTGCAGGTAGCGATTAATCTTTGAGAGGATTCATAGCGTGATTTTATTCTAGGCTAGTAGTCAGGTTGGTGAATTTAGTGATGGGAAAAGAAAGATGTTTCATTAAGGATTCTGAGGTATTTTCATTTTATAGGTGAGTAAACAACTCAGATTTTTAAGTATTTTCAAGAAGCAAGCTAATTTTAAGCCCTGGGCTGAGGTGTTAGCTCTTCTAAAAGCTTGGGATATGAAGTTGTGGCCTGAGGGTTATAGTTGAAAAGAGTGAATGTGGGTACTGTGTGTGTGTGTGTGAGTGAGATAAAGTCTTGGACTGAGTTTTATAGTGAAAAGAGTGAGTATTCTGTGTGTGTGTTTACTCTTTGACCTTTGAGTTGTTGGTAGTGGTCAAGAAGTAGTAATTTACAAGGTCAAAACTGTTGTATTTCTATAACTCATTATGGGTTGTATTTTAATCCTTTGCACTGTTCTCAAATTTGACTGTTACTTAAAGTAGTCTTTTTTTCTTAACTGAAATAACTTCTACAGATTATTCTCTATCAAAAATACTGTTCATTGTCAACAGTTGAGAAATGAGTTTATGATAATGAAAATGTATCCTGGTTATTACTTATTTTTCCTGTTCATTCCACTTCCTCCATATTGTCTGTTTCTGAAACCTCAGTAAATAAAATGCAATGTCTTAGGGTGATTAGACTTGATGTCATTTGTTACTCTGACCCACCTGAAGAGGTCACTGTTGCCTCAGCAGTTTGGCTGTTTTATTGAGATGGTCTTTATTGGCAGAAGATACTACAATGTACATCTCAAACAGGCTCAAAAACTGTTCAGATGTTTTATGTCTAATATTAATTGAAGCAGAAGTTCAAATGAAATGAAAATTAAAATTGGACCTGAATTATAAATATAAGAAATAGAGCTTTTAGAAAAATCAAGTCACTGATTGAAAAATCTTTTTATAATTTTGCAGGAATGTTTAGGTGTCCATAATGTCACAAAACCTGTGTCTTCACTTTGTAATGGGATTAATTTTCTACTTCATCCGAAAGTTCTGTATGAAATCTCTGCATTTGGTATGCAAGAACCCCAAAATGAGGTATAACATGTTAAAAATAGTGTAAAAGGTTATTGTTTTTTAATATTCAACCAAGATCATATCTAATAACACTAGATAGTATATTGGGAAATTAAAAGAAACTTGTCTCTGATATATTGATGCGGTTGAATTATTATTGAAATAAAAAGATGGTAAAGTGTGGGAATCAAAATATGGAGTCTACGTTAAGAATTCAGGTCAAATGGTTTACTAATATTTTTCATCTCAGATATAAATAACTATACAGTGGATGCAAACAGGTTATTTCAGTAAGGGATTTTTTATTCTGTGGGAAAAATGCATCTTAACATAAAAATGTGGATGTCATTAAGACAGAAAAGCTAGTTGAGAAACCTGTAATCTATACTATGAATCTTAGAATTGTACACAAGATGTATGAAATCTGTTCTGTATGTTAATGAAAGTTAAAGTAAAGATGTTGCTGTGGAAAGGACACATTTGGGGAGAGGCTCCGGTGCTGTCCTGCAGAGCGTAAGGTACCGTGTGCTGTGTGCTGACAGGTGAGTGCTGCTGCCAAGGCGATTCTGCTGTATCTGCTGCAGGGCCGGCTGATGATGACAGCGCTGACCTGGAGCAGGTTTATTGAGTCGCTCTGTCCAGTCATTCCGGTACTACAGGTAATCTGCACTGCAGCTTTGGGATGCCATTTCTTTCGATAAGTGTGATTTATTTAAAGGCATGCCTACAGCAGAACTGCAATGTTGAGAGAAAAACGAGGAGAAGCCTTGAAGGCCCTCCAGAAAAGTGAACGGAATCGCTGACTGTCTTGTTCCTGCCGGGAAGTTGAGCTGGGGTGGCTACTCTGTATTTTACATACCTGGAGGGGAGGGAAATGTGAGGCACAGATCTTTGCTGTTGACTGTGAGAACTGGAGCTCAGCTGTACAAAACGTCCAGGAGCACGTGTCTGGGCTTTTCTATCAAACATTGTACAGCTAACCTGGCTCAGGACATCTGTCTGTGCACCTAAGTTTACAAACTCTTGCAAATAGTCCTTTTAGCAGTCCTGAACTTAAATGAAATGTAGAAATAGGTAGTGGCATCTTAACAGGCATACTTCTCTGATATGAAAGCCCAAGCCTTTGTACTTTTGAAAAGATTTACTTAATTTGGAAGGCCAGAATTAAGAGACGGTGAGAATGAGAGAGAGAGAATGGATTTCTTTTTGCCGACGTACTCCTCAAGTAACTGTAATGGCAGAAGCGAGGAGCCAAAAGCTTCATCCAGGTCTCCCAGGTGGGTGTGGGGCACAAGTAACTGGGCCATGAAGACCGCTGCATTCCCACACACATTAGGGAGCTAGCTTGGAAGTGGACGAGACGGCCAGGAATCGAAGCGACCCCCAGTTGGGATGCTGACACACGCAGCCACTAGGCTCGGTGCTGGCGCTGGCTTCGTTTGAGGCTCATGCAGTTCTGTTCATGCATGTAGTGTTTGTTGCATTCCATTTTTGTATTTGGGGATAGGGATTCATCTGTGAGGTGCTTCATGTGGGAGAGGTGTCATTGCTACAACCTTGGAAAAAAAGGAAAATAAGTACTAGCAGGGTTGACATATATTTTTCCAGTGTTTTTCTTTTTTTATATTTGAAAGTTGGAGTTACAAAGGGATGGAAAGATGGAGCAGGGAGGAAGAGAAGAGTGAGCGAGCTATTCCATCTGCTGGGTCACTGGCTAGATGGCCCCATGGCCACGGCTGGGCCAGACTGAAGGCAGCAACTTCATCTGGGTCCCCCACTTATGGAGTGCATCCGGATGCTTGGGCTCTCTGCTGCTGTTCTGGGGCTGTCAGCAGAAAGGGAGATGTGAAGTGGAGTACCCGGGATGTGAACTGTGCCACTGTGGGATGTAGGGCCTCAGGACTGGCTTTGCTCAGGTGCCACAGTGCTGGCTCCTTCCAGTATGTTTTCTAAATCAGGTTTTTACTTTATTTTTATTTTATTTTTTTTAGACATCTTACCTCATATAACTTAGTTTGAAAAAGTGACTTACTGAGTTGAAAGAAATTTCTGAGTTACTTGACAAGTATATTGTCAAGTTGAAAATTACTGTATAAAATTGCACACACATTCCTCTTTTAATAACCTCTCTTAGGGCTATGCTGACACAGAAGACCCTCTGGGGAACTGCATTCTCTTGCTGAGCAAGGCAGGTCCGGAGGCTGGGGAGGAGCTTCTGCCTGGGACCACCCGGTTAAAGTCTGTGCTGCGGCTTCTGCTTGTGAAAAAGCCCTCGTGAGTACTGGCTAGTGTTCTGAATGTGAAAGAATAGTGGAAACACTTTCAGATGGGGGAATTATGATAACTATGTGATGCTGCAGAACTAAACAGCACAAAGAAAGGTGATCTTTATTTCTAAATGGAGTAAGCTATAATACATGAAGCTAAGCAAAAGTTTGCTTTCCCAGAATGTTCCATCCGTGATAGAGTTCCCGCGGCTTGCCCGAGCAGTGTGTTAGGGACTGCCGGAAGAGGTGTTCGGTGAGAGTGCCCGCCAGTCACACGTGTCAGCGTGTATCCCCATCCCCTCCAGGAATTAGTTGCCTTCCAGAGTGTTTCTCTTCTAACCATTTGTTCTGAGTTTTTATTTATGAAAGTCTAGAGCCTCCATTGCCTCAGATTCTAACGTTTGATAGATACTTTCATCTCCATTTGCCTCCTCGGGAAATGGGAAAAATTTTTTTTTCTGACCTTGGGTGTGGTTTCATTTTAACTCCAAGAAAAGGAGGAGAATACATCAGGTTCCTTCTCTCTCCAGTGCAGCAAGAACCGTCTTTGTCACTCTCTTCAGGGAACAGCACTTAGACTTTCCTACAGAGAAGGGCAACCTTCTAGTCAAGTAGGAGCACTGATGAAGAGACGCATCTTGTTTTAAAGACCGAGAGGAACATAAAGATGTTCTTCCTGACAGTGGTTCATTTTGTTTCCCCCAGTCTTGCCTCAGATGGCCAGACTGAAGGATAATTGGGTGAAAATAAAATGAAACATTTAGAGAGTGGGGGGAGCAACGTCAGGGGAAGAACTGAAAGTCTGTTGTGTGGAGGGTGCAGGGTGGGTGGGGGAAGGCGCAGGGTGGGTGCTGCAGGCGGAGTGGAAGGTGCAAGGTGGGTACTGCAGGCACAGGGTGGGTACAAGGTGGGTGCTGTAGGTGAGGTGGAGGGTGCAGGGTGGGTGCTGCAGGCAAGGTGGAGGGTGCAGGGTGGGTGGGGGGAAGGCGCAGGGTGGGTGCTGCAGGCGGAGTGGAAGGTGCAAGGTGGGTACTGCAGGCACAGGGTGGGTACAAGGTGGGTGCTGTAGGTGAGGTGGAGGGTGCAGGGTGGGTGCTGCAGGCGAGGTGGAGCCGCATAGCCCTGTGTTGCTCTTCCTGATGGGGTGGTCCCGTATGTGTTCCCACAGTCCCTGAGTGCCATGTGTACAAGTGGGTTAGTGAGTAAGCCTTACTCTCCAAGCCCTTTGAGCAGCGACGCACTGCCTATTTATGGAGCCTAAGTCCCCAGCACAGACATTCATATTAGGTAGACATTCAGGACCTGAAGGCCAGTCCTGACCTCTGGGTAGAGCGAATCTCTGTTATGCAGAATTTAAATAATTTGAGTTGCATGTTTTTTTTTGTTATTGCATGATTAATTCTGCCCCATGCTATCCGTAAGCTCCATGAAAACAGGGGCTCTGTGAGGTGGCTGCTCTTGGCGTCCCGCCTTGGCCCCGCCTTGGCCCTGGCCTGCCACTCCCACGCCAGCTGCTTTTTCATTTCATCATCTAGTGTTGTGTAACACTTAATATTTTCTTGGAACTTTCCCACCTCCTCACCCAAATCACCATAATCCTAATCTGTACCAAATGAAGACTCTGATGGTAATTATATTAGTTGTATTTTCATGTTTGAGAGGAGTTTTGAGTCTAAATGAGAGAAACTTGTCCAATTTAGTGTCCGACTTCTTGAAGTTGAGTGATATTCAGTTTGAGTTAATTTGTAATTTGTCCTTTGTTTCTGATTTTTATTTAGTAAATACTGTTAAGCTGAATAATTGTGGTTATATGGGAGAGATTTAATGGAAACATATTACTGTCAGTATTACAGATGATTACATATTGGGTGCGTCCTTGTTGTTTGTGATGATGGGCCTTCCTCATAGTCCTGAGCGTGAAGATGTTGACTGAAGTGTTCTGTGCTTTCAGGGTGCGTTCACTAGCGTTAAAGCTTTTAGCGTTCCATCTTACCAGTGAAGAAGGGGCTGACACAAAACGCCCGGCCATAGATGCCAGAGTTCTTTCCAGGGTTACTAACTTATTTATTGTGAAAAAGCCCATTGAACTCAAATTAGATGACAGAAGAGAACTGGTTATTAAGGTACTGTAACTTTAAGTTGATTGCTTCGTCATTGCTTGATTCCTTAGTTTATCAGATTTCTGCAACATTCTCGTTTGTTTCCTGCAGAAGGGGAAGGGGCTTAGTGGTTCAAGACCATCTTGAAACTCTGTTCTGGCTGTATCTAACTTCTGTAGGATATATTTGTTCCTACCATGAGTGCTCATCCTTTGCTAGACATTATTCCCCTTTCAATTCAATATATACACATGCGACATAAATGAGTTTGAAAACATTATTAGATATAATACAAGGGGAATTTAGTGGAAACAGCTTTTGAAGACGTGTAGAAGGAAGTATTTCCTGTGATGCCCTTAGGGAACTGAAGGAGTGCCTGGGTGTGAACGACTTCCCAGCAGGAACGTATCTATGATGAGAAGAGCTTGTTTGATGTGATGGCTCTTCACTTGAGGTGACAGCTCCTTCCTGACCCGCCACACTGTGGCTGCAAAATTAATGTGAAGGTCTTGGTTACGTAACTAATTTAGTTTCCTGAGCTTCTTATTTTTATGGCATGAACTGTATGTTTTATTAGAGAATTGAGAACATATGAAATGTTTCCCTTCTTTCTTGAATTGTAGTTGGAGATGGTTGAAAAGGTTTATGAAATTTTCACCTCAGATGATGTGGATGTTCTCTTGAGAAAGTCAGCTGCAGAACAGTTGGCTGTCATCATGCAAGGTAATTGTTCTACCTGCTAAGGGAATTCTAGAATGTTGTGTAAGTGCTGGGCCAGGTCTGGCCTGTGGCCTGTTTTGTCTTTACAACCCTCAAATTAAGAGTGGTTTGTACATAGTGTCGTTAAAAAACAACCCTCACCAAATCCGCAGGATCCGTGGTGGAGATATGTTGTCCACCAAGCCCGACATATTGACTGCTTGGCTTTTACACAGGTGCACTTGCGTCACCAGATGGTTTAGAACTAGTAAGTATATCAAAAGGCACTAGTTCATTATCAATGTCTGTTTGCTTTTCTTACTGAGAGTGAAAGAAGAGAATGTGTCTGCTGTTGGGTATTTGCAGCAGTTAGAATTTTTAGCTCTAGTAACTTCTCTCTCTTCCCCTGTAATTCTTGTTTTTTTTTTTTTTAAGATTTACTTATTTTTTTAGATTGGAAAGTCAGATTTACAGAGAGAAAGAGACAGAAAGATCTTCATCTGCTGGTTTACTCACCAAGTGGTCACAATGGCCATAGTTGAGCTAATCTAAAGCCAGGAGCCAGGAGCCTCTTCCAGGTCTCCCATGCGGGTGCAGGGTCCCAAGGCTTTGGACCATCATTGACTGTTTTCCCAGGACACAAGCAGGGAGCTGGATGGGACACAGGGCTGCCAGGATTAGAACCGGCGCTCAGATGGGATCCCAGCATGTGCAAGGCGAGCACTTTAGCCGCTAGGCAACTGCACCAGACCTTATAAGTGCTTTATTAAAGTTACAGTATGTGAATGTTTTTTGAAAAGTTGATGTTCTTCAGAATACAGCCCTTTGAAATCCATTGCCTTTTATGTTTATTATTGATAGTTTAAAAATAAAGGCATTTTATTACAAAGGAAATTTTAGTGTAGTAAACTATATTTACTTGTTTGCTTGTAGAGAATTCTTAATACTTTGAATTGATAAAATTGAGAAATTCCAATGAAACAGTTGTAAAAAAGGTAATTTGCTACGTACAAATAAAAAAAGTTGTTTATACACTAAATTCTAGCACGTTTCAAAAAGTCTGAAGTGGTTTACATAATTATTCTTTCTTAAAAATTTTTATCTTCTAGAAATGGAATATCCATATTATAAATTTTCAAATTATGCATATATATATATTCAGTAAAATGTTTCTTTTAATATCAATCTTTTTGGCAGTGTGAAAGCTTTGGCTATCTGATCTTTTTATTTCAAAATATATTCATAAGTTTTAGTAACTTAACTTAGTGTGTTTTTTTTTGCAGATATTAAAATGCATACTGTTGTTAAAAAGTTATGCTTAATTGACAAGATAATTGGGTACTTAAGTGAATGTGTGGGTCAACATGGGAAGGTAAGGATAATTTACATCTAGATATGTTTTTATTGGTTACTGATTTTGTTAATTACAGTTGAAATTCAGCTGAGTTTATTGAATGCTTGGATTTTAAACTCCAGGTAACAGTATTGTCTCATTCATTGCTTTAGAAGTGCGGTCTGTGTAAAGGAAACGTGGTCTTAAAATTCACACAAATTACGTAAACAGGATTAACTAGAAAGCGTGCAATGTTTTAATGGTCATCTCTGTGTTACTTATATTTTAGTTTCACATATGTATTTTAAAAGATTTGCTTATTTGAAAACAGAGTGACAGGTGAAAGCCGACACCTGAACCCCATTTCTGTCTGTCTGAACGGCAGGGACCCCAGTCCTGGGCCTCAGGGGGCAGCCTGCACTAGAGCCAGACATTGTAGTGTGAGATGTGAGTGTTCCAGGTGGTCGTTTACTGCTGGGTCACAGTTCCCCCTCCACCAGTTTCACATAATTTTGACTGAAAGGCATAACATTAAAATCAGATAACAACATTATGATATGTTTTGTCTTACCTTGAGTTTGGGGCAGTTGATAGCCGTCTTTTCCTCTCCTGGCTAGGTGATGGAGTGCTTGGTCCAGCCGTGCCTCACGCTCCTGAGGAAGGTTTTGTGTGCTGATGCAGTTGTGCGTGTCTCCCTCTCGCAGCAGCCTTCTCTCTTGATCCTGTTATTCAGAGGTGAACAAAGTCTCTTAATAGTGAGATCAGTCTTAAGCTCTAAGTGCTTATTCATTGTAGATAACTTTTACTTTTCATTTCACTAATGAATAATGGAGTTTATTAGTGAACTTGACATTAAAAAACTTACAGTGGGACACATTTAATTTTTGAAACATTGTTTTAGAAGGCCAGGTTACAAAGAAGGTAGACGAGAGAGGGAGGGAGGAAGAATGAGAGAGAGAGAGAGGAAGAAAGAGGTAAGTTTGACCTCTTGGTTCACTCCTGAAATGGTTGCAGTGCACAGGGCTGGGTAGACGGGAGCCAGGAGCTTCATGTGCCTCTCCCGCGTGGGTGCGGGTCCTGGTACTGGATCGTCCTCCATTGCTGTGCTCGGAGACGGAGCTGCCAGTCCTTCAGCTGGTGCTTACATGGGATGCTGGCACAGCCACAGCACAAGCCCCTTGTTGACTTTCGATCATACTGATTATGTAATGATGTTTTTCTTTTTTTTCATTCAGGGCAAACATCTTTGAAAACTATATTTCTTGCTGTTTTCCTAAGCAGTAACTATTCTGTTGTTATTCCTGTGTGATTGTTAGGACCACAATACTTTTTTGTTTAGAGTTTCATGTTTTAATTACTGAGAAATTGTGGAAGTAGAAGGTAAAGCTTATTAATGTTAGAGTATTTGATCAAGCCACTTACTTATGTAGCAATAGAGCTGGCATTTTTTTGGAAATAATTATTTACTTTTGCTTAAAAGTCAGAGTTACAGAGAGAAGTAGAGTCAGAGACCTCTTCTGTTCCCCAGCTCCCTCACCAAATGACTGCAGTGGCGGAGTTGGGCTGGGCCAAAACCAGGAACCAGGATCCTCTTTTTGGTCTCTTACGTGGGTGCAGGGGCCCACTGCTTTCCCTGGCCTTTAGCAGGGAGTTGGATCAGAAAGGGAACCTCTTAGATTCGAACTGGTGTCTAGATGGGATGTTGGTGCCAAAGGCAGAGGCTTAGCTTGCTACGCCTTAGTGCCGGCATCTAGAGCTGGCATTATGCAAGTATTTGTATTTGTTGAGAACTCACTCCTTTTTCATCATTTTGTTATAACAACAATGAAGCAGACATATGTTTCGGAGTCAAGTCCAAGATCTATGGTTATACATTGCTAATAAATGATAGCAATTGTAAACAGATCTTTCAATAAGGATACTTTGGTCACAGTTAAGTGACCTGGCAAAATCTTTCTAGAAAGTGACACTGCACAGTGTCTGGCTAGTTGGTCTGCAGGAGTGGCTTCTAGAGCAGCAGGGTCTGCATCCACTGAGGACTAGAGCTCTGAACGCTGCCGTCTGCCCCTGCGTCTTCTGTATAAGGAAATGTATTGCAGCAGAGTGATGGCAGTTTTACCGGCCAGTGTATCCTTTTACCTTGAAATTCAAAAGATTTCTTCAATTTGAGGTTCATTTTTTTAAGAAGTAAAAATATTTCCTATTTTTTTATCCATCAGTTTCCTTGATATTTCATGAAGACTGTACTGTTGTGACTGAAGTTGGAGCATTGCTTTGTCTTTTGTTATTTGATGAAGTATCAAGAATGGATATGTGGTAAGACATAAAAGCTTTTTTTAAAAACTGTTAATTACTCTAGGCTTTTGGTGCAATCTATAGCAATGTCCTCGGAAATAAGACTCCTGTGTTGCCATTCATACAAGTCCCTAATTAAGGAACAAATGATTATACTACCTTTGCATGGTATGATATTTCAGGTTAGCTAGATGGTATTAACACTGTCACAAAAAGTCACCCTGATATTTTTAGCATGATGAAGTACAGAATTAAAAATTACTATAATGGTTTTTGTCTATGACATTTTTAGTACCTTCAACTTTGTATTTTTTTCTTTAATGTCTTTTAGTAAACGGTTAGGAAGATGTTTAGGTTGATAGCATCTGATTAACATTGACCATGAGCAGGGTTTGTGGGAGATGCAGAGTCCGCCTGCCAGTGCAGGTGATGCGTTACGGGCATCATTTAGGATACTGGAAGAAAAGCAGAATTTATTCTTCCTGTGCAAAATTCAGGTAGTAGCAAACATGTTGTAACTTTGCTAAATAATAGATCTAGTTTCAACTCTTGATTGTATTTTTAGGCAAGGAAATGAAAGAAGCTGTAGCTGTATTCAAACTCAAATCAACCTGATGTGTTTGTTTTGTTGTTTAAAATAGGTCTGTGGATCCTGCCACTAAACCTTCCTCGTCAACAGCCTTCAGTTTGCCTGTTTCAGTTTTCAGAAGGTAAAGAATTTATTTCTGATTTTCTTTTTTCTTTTTTTTTTTTTGTTAAAGACTTATTTATTTTTATTGGAAAGGCAGATATACAGAGAGAGGAGAAGAGACAGGAAGATCTTCTGTTTGGTGGTTCACTCCCCAAGTGAGTGCCACGGCTGGAGCTGGAGCTGAGCCAATCTGAAGCCAGTCTGAAGCCAGGAGCCAGGAGCTTCTTTCAGGTCTCCCACATGGGTGCAGAGTCCCAAAGCTTTGGGCTGTTCTCAGCTGCTTTCCCAGGCCACAGGCAGGGAGCTGGATGGGAAGCAGGGCTGCCGGGATTAGAACCGGTGACCATATGGGATCCCAGCGCATGCAAGACGAGGCCTTTAGCCATTATGCTATCGCTCTGGGCCCTATTTCTGATTTTCTTTAAGGATAAAGTAATGTTACAGAAAGGGAAACCGTGATCTCTACATTTTAAAAGGTTTAGTTAAATTTAATGATATAATTTGTAGTGCTTTTGTGTTTGAAGATTTCAGTAACTATTCCATCCTGTCATTGAGTTTTATTGTGGTAAGCTTCAGAGCTAAGCAGAGCTGCAGGGTCCTGGAGTGCACACGGATGATTCAGCATGGAGTCGTCAGTGCTCGCCTCTGGTCTAAGTGCTCGCTCCCTGTGTTTGCCTACGTTTATATTCATGTTTAACTGCCACCTGAAACCTCATGGGAGGTTGCAGGCTTCAGCCAGGGTCTCGTGTTAAACCTGGATTTCTAGTCATCTTTAGACTTTTTTTTCATAAAAATACTTTTTTCTTTTGAAAGTTTTTTTGTTAATATGATGAGGAACTAATTTCAAGTATTTCATAGATACAATTCTAAGAAGATAACCATTTTATTCTATACCTTTTTTGGTGTTCTATAATAGCTAGTACATATAAGGGAAAACATATTTCTTCTGTTCCCACTTGCTTACGTTTCAGTGCAAAAGGCAAAATTTAATTTTTTTATTGCTAATTCAATCTCCATTTAGTTATTGGTCTATTTAGGTTTTCTCTGTTTTTTATGACTCAGTTTTTGGTAGATCGTGTATATTCAGGAATCTATCCATTTTTTGATTATTCAGGAATCTAATTGTTGGCATTTAGCTGTTGGTAGTCATTCATGGTGATTATTTTTGATGAATCCGTTTTAGTATTTCCTTTTCTTCTCTGATTTTATTTTTTATTTGAAAGGTAGCCAGAAAAAGATATAAACAGAGATTGTTTACTCACTGGTATAGTTTCCAGATATTTACAGCAGTCCAGAAATGTGCCAGCCCGAAGCCAGTAGCCTGGAATGTTATCTGGGTCTCCCAGTTGGGCTGTCAGCTGCAGGTGCGTTAGCAGGGTCTGTGCTCTGGGACTGGAAATACACATCCTGGCAGGGGTGAGCATCTACCATGCAGCGGTTTGAATGCCCTTGTCTGAAGTATCTGCCCATTTTTGAAGTCATCTGAAAGTTTAGAGTAGGATGAAGGAACAAGACCCAGTGTGCAGTGTAATAATGCTAGTACGGGGCATGCTGCCTGAGTTCCTATCTGCTGACCTTTGGAGTAGTATCTGCACCTTTGGAAGTTTGTAATATTTGTCCATGTTTTCTCCAGGTATCATCTCCCTGTGTGTGTAGTTGGCCACCATGCTGTGAGTCCTTACGCCATGGTTTTGCCATTATCTGCTGATTGTTTGGCCTTGAAACCCGTATCAGACATGCTGCGAGTAGCTTGGAACCTGTCGTGGTATCATGGGTGTGATAATTTGTTGAAGCATGTGAACTCTGGAGCAGAAGTCCCGGAGTAAGCTGTTATATCTACTTGAACAAGCATTTGTAGTAAATTAATTATAATTCATTAGGATTTCTTTCTTAGGTTTGTAGCTTTTTCACTTGATGTCATTTGGTTTTCTGTTTTCCTGAAGTTTGTCATTTTAACTGTTTTAAATCATGAAAAGGAAGCAAATTTGGTATATTTCATAGACACATTTTAAGTACCTAGTGACTATGACTCCCCATTGTATCCTGTTTTCTTATTTTTCGTTACATTTTTGCAATAACGTATTTTCCTTTAGAATCACAAACTTGAATAACGTATTCCGCAAGTAGTAATTAGGAAAGCCACTGTTCCTTAATAGTACAGGCAAGGCAATAAGCAATAAGTCCCAAAATGACAGTGCCACTCAGGTAACTTTTTGTACTCTGTGTATTAATTACTGTAAATCAGGATGAGCACGTCTTTTGGGGTATTGGTCAATTTCATTAAACAAAATGGCCATTACTTTTAAAAATCTATCACATAAAGAACTTTAAAAAATACTAAACTGTATGTTACATTATGCAAGGAATCTTTAAAATGTTGGTGGAAAATGAGTATTCACAAAAAAAATCATGAATTCAGGAAGTTTTTTCCTCCATGAAACATTTATTTATTAATTCAGTTTCCCATGAAGTATCCTTATAATGAAATTTAGTTAGTTAATAGATGTACAGTGTTAGGAATAGAGCCCTGAATTAGAGTAAGCTCAACAGATGTGTGTATTTTGAATATCTTAACACCTGAATTTTTGTCTTTTTATGTGAATACAAATGTTTCAGTAAGGAAGAACAATTCAATATGAACATTTGAGATGCTTGTGTAAAAACTGTTATGTCCAACTTTTTGTTGTAGGTCAACTTGTAATACAAGAAAATAAAAATATAACGGCATTTTGGCTACAGAGTTCTTCAGAGAAATAAATGTGAGCTTCAATGTAAATAGTTTTTCTTGCTGTCTTTCTAATTTCATCTAGGTTTTTAGATGACTTGAAGCTATCTGCAGAGGACATCCTTTGCCTGAAGGTGACACACGTGGCCAGTGGGCTGCAGGACTGCCTGCACTGCATTGTTCAGGCTACAGCCCACAGGGAGGTCAGAGCTGCTGTTGCTAGGATGGATTTTTATCTTCTGAATGACAGACTGACTGTACAGGGTGGCGCTGGCTCGTGTGGGCCTCCCTTGAAGTCCTTGGCTTGGCATACTGCCCTGAACAGGTCAGTATAAACTGAAGATTGCGGGTTCAAAGACTGGGACTGAATTGTATCTGGGCTCATCTCAAAACTTTTGAGGATCAGAGTGTGTTCTCACTGCTGCTGTCATGAGGGAAATGTGTTTTTTAATGGAATAAGACTCCAGGATATTTATTATGTGTAACAATAGCAAAAGAGAAAAATTTTAGTCACTGCATTTTTGAAGACAGCAAACTTACAAACATTTGCTCTCCTTTCTTACAATTTTTGTTTCATGAAACTGTCAGGGTAAGGTGTGGCTGAAGTCAGTGCAGTGTCTGTCCATATGACCAACGGGCTGAAGCAGCAGGTTGATGAGTAGGCTTGGTACACCTGCCAGGGGCTGTTTTGTTTTGCGTTTGTTTTGTTCTTAAGCAAATTATCTCATTTTTCTTATTCTGAATTTCATGAAGTTGATTGCCATGTGGAAGTCCTTTAATAGTTATTGGAAAGGCTGTAGCTTGTAAATTTAGCACATTTAACTGGTAGCAGATGGTTGCATTTGAAACAAGACTGATAAGCAAATGCTGCAAGCAATTTTTCATTTTGGTGTTCGTGTGACTTTAGTATAAAATGTATAACTTTTTTTTTTATTAAGCATGAAGTTATGATTTCCAGAATGCTTGGTTAAATGAGCTTCCAAAAAATAAACCCTTTTATTTAGTTTTATTTTAATAATTGGGATATGTCATTAGATTTTTCGGTGGCATGCTAAAATCAGCCAGTACTATTTTGTCAGAAAGCTGATGTTTAAATTTTCAGAATTTTTGCAAGTGTTTAAAGACTTTTTTAATGAAAATTTATTTATTTGAAAATGCAGGAAGAGAGGGAGAAACGTGAAAATAGAGAGGGTGTGATACCTTTCAACTGCTGATTGACTGCCCGGATGCTTGCGTTGGTCAAGGCCTGAAACTCCAGCTGTGTCTCTCATGTTGGTGGCAGGGGCCCAAGGAATAGGATTGTCTCTTGCTACTTGCAGGGAGCTGAATTAGAAGCAAAACAGCCGGGACTTGAACCTGCCTGCCCTCATTTATGGGCTGCCAGTGTCACAGCCCGAGCTTCATCTGCTGGGCTACGGCAGTACAGCTCTTCCTAAAAATGAAATATAGGGCCAACAGTGTGGAACAGCGGGTCAAGCCACTACTAGCAGTGCCAGTAATGTCCCCTGTTTGTGCTGGTTCAAGTCTTGGTTGCTCCACTTCTAGTCCAGCTCCCTGCTAACAGGCCTGAGAAAGTAATGAAAGATGGCCAAGGTTCTTGGGCCCCTGCATCCGCATGAGAGACCGAGTGGAAGCTTCTGGTTCTTGGATTGGGCCTGGCCCAGCTCTAGCCATTGTGGCCATTTGGGGAGTGGACCTGTGGATGTGTGATCTCTGTCTTTCTCTCTTTCCCTCTCCCTCTGTAACTCTGCCTTTCAAATATGTAAAGTCTTAAGTATGTGAATTAAATGATTTGTTTGAAAATAAGGGTAATGAATATGTAAAAGCCATCACTTTCTAATTATTTTACTGTTAGCAGTGGTGTGGAGATTGTACTGCATCTGTTTTATTGAAGTGCTGCATAATGAGTGGTTTGTTACTGTGCAGCAGTGGGATTGTTGCCCAGGACTAACGTAAGTGGCAAGTGCAGAACATGTTTAGGTTGTGTTAGCTCTCTATATCCAGGGGTTCTGAATTTGTGGACTCAACCAAGTACACATTGAAAAGAGTTGACAAAAAGAAAACCACATCTATACTGGGCATATACAAACTTTTTCTCTTTTGGTTATTTCCTAAATAATATAATAAATCGACTCTTTTTTAAAAAAGTTACTTAATCGGAAAGGCAGATTTACCGAAAGGAGACAGAATGATCTTCCTTCTGTTGGCTCTCTGCCCAAACGGCTGCAGTGATTGTAGTTAACCTGATCTGAAGCCAGAAGCCAGGAGTCTTCTTGGTATCCCAGGCAGGTGCAGGGTCCCAAGGCTTTGGGCAGAGTCTGCTGTTTTCCCAGGCCACAAATAAGAAGCTGGAGTGGCTGTGGTGGGAACCGGCACCCATTTGGGATGTCAGTGTTTGCAGGCAAAGGATTAGCCAATTGAGCCATAATGCTGGTCCTGCATGTGAACTCTTTACCTAAGGTTTGCGTTCTATTGGCTTGTAAGTTAGCCAAGATGATTTAAAGTATGCGTGGAGATTGAGTATGGAAGGGGTATGAGCGTGTGCTGAGCTTTGTGCCCATGAGTGTCATGGGGCCTCTGCCCTAAGGGTCAAAGAACCTCTACTTCCATCGAGGCTCGTGTTTGAGCATTACCAGCATAGGCAGTACTGCCTAAAATAAAACCTCCTGTATTTATCCGGAGGCATGTTTTGTTAAGTAATGTATCAAAAGTATGTACCATATAATTGCTTTTTTAGGAAAAAAGTCTAAAAGCTATTTCTAATTTCAGAAATAATATATGAGTGGGCTTTGAGAACTTTTGCTTATGTCCACTTGATGGAACATCATGTTTTGACTGGTTAGGATACATTAACACTTATAAAGGAGAGTATTCCTTAACAGTCATGATGACAAAAGCTTTGAGGTCTGTGCTTACTGGGTTTATAAAATTGTATGTACAGATATTCTAAACTATCATTCTAAATAAAACAGTAAGACTCTTCTATATATTGTTTTTAAATAGTATGCTTTGGGCATTTCCTAATCCACAGAGTATACCTTGAGTCCAATTTTAAAAAGTATGTGAGATATCTAAATGAATGTCCTCCCCCAGAAGGAAGCCTTTCAGGAATAAGGATGTGGATTATGATAATTCTGACTTTGCTCAGATATTTCTGAAATTATCCCCCTAGGATATTTTAGATAGTAGGTTTAAACATGTCTTATGTTACAATATCATGTTTAATTGTGTAATCAAAAATGACATTAATGTACCCCCTTAAAGATTGGAAAATGAATACTACCCAAAGGTTTAAAAGGGTATCTTTATATATAAAAATATGTATACATATAATATGTATAAATGCGTGATGCACACACTGAAAACATAGAATACTACAGTGAAATATCACTTCATCACTATGCACACGAATATTTTTCAGTGCGGCAGCAAAAAGTGGCTGCCAGAGTGTTTTTATGCATAATACTGTAACTTCTAAAGATAGTTTTATAAGCTGATTATTTTAAGCAATTGAATATTAATTTGTGGCTCTATGTTTTCTGTGTGAATAATAACATGGGCCTGTACTACTATAATTCCATCTCATTTTGAAAACATTTTAAGAAAGTAGGTGGTTTGTGGTTCAGTAGAATCACAGGTTTACATACATTGGTCTTCTTGAAGCAGTTCCTACTGCCTTTGTGGCTTACTGTCCCTCTGCGCCTTTCCTATTGAAATTACTATTGCTGGGCCCAGCGCGGTGGCGCAGTGGTTAAGGTCCTCACCTTGCACGCCCGGGATCCCATATGGGCACCAGCTCTAAACCCGGCAGCCCCGCTTCCCTTCCAGCTCCCTGCCTGTGGCCTGGGAAAGCAGTCGAGGACGGCCCAAAGCTGTGGGACCCTGCACCAGAGTGGGAGACCCGGAAGAGGCTCCTGGCTTCGGATCGGCATAGTATCGGCCCGTTGCAGCTCACTTGGGGAGTGAATCATCGGACGGAAGATCTTCCTCTCTGTCTCTCCTCTCTGTATATCCGCCTTTCCAATGAAAAATAAAAAAATAATAAATCTTTAAAAAAAAATTAAGAAATTACTATTGCTGGTGTGCCTGAGGCTTTGACCATTTTTCTGCTGGACTTTAGAATGATCGATTTATTGTGTATTCAACTGTCAGCCTTTTGCCACTATTCGTCTTGGTTCATCCTCCTGCCAGGTCTCCTCTCTGGCGTGGATGGAGTTCGGAACTCTTAGTGTGGCATGGAGGCTTCTCCTTGATCAGGCCCTCATTGCTTTCTCAGCTGTATTTCCCAGCTCTCCCTAACGATACTGTGGTTCTATAAAGTACACTTTTTTGTAGTTCTGTGAACCTGCTTTGTTCTGGGGCATGCACTTGTTGTCACTTCTTTGCTCATGTTTACACACTCTTCAGGTTTGGGTCAAGGTTTCCCTCTGCTGTTAGGTGAGTAGGCAGTGACTCGTGCCTGTGCTGTGTGGCTCCCGTACGTGTCCTCTCTCCATACGTGCCGGGCTTATCAGATTCCCTCTCTACCCTGTGCGTACGGCACAGCACGCTGGGCACAGGTGGTGCCTAATAAGTGCTGAAGACTTTATCCTGCATTCAGTCCAACTCCTGGTACTTGAACAATCCCCTGGGTAGCCCTGTACAGTGGCTGTGTAAGCTCAGCATGAACCCTCCATCGAGGCGATGTTCGTTTTGTTTTTGAGCTATGATTATTATAAATGTTTCCTTCCTTTGAACTGCCTCCTGGTAATTTCTGCCTGTAGACCATCACAGTAACAGACTCAATCCTGACTTTAAATATGTGTGAAAACTAACCAATGATCTAACTGAATATAACCTCATCTCTTTTTCTCCTCTCAGGTTCTGCTTTTACTTTCAGACATACTTCAAAAGCCATACTATCCCTGCATCTCATTTGTCCATGCCTTTTTATCAATGTTCTGTTTACTAGGGCTCTGTGATGGACGTGATGGTTTTTAACAGAGAAGTTCGTATGAGCTGACACGTGTTTAAACAAAGGGGCTAGTGCCTTTTCCAAGTGCTCTTCCATCATTCAGCAAACATTTGTTGATCGCCTGCCAGGTGCCAAGCTCTTGTAGGAAATGCAGTGCTGTGTACGTTAGTAAGGTCCCTGCTTTCATGGAACTTGTGGTTACAGCAGCTTGAATTCAACAGTAGGAATATCTCCAGTGAGAAATCTAATACAAAACTGTATTAGAGGGTATTTTAATCTCACCTCTGTGGAGAGAGAGAGGGGATACATTTTTAATGTTGAGGGGATTTTTAATGTAAAGGGGAGGGGGAGAGAGAGAGACTTTTCTATTTGCTGGTTCACTCCCCACATGATTCCAGTGTCAGGTTGGGCCAGGCCTAAGCCAGGGGACTCTTTTGAGTTTCCCATGTGGTGGCAGGGGTTCAAACACCTGGGACATTTTCTGCTGCTTTTCCAAGACTATTAGCAAGGAGCTGGGTTAGCATTTTTTTTTTTTAGAAAAATTTTACTTTTCTGAAAAAGAGTAAGAGACAGAGAGAAGCAGCAATAGAGAGGTCTTCCATGCTTTGGTTTACTCTACACATGGTCACAGCAGTTGGAGCTAAGCCATGCAGAAGCCAGGAGCCTGGAACTGCATTCTGAGGTCCCATATGGGGCCAGGAGTCCATGCATTTGCAACATTTTCCACTGCTTTCACAGTGCGTTAGCAAGGAGCTGTGTCGCAGGTGGAGCATCTGGGGCTTGTAACTGGTGGTCATATGGGCTCCTGGCACTGTAAGTGGTGGCTTCATCTGTTGCACTGCCATGCCAGTGCTAGGCTGGGCATTTTAAATGTAAAGTAACAATGACGTCAAACCCATTTAATGAACAAGTGTAACATGGCCTTGGTGTTGGACTACTGCATTTAGCAACTCTAAACTTTCTTGTGTGACTGTTGACAAACTATCTATCTGAGTTTTCTTACCATTGAAATGGAACTTCATTTCACAGTCTCAATTTTATGCTAAGAGGAAGTCTTGCATAAGAGCGGTGCTTAGTAAATGCTGTATACTGTGCTGTCACTGGGTTTCTTAGTAACCTTTTGGTTTATAGATCAAATCTGCTTACACTTCTTCCTGATGGCTTGTTTTTAAGTTGTTTTTTTTTTTCTCCCTGAAAATCTGGAAGTCTCAATAATGTGGCATTTCACCCTCTGTTTCTTTGCTTTTTAAAGTAATAAAAATCTTACAAAATAGATTGATATATTTTTACTCTGAACTGGGGAAGAAAGCCTTCCTAAATTTACCTTCCACAATTTTCTTGCCTGTTATATACAAACTCTGGTAACATCCTTGCAAGAGCTGACTGCCATGTTTTCAAAATCTTTCAGGGTTGGTTTTGCAGTACTGTGTCTTAGTGGAACATGACATTTTCACTTGCTTGACAGGCAACTTTTTCTGGACAGTTGCAGGCAATTTTTTTTTTTTTTTAAAGATTTATTTTTATTATTTTCTCATTGGAAAGGCGGATATACAGAGAGGAGAGACAGAGAGGAAGATCTTCCATCCGATGATTCACTCCCCAAGTGAGCGCAACGGTCGATGCTATGCCGATCCGAAGCCAGGAGCCTCTTCTGGTCTCCCACATGGGTGCAGGGTCCCAAAGCTTTGGGCCATCCTCTGCTGCTTTCCCGGGCCACAGGCAGGGAGCTGGAAGGGAAGCGGGGCTGCCGGGATTAGAACCGGCACCCATATGGGATCCCGGGCGTGCAAGGTGAGGACCTTAACCTCTTGCGCCACCGCGCCGGGCCCAGGCAATTTTTTTTTTCCTTAGATTTCTTGGGCACTTTTTTTGGATTTGATATTTTTCTATTACTTTGTCTTTTTCTTTCTTTCTTTTTTTTTAAGTTATGAGTCTGTTTTTTTTTTTTTATTAGAAGCTTGGATTCTTGAAGGCCTTTGCCCTAGTTCCCACATATTTGCATTTTCATAGCATCTAGAGCAGTGTCATAAAATAGCGGCTCACGAGAAATGCGTGTGTCCGTGCTGAGCAGTGATATGTGTATTTTAAAGAGTTAAATGCCATGATTGCTTTCTTCTTTATTACAGATTTTTACAAGTGCTTCCTGCTTGCACTGAAGATGAGAAACTGCTCATAGATATCATACATTTCTTAAACAAGTTAATGAAGGAACAAAGCAAAAATCTGTCAGTAGAAGTTCTGAACTGGATTCTGGAATTGCTTCTGAGACATGTAAGTGTTCTTTAGGAGCTTGCATTTTTGGTTTGAGAAGTGGTTTACTTGTAGAAATAGATATTAGGGGAAAATAATACTTACATGGCTCACCATGAGAATAGCTCTCGTGGGGTGGGCATTTAACCTAGGGTTTCAGATGCAGTGTCTGTGTCCTGCCTGGAGTAGCTGGTGTCGTAGCTGACTCTGGCTCCTGGCCTCAGCTGCCTGCCTGCAGCCCGGGGAGGCAGCGGCTGATGACCCAGGTGACCGAGTCGCTGTCACCCACGGGGAGGCCTGCTGAGGTCTCGCCAGCTCGGCTCCGGGTGCTGCAGCCGATCGAGCAGTGAACCAGTGCGGGAAGTCCACCCCGTGTCTCTGTCAGTCTGCCTTTTGGATACATATAGCTTTTTTTTTCTTTATCTATTTGAAAGGCAGTGTGACGCAGAGGAGGAAAAGGAGAGGTGAGAAAGAGACAGAGAGGGAAGGAAGGAGCGGAGAAAGAGAAGGAGACGATCCATGTGGCCACAGTGGCCAGAGCAGGGCCGGGCCGAAGCCAGGAGCCCAGGAACCCAGAGTCTCCATGATTTCTCTGTTCTCCCAGAGCATCAGCAGGGAACTAGATTGGAAGTAGAGCAGCCGGGACTTGAACTTGTACCCACATGGGTGGCTGATACTGTGGGTGGCAGCTTATCTTGTGCGATGGTGCCGACTCCATAAAGAAATCTTAAAAAGAAAAAAGTTTAATGTCACAGCTGTGCGTATTTAGTAACAACCAAAACAGGCTAATGGCCCTCCTGGTTATCCTCATTCCAGGCCGTCAGCCTTCCTCTTGTGCTTCCTGTCCATCAAGACAGCTGCCATGGTGATCTTTTAAGTTGTACCGTGGCCCTCATTGCTTCAGTTCTCTAGCGTATTCTGTCATTCATAGCTCCTTGCCGCTGTCCCAGGTGCGTTGGCAGGGAGCGGGATGAGAAGTGCATCTACTGAAACTGACACTCCTTTGGTATTCTGGCATTGCAGGTGCTGGCTTATCCCACTCTGCTGCAGTGCTGGTCCCCAGATTATCTTGCTCAGAGTTTCTCTGGGTGTTATGATTGCTCTGGGTTCTCAGAATCTCAGAAGAGTGAACTGAGCTTCGGTTTAGACTTTTCTTGAAAAGTCTCTGCAACTGAATATAAGACATGTACATAGTACATGACAATAGAAAAATCACTTTGCATACTTAGCTATATTTAGCTCAATTATGAGGGTACTTCAAAATCTGTATTGAAAATCAAATTAAAAGATAAGCTTATTTTGCTGCAAAAATGTTCAAAATGCACCCATGTGAGCGGTCTTGAAAAAGTTCACGAAGAGCGTGCATTATGAAAAAGTTACCTATGAACTAGAAACGCTTTTTTTTGCAGTAACATTTTTAAATTCTATTTTCTCGGGAAAAATTTTAAAATATGCTTGTGTATAATTGAAATTAGATAACTAAGGCCATATATTTTCTAATGTATAAAATCTGTGTTTGTCAGATACGAGACAATATCTCACAGTTTAGAACTTCTGTAGTAGTGCAGTGAAGACCCGTGGCTAGCTATGCGGTCGTAACAGTGGCTTCGCAGGAAACAGCATGTGCTCAGGGAATGAGCATTTCTTACCCGTTTCGTATTGTAGAGCTCAAATCCGCTCTTGGAGCTGCTGGTTCTGACGGAGTCGCAGGCTGGGGAGCAGGCCGACGACGTGAGCACTGCGGTCAGGCAGCAGCTGCAGAAGGAGCTGATCGCATTCTTCAGTACCTTGCTGCTTAGCTTCATGGCCGTCACTGACAGGTGCTGGGAGTGTGGGAGGGTTGGGTAGCTTTCCTCTTATTTCCAGATTCATGTATTTCATTTTCTTAAAATGAGGTGAAGGGTCTGCTGTGGTAGCCTAGCAGCCGAAGTCCTTGCTTTGCATGCACCGAGATCCCATATGGTCGCTGGTTCTAGTCCTGGCAACCCCGCTTCCCATCCAGCTTCCTGCTTGTGGCCTGGGAAAGCGGTTGAGGACGGCCCAAAGCCTTGGAACTCTGTGCCCACTTGGGAGACCCGGAAGATGCTCCTGGCTTTGGATCGGGTCAGCTCCAGCCATTGCGGCTGCTTGGGGAGTGAACCATCGGATGGAAGATCTTCCTCTCTATCTCTCCTCCTCTGTGTGTATCTGACTTTTCAATAAAAATAAATAAATCTTAAATTTAAGAGGTGAAAATATGTAATAATTAATGATGGTGGTCTCTTCATTTACGTTTCAGTTGAGTCTCTGGTTTAGCCTCATTATGACGTCTCCATTTCCTGCAGTACACATTGCACAAACATGCAGGCGTGAACTTATGTGCATTAGATGTACCAGTAATGTTTTGTTCCCTAAGGTTTATGTTATGGGATTCTTTATTCTCCACACATCTGTCTGAGCATTCATGTGTATGCCAATGGCTTTTTAGTATTTTTAAAAATGATTTTGAAATGCTTGTTTCTGGTTATGATTATTTATTCTTAGGACTTACTTTGATTAGAAAGGCAGATTTACAGAGAGAGAAAGATCTTCCATGGCTGCAGTGGTTGGAGCTGAGTCGATCTGAAGTAGGAACCAAGAGCTTCTTTTGGGTCTCCCATGTGCGTGCAGGGTCCCAAGGCTTTGGGCCGTCCTCTACTGCTGTCCCAGGCCACAAGCAGGGAGCTGGATGGAGAGTAGAGCAGCCGGGACATGACCATCCCTATGGGATCCTGGTGTATGCAAGGCAGGGAGTTATTTCCTAGGCTACTGTGTCAGGCCCAGGAGTGGTCTTCACTAGCAGAGGGATGTGTGAGAGCCTGCTGAGGTGCTGAGAGTACCTTATATGATTGGCGGACCTGTGATTAGATGCGTGTACAAACACATGTTGTGTACATCTGTGAATTGTATGTATGCCGGTTATAACTCAGTGAAGTATGGCATATGCGAATGCATGGATAGTGTAATCTGTGCAGGTGGACCAGTGGTTTTCAAACCAAAATGTGCGCAGGAATCTGGGTAGAATGTGAAAGCCTCACTGACTGATAGCTCAGAGTTCTTCACCGCAGGTCGGTACTGTGGGTGGCTCTGGCTGATGGCTCTCAGACCCGACTTGGCAAATGAGAGTGGAGTGTGGCATAGGCGGGTTGTGAGAATGACAGGGATGTGTGAGACCCTTGAGGCAAGAGCGAGTCGGGAGCTTTGGTGCTTTTGCAGTAGGAGGTAGGCAGATGAGGGCATGTCTGTGTTGTTCTGGACTTGTGCTCGTGGTAAGGAGAAGTGACTGTTCGGGGGCGTAGTTAGGAAAGGAGAGATGTCTGTTATGGAGAGACTGAATTGGATGAGCAGTATTTGAAATGAATATTGATGTAAAGAGAGGAGTATGATGTACAATGGAAAAGCTATGTAAGTAAGAGATAAGGATGTTGATGGTTTCGTTTTTGTCTGTGTGTAGTGGAACCAGCTAGACATGAGAGTTCGTTCTTGGCACTTGAGTAAATGGGCAGGAATCAGGAGAAGAAACTGACAGACGATGTAGCAGAGTTTAAGGGATGGAGGCCAGACCAGTTCCTTTGTGTGTATAGTTGGAGCAGAAAACGAGAATGGCTTGTGATACAACTGAATGCCACAGTTGAAATAATTTATGCAAATGAAGTTCTATTTGGCTTTTTGTTTGGAAGGCTGAAAGTTTTAAGATTGGACAGCCAGGCAGGCGTAGACACCCTTGCTCGTAGACACCCTTAGGGAGAAGCTGTCTCAAGACCCCAGGTTATCTTAATTGCTCCCACAGGTTTTATCTTTAAATACTACAATCAGATTACTTTTCTACCATCTTAATATCACAGACTGGTTTGATTTCAGTGTAAGTTCTGATGGCAACATTCAAAGCATAGCAACGTGTACGTTGACCTGTTTCACATGCTTTAAGAACACCAAGATCAATTTTAACGGTGTTTGATTATTGTTGATCTGTGGAAAAATGAACTTAGACTTTTTTGTGTGTTTGTTTCCAAGAAACTTTGAAAGTAGTAAATGAGGCCTGCATAAAGATTCTGTATCTCGGGGAGGGTGGTGCAGGCTGATCCCCACTCTGTGACGCTGGCACCCCGTGTGGGTGCTGATTTGTGTCCCAGTCTAACCTCCCTCCTTAGGGCCTGGAAAAGCAGTGGAGAATGGCCCAAGTCTTGGGCTCCTGCAGTGGAATCACAGACCCAGAACAAACTCCTGACTCCCAGGTTTGGATGGGCTCAGCTCCAGTCACTGTGTTCCCTTGGGGAGTGAACCAGCAGATAGAAGATTTTCTCTGTCCTTCCTTCTCTCTGGAAATCTGCCTTTCAAATAAAAATGAGTAAATCTTAAAAAAAATTAATGAAATAGTATAGCTATAATAATATGACTGAATGGGTAATAACCTAGCCATTATCTGCCAGTTTTAGAGTTCAAAGGGCTGTAAAATTGAAGCAGTTTCAACTCTCAGATCGTATTTCATTCTTTGTTATATGACAATATTCTTTCTTCTAGGAATTAAATTTTTTAATGCCTTTTTAACCATTTAATTTCAGGAATTTTGTTTTCTAACAGAAAATATTTTCCCAATTGTTCTGTTTTTCAAAATTTACTTAAATATGTGTCAGATTCATTGAAAGATTTATTTTTCTTTTAGTTGTCTAGGAAAAATATATTTCAGCCAATTAACTCTGTTCATGCCACTGAATACTTCCGGGTCTCCCACGCGGGTGCAGGGTCCCAAAGCTTTGGGCTGTCCTTGACTGCTTTCCCGGGCCACAGGCTGGGAGCTGGAAGGGAAGCGGGGCCGCCGGGATTAGAACCGGTGCCCACATGGGATCCCGGGCGTGCAAGGCAAGGACCTTAACCACCTGCGCCACTGCGCTGGGCCCAGCCACTGAATATTTTAATGTATAGATTTCGTATCTACCAATTACAGTCATTTGAAGTAGCATTTAATTTTTCACGTTCACTTTTCATACTTTAATGGCAGAATCAGCATCCGCTATTCCCTGGTTGGTATTTTAGTGCTTTCATGGAAGTCTTGCTTTGAAAAGGGAGGGTCTTGAGCTGTTTTGTCTAGTTAGTACTTTGCTGGTACGTGAAGTAACCCTCTACCCGCTGTTTCGGCCTTTAAACCTGTTACCTTGCTGTGTGGTTGACATTTCTCCCTTTCTTCTTCCATAGGAAGTGCCTGGAACTTCTTTATGCTTTCCAAACCCAGCTGGCTCTGAAGCTGCTCCAGTGTCTGAGAGTCACGGACGCCCCTCGTTTCTACGGGCTGCCTTCCCTGGAGCGCACCTTGCGAGGCGTGGCCCACCTCACCTCGCTCCCCGGCTGGAGCTCACACTCCCCGCTCACAAAGCCACTCGACGTTTGCGTGAAGTACTTGTCTGGTCTCCTGGAAGTGAGTAACAATAACTCCACAAATAATAGCTGGTTTCTGCTTATCGACCTCTCTGTGCCAGGCCCAAGTGTATTACATATCTTTATTTTTAATATAGATTATTGTACTGTATTTGTGTAGCTCATAATAAAATATCATAATGGCTTTGGCAAATAGATTGGAGACTTTTATGACCATTTTCAAGAAAAACTAAGGCTTACATTTAAGTTTCTTCAGTTTATTTTGTGAGGAATAACACATGGGGACAGTACATAAAACAGAAATACACAGCTCAGTGAATGTCCACATAATGAAAGCTGCTGTCGGTACCCCGGATGTGACTGTGGGACACAGCCAGCCGTGGGGGGATGTGTAATGTGCCTCCCTGCTCTGCAGCCATCTGGGAAAGGGGCTTATTTTGTTTTTTCAGTATCCAATTCTTTGCACTTCTTGATGGTTTTACCACTTAAGAATATATCTGTATATCCAGTGATTTCTGACTGAAAAGTTTTTTTTTTTTTAAAAATGAATGCTATGTTCATTCTCTTTCACCTTTATTCTTGATTTCTTCGTGGTCTTACTTGTAAGTGGAATTAGTTTCTTGTGAGGGATGTTTGGCTTTTCTTTCATTTGAGGGCAGTTTTGGATTACTGCTCCCAAGTGCGTTGTATGTGCTTCAGAATTATTTTCTGATGCGTAGTGGTGTATGAAAATATATTTTACATTTTGGCCCTGTACCCAGTAAACTTTATTTCCAATCTCAAGAAAAAGGCTCTACATTATGTTTCAGTATGTTATTTGTGCTGGATTTTGTCAGGTAATTAAAAATCAAATCAAGGAAATTTGTTTATCCTAGTTTTCAGAGTTTTTTTCCTAAGTCAGAAATGTTTGATACTTTTCCTCTCTCCTCCTCTGTATATATGACTGTGTAGTAAAAAATAAATTTAAAGAAAAGTATGTTGTTCCTACCGTGTATTCCATCAAGTTGATGTATTCTACTGACTGATTTTAGTATTCATTTTAAAATGTGAAACAACCTTGCATATCTGGAAAAATTTAAAGTAGGTTATGATTTAGGTAAGACAGTGAAGACTTATGTGTCATTATATACAGTGAAAATAAAGCCACTGTAATAATGCTTGCATTTGATCTTCAGGTCATTACTTCCTTTTATGTGGAGCGTGGAGGAAATGCCATGTCCTTCATGGGCAAAGGGGTCACCAAGAGCACCGTGCTGTGCTTGCTGCACTTGTCACATGAGATGATGAACCAGGCTCAGAGCTCGGTGAGAACACTAAAGCCGCATTGCTTCTAGCGATGCTTCTAATTGCTTCACATTAAAATAAATTGTAATGTGCTTAATGTGTTTAAAATTGTAAGTTTTCTAAATGAAAAAGTCCCCTCCAATTTTTCTTTTTATTTATTTTATTTTTTTAAAGTGTTTTTTATAGTTATACTTGGAGTCTTGTGAAAATCTGTATTTTTAAAGATTTATTTATTTTTATTGGAATGGCAGATTTACAGAGAGAAGGAGAGACAGAAAAAGATCCTCCAGCCGCTGGTTTACTCCCTAAGTGGCTGCAATGGCCAGAGCGGAACCGATCCGAAGCCAGGAGCTAGGAACCTCTTCTGGGTCTCCCACGTGGGTGCAGGGTCCCAAGGCTTTGGGTCGTCCTCAACTGCTCTCCCAGCTACAGGCAGGAGCTGGATGGGAAGTGGAGCAGCTGGGATAAGAACTGGCACCTGTATTGGGATCCTGGCACTTACATGGCAAGGATTTAGCCATCAATTTGTTGTGCTGCCCCAGCTTTTCTTTTTAGAAGACAAAAATGATTTTATGTTTAAGGTGTTTCTTGGGAATTGTATTATTATACCAATTAAGTTGCAGTTAAAGTTTATTCTGACAGTTTCGCAGTTCCTGTTCAACTATGTTTTATTAAATCATGGGGAAAAACAGCTTTTGTGGAAAAGTTTTCAGTGTTTAACTTTGTTAGAAGCCAAGATTTTTGGTTGCATTATTTTGGTGAATGTATTAAAGTCACATCTTAAATGCATTAGTGTATTATTTTGGCATTTAATCACTCCGTATGTAGACGTCTCTGAAGTGTTTGCTTCTCTTTTGCTCATCTAGGAGTGGATGTGTCTTTGGTTCTTGCCTTTAGGTAGTCCCAGTGAAGACCAGGCTGCTGCCCAGCAAGGTCTGACGTGGCTGGTTCCACTGTGGGTTGATCGGGATCCAGAGGTCAGTGGAAGAGTCAGCTGTGTGTTGATGTTAGAAGCAGTGCAAACAGCATGTATGCTTAGGCTGGTCAGGGATTGCTTTAATAATGGTCCCTTTTTCGTTTAAATTCTGTCTTAGGGTGCCATATTTTGTTAAAAATATCAGAGAGTGTTTGGCCTAAGCAGTCCATATATTTTCTAACGGTCCTGGAGGCTGAAAGTCCAGTTTTGGGGTGCCGGCATGGTTAGTCCCTGGTGAGCGCCCTCTTCGTGCCTTTGAGATGGCTACCTGTCCATCGTGTGGTCACATGGCATCTTCTTGGCGCATGCATGTGGAAAAAGACCAATCCCTCACTAACTTCACGTAACCCTGACCACCTCCTAAAAGCTTGGCCTCAGATTACAGTCTCATCAGCGCTCAGGCCTTCCACGTGCAAGTGCTACAGGGACCTACCTCAGAGCATGCTGTTCTTTTAAATCATATACATAGCATACAAACTGAAAACATAAGGTTGCTGATAAAATCTATGGTTTTTAGAAAGAACAGTGGAAAATTATTGGAGAATCCCAGTTATTTTCAGTTGCCAGTTGAAAGTTCTAAGTTATAAAGCTTATTGGCATACTAGTGTCATTTAATAGAGTAATACTGCTAGAATGTATAATCTTGTATGGTTAAATAATTTTCCAGTTTTAACCATTTGTCCGCTGAGTTTGTACAAAAATAATTTTAGATTTTGTGACAGGTAAAGAACCTTTGTTTTAGGAACATGGAACTTGGACTTACTGCTTGATTGTGTTATGGCTGCATCTGTATTCTGTAGCTCTCAAAATGTGTAGCTTTAATATCAGGGAGACTGTAGCAAACTAATATCACAAACCTTATTGCTTAATAACTTCTAGTTATTTTTAGAAATGTTTCAAGAATCAAACGTATTATTTCAAAGAAACACTAAAAATAAGAAAGATTGAATAAATATTCATCATGTTTAAGAGTACTGAACATTAGGCTGTGTCTTTCAAGATATATAAATGTTCTATTTTTTGCTTTGCAAAGCAAGCTGTTAACTGTAATTTTTATAGTTTCTTTTAAATACCTGGCTTTAAGTTTGTGTGACATTTCTTATATTTACCTTCTTCCTATGTTACAAGTATTATTTTAATTGTGGAAAAGAAACCTTGCTCTTCATAAATGTATAGCACACTGTATTTTTATATCTACTGTAATTTAGAACTCTGACACCAGTGTCTTTTTACAGAAGTGTTAGTATGTTTTGTAGAAGTATTGAGAAGTAACATTAGGAAGATGGTTTGATTTGCTGTTTCCCTTTCCACAGGTGAGGTTCACTTCTCTGGCCTTGGGAGCAGCCCTGACCACCCTGGACGCGGGCTGTGTGGCCTTGGCGAGCAGCTGTCAGAACATATCGGGCGGGCTCTGGGGGACGGTGCTCAGCATTCTCCTGGACCAGTCGGAATGCAGCATGGTGCGTCGCGAGGTGTGTCAGCTTGGTACTCTACCCCACTCGGTTCCCTTGAAATGATTCTGCTAGTGTCTGCAAGCCATTTTGTATGTGTCTCCAAATATAGTAATTTATCCCTTAGTTAAATACAAATATTCTAGGTTTGAATAAACCTAAAACCTTGACTCACTGTTCATCATAGTGGACTGCCCACTGACCGTTATGTCTTCTGCTTCTGAAAAACCTAAAATTGGTAGCAGAAAATAAAAATGGTGTCAATTCACAGTAAAAAATTAGTGAGACTTTTATTCTGGTAAAATCAGAATATGACGTTTTTCAAAACCTTCCTTGGAAGGCCAAAATGCCGGGCTAGACAGACAGACCTCCCGTAGGCCTCTTACCGAGGCTGCAGCAGCTGGCGTTGGAGCCGGTCAGAGGCAGGAGCCCAGTGCTGCGTCCAGGGTGGGCTGCAGCAGCTGGCGTTGGAGTGGGTCAGAGGCAGGAGCCCAGTGCTGCGTCCAGGGTGGGCTGCAGCAGCTGGCGTTGGAGTGGGTCAGAGGCAGGAGCCCAGTGCTGCGTCCAGGGTGGGCTGCAGCAGCTGGCGTTGGAGTGGGTCAGAGGCAGGAGCCCAGTGCTGCGTCCAGGGTGGGCAGGAGCAGCTGGCGTCGGAGCAGGTCAGAGGCAGGAGCCCTGTGCTGCGTCCAGGGTGGGCTGCAGCAGCTGGCGTCGGAGCGGGTCAGAGGCAGGAGCCCAGTGCTGCGTCCAGGGTGGGCAGGAGTCACGCATTTAAGTGTGTGCGTCAGCAGGAAAGTGGGTTGGAAATGAAACTGGAAGTCAGACTCGCCATCCATGTGGGATGGGAACACCTTGGGCAGTGCCTTCATGGCTGTGCCAAGGGCATGTGGTGTATTTTAATGTCATCTCTTATATTTTATTGCACGTTGAAAAACAGTTCACACAAAAGATTACTTTATTACCTCACCATTTAAGGGGCTTTTGTGTTTACAAAGCTTTAGTAAATATGAGCGGATATGAAAATAACTTTTTAGAATACATTGTATGAGAGGAAAAATTCTGTTTTAATTCTCTCAAAGCAGTTTGTGATTTTCTTTTTATTGCTAATTTTATTATAAAGAGATTAATACAAAGAGTTTTACAAAGAATAATCAAATAGTACCTTGAGGCTTAGGAAGAAAATAGCCATTTCTGAATCTTCAAATACAAGGATACTTCAAAAACTGTGAGAAATGGAATTCAAATTCATTGTTGTGGGCCTGAAACCTGAAAATTCTTAAATAAAAACATACACTGAAATATGCATGAAATGTAGTTTTCAGAACATTTTGTCCTGCAGAAATGGATTTCTCAATGAAGTTAAATTCTGAAATAGGAAAAATGTAATTCCTAATGAAATAATTTTAGGTATTGTTAGTTCATCACCTTATAAAATTAACAGTGTTGTCACCTAGCAGGAAATGCAGTTGGTAATTTTCATCCAGAACTCTGACAGGTGCAGCTGGCCTGATACAGGTCTTGTTATTCAGCTACAAAGTGGTGGTTATTTCAGAGACGGCAGCAAGGTGGCGGTATTGACTTTGTTTTCTTTTTAATTTACAGGCTGCGTTTATTCTTCAGAATCTGCTTGTAATCCCAATGCCTACAGAAACGATAAAGGATTATACTTGGCAGGTGGGTGCTTTTAAACAACTGTCCATCTGGTAGACATGGATAATTTTTAAAAAGTTCAGAGAAAATGTAATTATTAAAAAAATACAGACTTCAAATTTTTTTTTTACTCTAAACTTTGAATTTCTTTGAATTCTCTTTCCGATATTTTTTGAAGTGCCCTGAGCTTAAGACCCCTCCGTGATGAACTCTCAGCATAGGGATGTTTCATCACTCATGAAACTACTTGCAAAGCAAGAAGAATCTGTCAAGAGGAAATTCCTTCCAAGGCCGTTTGAATATTTGTAACATCGTTTGTGGGCCCTACAAAAATTGCCAGATTAAAAAGTAATAATTTTTAATAATCTGGTAATCTGCTATTGGTTTATTGAGTTTTGAGTGCCAACTGTGCTGTCTTGGCAGGGCTGGATTAAATGATTCTGAAGCCCTTTTGTGGCCCTGGGCCAAGCAGTCCCCTCCTATTTTATGTTGTTTCACCTGATCTTGATGCCCTACCTTGATGTCCCAAGTCAAAAAAGTTTAGAAATCACTTTATATGTAAACGGTACTCTCTTTTTTTTTTTTTTTTAAAGATTTATTTATTTTTATTGAAAAGTCAGGTATACAGAGAGAAGGAGAGACAGAGAGGAAGATCCTCTGTCCACTGATTTACTCCCCAAGCGGCGGCAATGGCCGGAGCTGAGGCGATCCAAAGCCAGGAGCCAGGAACTTCTTCTGGTGCAGGGTCCCAAGGCGTTGGGCCATTCTTGACTGCTTTCCCAGGCCACAAGCAGGGAGCTGGATGGGAAGTGCAGCTATCAGGACACAAACCAATGTCCATATGGGACCCTGGCATGTGCAAGGCGAGGACTTCAGCTACTAGGCTTCTGCGCTGGGCCCAACTCTCTCTGCTTGTAAGAAAAATTGAAGAAATAAGGGGAGAATTACGACTTTTTGATAAACTCATAATTTTCTCATTCTGTTTTGACCTCTTTTTATTAATTTTGTTATTAAATAGTATTTCTTCCTGGTAGTATAAATAGTTGGTAATCCAGTAACAAGTGTCCCAAAATTTGAAAACCTTTAGTGTTATCTGAAATCCGCAAGTGGGAGCAGCTGGATATGGAAAGAACATTGAATGTAAGGGGATGGAGTTTGGTACTGAGGATTACTTCGTGGCCTTGGCAGGTCTAGTGCAGACAGAGAAACAGGGGTGTGTGTCTATGGATGCTCCTTAACTTAGTATGGACTAGTAGTGATAAATTCCTGGTAAGTGTGGGAGTACCTTTAGCACTCACTGCTCAACATTGTCGTGCAGCCTAACCTGCCTTCAGTGTGGTCAGAGCGCACCTCGGCCTGCAGTTGGACACAAGGACCCAGGGCACAGCCGATTCTAAACCTGAGTGTTGGATATCTCGCACACAGTGGGTGCTTTGTGGACCTGCTAGCATGTGACACACTGTGCAGCTGGTACTGGTGGCTTTGTGCTGCAGGTCTGAGTGGCAGCTGCTGCCCAACATTTCAGGAGAATCTGCCTCATGTTGTTAACTTGAGGAAAGACAAATTCCTGTCATGTCACTTTCTGGAGTTGTATTTCTGAGTAGCAATAATGTGCATTTGTGAATTATGAATTATGTAACTTGCTGGAATTACCTTTTATGGTGAAGCTCTAGAAGGTTCTCTGAGATATTGAAGCCTCAAGATACTGAGATAATCTCTATTTTTTTTTTAAGATTTATTTTGTTTGAAAGGCAGATTTTACAGAGAGGAGACAGCTCTTCCATGAGCTCGTTCACTCCCCAAATTACAGCAAAACCTGGAGCTGAGCTGATCCAAAGGCAAGAGCCAGGAGCTTCTTCTGTGTCTCCCGTGTGGGTGCAGGGTGTTAAGGCTTTGGACCCTCGTGGCTTCTGCTTTCCCAGGCCACGAGCAAGGAGCTGGAAGGGAAGTGGAGTGATGGGGACAGAAGCCAGCGTACCTATGGGACCCTGGCTCTTGAAGGCGGAGGATTGACCTGATAAGCCCCAGTGCGTCCCCGTCTCCCAGTGTGTATATTGAAGACTTTATTCCTGGTTCTGCTTCTCACACCTTGCTTTTTGCCTTTCTTTCCTGCTATTCTTTTATTGTAGCATTAAATTTTATTTTTCCCTGTTTTGAACCCATTTTGGAACAGGAAGATTAAATAATTAAAAACTTTTAAATTTGGAGGAAGCATTTTACAAAAAGTTTCATTCATGACACAGTCCATTTTGATCCTTTGAGACCATAGCTTTTAATGTTCTTACCATTGCATTCATTTTTCCTTTTAGCAGTTGCATGGCCTTGCTTTAGTTTTCACCTTTAGCCTTCATGTTTCCATGGAGTGTGCTTGCAGGTGTGAGCCGGCGTGCTTGTGCTTACAGCAGCTCTCCAGGCCTCACCACGGGGTGGCTTGCTGCTGCATCCTTTACTGATTCAACTCCGTGGGCCATTTGCCTTACCCTCTGCTGCTGAACGGTACCGCGAAGTAAATACAGTTCATAAAGAAAGTTGAGTTTTTGTAGTAGACATTTTCCTTTATTTTTCCACCCTTGCAGGAGCATCCTGGAAATGGGACGGTCACAAAGAGGAACAGTAGAGATGGCCTGTATCAGCACAGCAGGGCCCACACCACTTTAGGCAGGCCTGATGGGCAGACTGGCTGTACACAGCTCAGCGCTTGCTCCTGGCTCTGCAGGCTGCTGCAGCTCTCATGCTTGACTCACTGCTTTCCAAATGGGAAGTCTACAAATATTGATCCTGTTCTTGCAGACTTTGTAACCAAGTGTTGGGAAACTGTTGTGGCTCTCAGTTGTCCGTTGCTTTCTGCAGTCTGACTTGGAGTGAGTTTTGATGAATGTCGTGGTTTTACTTTGAGCACCAGTGTCACAAATCCAGATCGTTGCAGAGTTTAAAGTTAATTATAACAGAGACCTATTGATGTCGGGGATTCACAGGGCATTGTAGATCATTTTTAGTATTCTAGAACTTAATACATGCAGGGGAAGACAAATACCCGGGGAATATTATTTTATATGTTACGATAGTAATTTGTGCCTAACTTTAAGAGCTCGGGCCTGGCGTGGTGGCCTAGTGGCTAAAGTCCTTTCCTTGCATGTACTAGGATCCTGTGTGGGCACTGGTTTGTGTCCTGGCTGCCCTGCTTCCCATCCAGCTCCCTGCTTGTGGCCTGGGAAAGCAGTCGAGGATGGCCCAAAACCTTGGGATCTTGCATCTGCATGGGAGACCTGGAGAAGGATTCCCAGTTTATTTGATGGGGTTATTATCTATTTTTGTTATTTATTTTGAAGTACAAATTTTACCTTTGGTCAGCGGATGCTGGAAAGTTTCTGTGTGACAATTCTTGTGCCTTTAGCGTGTCTATCAATTTTTGAGTATTCCCTTATGTTTTGGAGCAGCACCATAGTCGAGATTGTTTGGGCTCTAGCCTAGCATCGTGCCTGTGGTCCGAGGGCCCCGGCCTCGGACCCTGGGGTCTGACATCTAGAGAACACGGTGAAAGTTCTAGATGCTTTGCTGTTGATGCTTTGCTTTGCCCTCCATGTCTGCAGTGTGGGTGTGTGCGTGGGGGGGGGGGCGCTAGTCTGCTTGTAGTTTTAGTATTTATGTATTGTTTTTAGATCTGATAAGATTTGCACATGTATTCGCCTTTTGATGTGTTCATTGTGAAGTGTGAGTATTAATTTCACAAAGTAATGATTAGTTGGTGAAATAATAGCATTTTAATATTCATAATTTGCATATGGCTCAGGAATTTTAGTGTATTCCAAGTCATTTTGTTATAGTTTGTGGATTATAATACAGAATTTTAAAATTTAGTATGTGTCAAAATAATCTTTTGATTAAAATGTTAATTCTCTATTGTCCTTGCTCACTGCAGTTCTTATTCTGCCTGTACCTTTTTTATTTGCAGTTAAATGGGGATGTTAGCTCTGTAACTCTAGCAATAAATTAGGTTTGAAAATTGATATTCTAATTTACTGAATCCTTTAAAAACAGTTTTCAAATTAATTTGAATTTTCTATGACAAAATATGTAGTTTGTTTGCAGATGTGTTTGTAATGGCAGCCTGGACCTGTTTTCTTCCGTGGTCCTGTCCTTCTCGGCTGTCCCTGGCAGTCTGCCAGCTGGTCTGGCTGTCTCAGGCCTCGCCTTGGCTAGACAGGTGATGGGGCAGACACCGTGAGACACAGCAGCGTGCTCAGCGCACAGGTGAAGTGCTCCCGCTTTGTCTGTGTTGTTGGTGGTTTGTGGAAAGCTGGAGCCAGGCCTTCTTTTGTGCTGGCCTTGGCAGCCTTGCCATGACGGAAGGCTTGTGGATAGCCCACTGTTGCTACGATGAAGCCTTGCCATGTGGGGAAATGGAGTTTCAGGCTCATTGTTTACTTAAGAATAAATTTTTCAAAGAAGTAATTTCTTGGTGATATCTACCTATGCTAGATCATTCAGCTTTCTTTTGAAAAGATAAAAATACTATGAATGTACTGTGTTTTGAATAGACACTTTTGCAAACAATAATAAAATACATATGGTTAAAATATAACGTAGTAAGATACACTGTCCCTCTCCAGTCACCGAGGCAGCTTACCTCTCTGGTTTCAAACCTTGAGCAAGTTGCCTCTAGGTCCCTGCCAGCCTCCGGTGGCCTTGCAAGTTACCTGCGGACACCTGGGAGGGAAGCCACTGAGAGTGAGTGAGATGGCCAGCGCTCTGCTGGTCACCTCTGCAGGTGCTGCTTCTCTTGCCTGAGTATCTTATCGCCAGGTCCGATGTGGAACAGGAGGAAGGTGTGGCTACGATATTTTTCTTTCTTCAGTCTCTTCTGCTTCACTTTAAATGCTAGTCAGTTGTCATTTTTGGTTGCTTTTGCCTTATGAGATGTGTTGGTGTTAAGATGCTCTTCTGCAGTCTTTTTATCTTTTTACTTTCGAAAACTGGTATTTCTGTGCAGAGCAATGTGGTGGCCTTTGGTTGCATTCCTTCTCTCAGCTTCCAGAGCCGGGCTGTTGAGTATGCAGAGAGGAAAATTCCCTGATGTTGATACGAATGTATATAGAGAGAGGAAGACATCTATACAGTTCATGCGAAATGATATTGAAATAAATATTTTGTGCGAAGAATTAAAATACATGGATATGTAAGATCTTAAAATGTCTTGGAAAATCCGTATTTTAATTCCATTTTTACACAGTGTTCTTCTGTGTGCGTGTGTATATTCACACGTTGTGTGTGTGATTTTTTACGATGGACTTATTCTTGCCCTCTGCCATTCCCTGTTGATTGCTTCTGCCTGCTGAACCAATATCGTATCTCCCGTTTTTCTGCGCTCTTGATCACCTTCCACTTGTGCTAGGATCCCTTTTCGTAGTGACCATCCTCGCAGTGACCATGCTGCTTCGTAACCAGAGGCAGAGAAGGTAAACCTCGTACGTTCCTGTGCGCTGCAGGTGGAAGTGTACGTAAGCCGCCCTGGATTGGTAGCTCAGCTAGGTGCCACATGTTAGGTTGGAAATGATTCCTTCTGCATATTCATCCCACTGTCTTCTGTTGGGAGGAATCATCGCTGTAAGCTGCCTGCCTTCCTTTTCCTCTTTCTCTTTCTGTGCTATTCTACAATTTGATGATGATGATTCTTTTCTGTTGCTTGGCATTGAATCTGAAGACTTGAATTTTCTGCATCTTTTGGGCTGTGACACATTGCTTGCACATACATATTTAGAAGAGTTGCTCCTTTTCTGTGTTAGGTTTTATATGTCCTGATAACACAGTTCCATATTAAATATTTTGATTAATTTTTCTTTTATCTTTTATGTGTTTAGTCTTTATATTGTTTTCTAAGTTAGTAATTCTTTTCTTGTTCATAGCCTTTAGCTTGTTTGGTCTTACTAGAGTGAATAATTGTCACGAGGATTTATAGATTGAGAAATCAGGTTCTAAAACTTTATTAGATAGATTTAATTATAATTTTATGTGTCTCATTAATGACTCATTTGTTTTCTAAATCAAGAGAACAAGTGAAAATAAACTTGAAATTTATTAACTGAAGGATAAATTTAATATAATTGGGTTAATTAGGTTCTTTATCATTCCGACAACTTTACAATTTAGATAATAATTGCAGAAGTTCTAAGGTCATATTTTTGTGGGAAATTTATTTTGACAATACTTTTTACTTAAGAAAAGCTGGATTTTAGAAGACAATGAGTTTGTAACCCTGCTACTTCCTGCAAATGTTGCCTCGGTAGGCTCTTCAGTGGAATAAACAGCAGATTTAGGAGTTTTTGAAGAGCTACAAATATTCAAGTGTTTTCTCTTTTTCATATTTATACAGTTTATATATTTGTCACCTATTTTTATTAAATCTGTGAATTTAGGAGTGTAATTTTTTTTTATTGATTGTTTTGCATTATGTGACACGGTGTTATGGGCATTGGGATTCCCCCCACCCCTCCCCGAACCCTCTCCCCATGGTGGATTTCTCCACCTTGTTGCATTGCCACAGTTCAAATTCAGTTGTGGTTCTTTCATTGGAAATATTTACCAAGCATAAAGTCCAGTGTCTTATTATCCTAGTGGGTTCAACGATTTCTTTGTGAGACCATCTCTGGTCTGAAGGTAGGTCCAGCTAAGCTTCATCCCAAACGATTAAAGGCCCCGACATGCCCTCAACAGCCATTTACAACCTCATGGCATCAATTGACATGACGTTGATTAATAGCATGTTGATGGGAAGATGCGGTTTCTTAACTACATCCTGTGACTTCTTCATAGACATTTCAATTTTGGTTTGTATTCAGCCTGTTTCCATACAGTTATCAGTTTAGGTACAATACATTTTTTTTTTTTATTAATTTAGGATGGGTGTGCAGAGAAATCCCCAATACCCCAGTGAGGCGTTACTAATCTTTGTGTCCCACCTAGTGAGGCCTGTTTGGGTCCACACTGGGCATTTCCTGTCTGCTTCTAAGCTTTCCATGTTGTTGTCTGTCCATTCTAGATTTTTTTTTGTTTGTATGTATATTTGTTTGTTTTGAGGGGTTCCTAGAGCGGTCCTAATAGTCACCGTGAGGGAGGGTGGGGACCCAGAGCCAGAGCTAGGCTAGGACCAGAGAGAGCTTGCCTCCTTATTCCCAGAGGGAGTTTATTATTCTTCTGTTTCTGCAGATTGCTCAGGCCTCCTGGCCGTCGTTAGGAGTGTAATTTTGATGGAGAAAACAATTTTGTTCAATGTGTATAATAAAATATTTTAGATTTGTGCTGATTACTAAGTATAGGCAAATGGTTGTGTACATCTTTGTTTAGTAATTGTTTTACTGGTTTGTTTTTTATTAGATGGTTGAAATTAAGCAAGTAAAGCCAGCTGAATTATTATTCTGTTCTTGTTTATTTTTTTTTTTCCTGAGTTACCATTTTGAGGGCTATACTTTGAGATGTTAAGGAGTTATTGTGAATTATGTGTTTGACCTGTTCTGTGCATTTAAGAGTGTTACAAGTTGCTTAAAATATAGAGCATTGTAAAACTAGTAGTGTTAAGATTGTCTCTGTGGTTCTGGACAGGTGTTGCTCTGGATTCTGAGAAGGGAATGCTCTGAGGGAGCACGGGGGGAGCACAGTCTCCAAGTCGTACGTCTTGTTCCTCAACGGGAACCACACCATCCTGTGCTCTTTGCACATCGGCTTTGGCCTGTCTCTCCTAGACCTTTGAATTGAAAATGACAGTAACTGCATGGTCTCCCGTGTGATAATATATTTCTTATGTAAAATCTTCTGTTTATGAAAACTCAAGGTCACGTTGCTGGGCAGATTCGTTAGAGCGTAGCATCAACAGCTTCATGATCACAGAAGGCAGTTAGTATTGCTGTATAGGAGTTTAGTGTAAGTGTTGGGAGGAATGCTGCTGGCGTGTGCGTGCAGTGCTCGGTTGCCGTGCCTAGTGAAGTTCCAAGGTGGGGAAAGCATGGTGACTCTGGGAAGTTTGCTTGGTTGAGAAGATGCTGGATCTTTTTGAAGAAAGGTGGTGGTAAATCACTGTTTTTCTCTTGTTTTCCCTCTTTTTGTGCAGGGCCCCTGTGTCCATGACGAGGACTCTGGTTTGTCACTTGTAGGAAAACCTGCCCTTCAGGCACTTTTGTATCACTGCCATTTTTATGAACATTTGAATCAGATGATAAAACATTGTTATGTTGGACAATATACATTTGATTTGAATTTTTCTGCTTTTGATGGAACTTCAGAAGGCAATGACTTAAATGGTAAGTGCAATGTTATTTTTATAAATTATACCTTTTTAAGAGATGTTCAAAAATTATTTTGAGTATTTGGAAAATGACCGAAAACATGTAGCAAAAACACTTGTCTCGAACCCTACTAGCCAGAAGATACAGCTTGTCATGTTCTAGAGCCCTACTACCCAGGGGGATAGCTTGTCATATTCTAGAACCCCACTACCCAGGGGGATAGCTTGTCATATTCTAGAACCCCACTACCCAGGGGGATAGCTTGTCATATTTTAGAACCCCACTACTCAGGGGATAGCTTATCATGTTCTAGAACCCCACTATCCGGGGGATAGCTTGTCATGTTCTAGAACCCCACTACCCGGGGGATAGCTTGTCATGTTCTAGAACCCCACTACCCGGGGGATAGCTTGTCATGTTCTAGAACCCCACTACCCGGGGGATAGCTTGTCATGTTCTAGAACCCCACTACCCGGGGGATAGCTTGTCATGTTCTAGAACCCCACTACCCGGGGGATAGCTTGTCATGTTCTAGAACCCCACTACCCGGGGGATAGCTTGTCATGTTCTAGAACCCCACTACCCGGGGATAGCTTGTCATGTTCTAGAACCCCACTACCCGGGGGATAGCCTGTCATGTTCTAGTTTCTTCTTGTCTTCTTTCCTATGTGTAGCTTTTGTTTTACATGATATTCGTGTCTTGTATAGACTTCTGTATTTTCTGTTTTCACTAAATGTCGCCTAATTTTTATATGCTGTATGTTCTTTATGGAACCTAATGTTGATATTGTATTAGTGCTTGATAAGGTGGTAGCTTTCAGTAAAGGTGTATACTTTTTCCTCTATATTACCACTCTTTGGTAATGTGAACCTCTGGGAAGTCTACAGCTCATTCTCAAGAATGCAAACTTTTCCCACTACATTTCCTAATTCATTTCTAAAGAGCTGCTTGTTTTGCTGTATGTTTCCTTCATTGAAATGTCTTGCTGAAACCTTTTTCCTTCTATTTATCAGCTTTATTGGGCTTACCACATAAGATTTTTTTTTTAAAGATTTATTTTTATTATTTTTTTATTGGAAAGGCGGATATACAGAGAGGAGAGACAGAGAGGAAGATCTTCCATCCGATGATTCATTCCCCAAGTGAGCACAACGGCCGATGCTATGCCGGTCTGAAGCCAGGAGCCACTTCTGGGTCTCCCATGCGGGTGCAGGGTCCCAAAGCTTTGGGCTGTCCTCGACTGCTCTCCTGGGCCACAGGCGGGGAGCTGGAAGGGAAGCGGGGCTGCCGGGATAGAACCAGCGCCCATATGGGATCCCGGGTGTGCAAGGCGAGGACCTTAACCACTTGCGCCACCGCGCCGGGTCTCACCAACATAAGATTTTAAAAAAGATTTTGCTTTAATTTATGTGGAAGACTGGGAAGGGGAGCAGGAGAGACTCCTCTTCCATGTGCTGAGCTGCTTGCTGCGTGGCTGGGTCACGCTGGGCCGAACCAGGCCGAGCCAGGCCGCAGCCACAGACGGGAGCTGTAGTCAGCTGTGCCATGGGGGTGGCAGGGAGCCAAGCATCGCGGACAGTTTTCTGCGGCTTTCCCAGACGTGTCAGGGACCTGGCTCAGATGCAGAGAAGCTGGGACTCGAGCCAGTGCTCTGGCATCGCAGACTGCTGCTTACCCCGCTGTGCCACAGTGCCACCCACAAGCACAAGGTCTTAAAACGCACGGAGGAGCACCTTCACAATAATTAAGTTTAGAAATAACTTGCCTTTTTGTAATTGTCTTGCAACTAATTTCTTTGAAGATTTGTGTAATTTCACACCTACAAATAAGTCAATAATAATACAAGAAAATTCCCAAATGTTAACTTTTTTTCCGGTTTGTTCACTGTCCCATGTGTATATATCTATATATGCATTTGGATTCAAATGAAATTTATTTAAATGTATGTTTATTTTTTCTGAGTTATTTAATGTAAGTTGTGACATGCAGTTCTTTCACCCTGCAAAGCTTGAGTGAAAATATAATTTATTTTTCTGTTAACTTCAGAGAAAGTGAAACAAGATGGAGCACAGTTTTTGAATACTCTAACTAAATATCCCTGTTGGGAAAGTAACTCATCTAATTGTTTGGTTTCCTTGGCTCTTGTTATGCAGAACCTGCACTAGGATCCATCGTCCTGTGTCTTTTTTTTTTTTTTTAAGATTTATTTTTATTGGAAAGTCAAATATACAGAGAGGAGGAGAGACAGAAAAGTCTTCTGTACACTGATTCACTCCCCACGTGGCTGCAATGGCTGGAGCTGAGCTGATCCAAAAAGCCAGGAGTCTTCCAGGTCTCCCGTGCAGGTTCAGGGTCCCGAGGCTTTGGGCCGTCCTCCACTGCCTTCCCAGGCCACAAGCAGGGAGCTGGATGGGAAGTGGGGCCACCAGGACACAAACCAATGTCCATAAGGGATCCTGGCTCGTGCAAGGTGAGGACTTTTGCCACTAGGCTACCATGCTGTGCCCCATAGTCCCATATCTTAAGGTTAGCGCTGAACCAGAAGAGATTTCACTTGGCCTGTCAAGGGTCAATGAAAGGCTCCCAGGGAACCCCATTCCCACCATGGATACCTGCAGCATTTGCTGCTGAATATACTTGCAGACTTCATGGGTCCTGAGCCCAGTTTGGGTGCTTCCTGGGCTATCACATTGCTGCATTGCCTTTGAGAAAGTGCTCTGAACCTCCCAGGCTGTTGCTGCAGGTTTATCTTGAGATCCTACCCACTTGGGGCCAGTGGAAGCAGCTGTCCCTAGCAAACATAACGCTATGAACCAGAGAGTGGTCCTCCCCATTCTGCACAGACCCAAGACATGGCTGGGTAGCTCAGCCTGACTGGCTGAGCCTGCAGAGGTTCCAGGAAATAGCCCCCTATCCTGTCAGCCTTCTGGCCACCCTGTAAGCAGTTAGTGTCACATCCCAGCTGCCCCTCCTCCAGGCTGTTGGCAGCGTGGCCAACTACCCAGAGAGCTGGCTACTGGGCATCTCACCCTGAGCTGGAAGGCCCCTGGGGGCCCTTACTAGTCACTTGTACAGCCCTGGGACAATTGTGACGGCTCTGGCTTGTCTCTTGGTGTAACTGTTCCCCCTGTGCACTCACACACTGACAGGACTTTGCCTCTTTACCAAAGGGGAGTGCTGTGCTCTGTCTCCCTGGGCCCTGTCGTGGCCCACTCTCATCCTTGGCCGGTTCCTGTATTGTTTTCTTTTACTGATTGTCCCAGTACTTGGGGTGTGTGCACATGAACAATGCTCTTGTTCTCACAGGTTTAGATGACTCCTTGAAGTTCTGGAACGCTCCATCCAGGATGTCCAGTCAAGATCGTGATCCCAGTTCTGTGTCCACCGCAGAAACAATGGTACATGCAAAGAATGCATAAGGCTTCGTTTTTAACTCTGAAAAAATTCAATTTACATAATGGGGAGATAAGAATTGATAAAAAGTTTAAGATGAGTGTATCAGCTTTGGTTTGAAGTGCTATCTGTGTAGAATTCTGCTAGTATTACCTTAAATCCCTTATATTTAACCTGTATTCCAGCTGTATACAACAGATAGCGAGTTGGATTTTTAACAATTTGGACTATGTGTTTAAAAATATGGTTTATGCAAGGTGAACATATTCCATGCATTTCCTAACGCAGGTGCTGGGGCAGAGCGATGCTCGGCTTGGCCAGCCCGGCCTGCCTCTCCCGCCCTCCTGCACTCCTTCCGGTCCTGCTTCGCTTCTTCTTTGCTTTTTGCTGTTTTTACAGTGACATGCTTTCAGCTCACCTTGGAGTGAAGGATTCGGAAACTAGCATGTTAGGAAAGAAGGAACAGCTCAATGCAAAGGCTGTACTAAATCACCTCAAACTATTTTTTGTTCAATGGGTTGCATTTTTTGCACTCTGTATTCGTTACCACAAAGCAGATAAACCCTGTTTTTCCTTTTGGGACTACCTTATTTAATTAAATGTAAGTTGAATTTGGAGTTTGAACGAGCATTTGCTTCACTCTAGCATAGCTATACTGAATATCCTTTTAGTTGAGAGTTTTCAGCCTCTCTTTTCTATTTTTTTTGATAGAACCAGGAATACTGAAATATCAGAATGTTTATCTGAGAAATAGAGAACAAATGTTAAATGGTGGACAGTGATTTCCCTGAAATTTGCTGAAGGGTGAGGCAGTAGTGAAGGAAGTTGATGCATCTGAGTGGTCCCAGTGTGGTGCTGCTGATCTAACCATGGCGCTCAGTCCTGCGTCAGGTCCGGGCTCCTCCTGCTGTCTGAGATGCCTGAGGTTCCTGTCTGGCTGCCTCTGCCCGCCCTGGGCAGCAGTCACCTGGTCCCTGAGAGTGGGAGAGACGGCGTACTTCTGAAGAATGACTTGGGCTGGCTGTCCGTTTTTAAGTCTTTTTTCTTTTAGATTTAAGAGAACTGTTTGTGTTCATGGTTGAGTGAACTGTTAAATGGAAAACTAGGATAATTATGACCAGTGCACAAGATGTCATACTTTCCTTTCCAAGCTACAAATAACATGTATCTTTCTCTCAAGAAGAGAAACAGTGAGTTGTGCTGATTGTTATTGGATTCGCAGGCTAGTGGCATCAATCTGTGCTTAGAAGTCAATCTGCTCAAGTTACCCTGTTGTTAAGAGGCTGTAGGCTAGCCCAGACATCATTGTACCTTGCTTTTCTTTGCTTATAGTGGGGATGCAGTGGCTAGTGATGGTTTTAATTAACCTTGAGTTGTCTTAAGTATTCTATAGACTTCAGTCAGTTTGTACTTATACTGTACAGGACAAAGTAAAGAAAAACAAATTAAACTTCTGCATTTCTTTACTTTATGGTAACTCATGAGTCTTACATGATGGACCACAGTGAGAAATTTTCAGACAACTTTTGAAATATGTTACATATTTTAATCATTTTAAAGGTGTAAACACTGGAGTTGACATGCCAGTCTTGTTTGTGTTTCAGAGGCACACAACCATGTAGAAATCCATACCAATGAGATTTTTTTAAAAGTTGTAATATATAGTCCCAAGTAGTATTTATTTTTGTCTCCCCAGTAGAGTAATATTTTTTAGAAGTTTTACATGATCAGCTCTTTTATTAGTATTTTTGGTGGTGGTGATAAGAGGCAATTCTTAATAGAAGTTTTTAAATTGTTGATTTTTACTTATAAAAATGAAAAACCCTAATTCTACTAGTTGTTATGTTTTCCTTACCGTGCGTAAGACAGTATGATATGTGTGTCCTAACAGATGAGAAATCTGTAGACCGTATTAGTTACACCATTATTACTTAAAACCAAACCAATGCGTGTTTGGTCTAATGTTTTTTAACATAAGAAGGTGTTGAATTTAGAAGCTGATGTGAATCTTACTAGTCAAGTTAGTTGTTTACCTGTATCTTTGTCTCCCAGAGTTGAATAGACATAGAAACTTTTCAGACTTTATATTTTGTTACGTTTTTAAAGCTTGACTATGTTTGCCCTGTATTTTTTATGCCACAAATCCTTTTTTCTTCTTTTGTGCTTTTTTTCTTAAATAATCTGTTTAAACTGTTACGTTCTTTTTAAGAAGTCATATTGGCTTCCTTGTTCATGTTTCTTGTGAATGTGATTTTTACACATTTGGGAGATCCTTGTTGATTATTCTCTGAAAGCTTTGTTCTTGGAAATGTGCTTCTGTGGCTTTCTGGAGTGTCTGCAGGTTTGTGTTGTAGACGGGACCAGGCAGCCTCGCTGGTGTTGGTGGGAGGAGAGTGGCATCGAAGCTGGGCAGGGCAGATCTCCGCCAGCATCAGTTGGGGAGGGAGATGATTGTGGTGTCCGGTGTGTTCACAGGCTTTGGAGGAACCAGCGGCCTGGGGTGAGCCTGCCGTGCCCTTTCATTGCACCTGCCCAGGCACCTGAAGGGCAGAGGAGCCCTCCTTGGTTTTCAGAAGCCCCCAGCTTCTGAAGTCAGACCCCAGGCCCTTCTCAGGTTCCCGACATATCACCAGATTCCCGCATTTACAGGGTGAGGGGCGTCTCTGTCCTGCAAGCTTCCTAGGCTACAGAGAAGGGATTCAGTACTGTTGATCACTTGTGCAGCCAAAGGAATTTGTGTGAGGAGCCAGCTATGTTAGGCTGAGTGTTTAATTCTGTGTGTGTGTGTGTATAATATATACATTATATATATATACATATGTGTATATATATTATATACATATTATACATATATAATATATATAATATATATCTCTTTTTAACTAAGGTTGTAACTTTTATCTAGATGTGTGCTGAGAGGAACATTTTGTTAGATTTTAGGTCCCTCCCATTTTCTGGGTATGATATTAAGCAGTTGATTTAATGTTTGCATGTGAGTGATTTGTTTAGACTGAACTTTATCCAGATTTTCATCTTAAACATTGTTTTGTGCTCAGCTTGTTATTCCTTGCTATTGTAGCTATTCTGCTTTAGGTGATTAAGGATTGATCAGAGTGCAGAAAGCGAGCCTGTCTGAGCCCAACGGCCTCTGAGATTGGCGTGTTCACAGTCTCTGTCTATACTCTTGGGCCGCGGTTTTGTTTTTTTTTCTATTTGGTATTTAATTCTTTACCTAACGGGGTCTGATTGCAAAGTATGCCATTGTATAAATTTGAAAAAAAAGGGGGAAGGAAGTGGCTGGGTCAGGAATGCAGATGGGAGCGAGGCTAGGAACGAAGTATTTCCATGCTCCTGTACCCGTGCCTAAGGAACACAGTGAATTCCGTTGAAGGCAGTCCGCCTTATCCTTTCAGCATTTGGGTCATGAGGATGTAGGCCTGAAAATCCTCAATGAGCTTCAAGTGTAAGAAGTTCCTTTAAGTTACTGATTTTTAGAGTGATCACATTTCATTTAAAAAGTAGAGAATGTCATTAAAAAAACACACTGTCTCTCAGGAGGTGGAATAAGTTTTAGTTACACGATCTAGTATAATTTTAAATAATTTTTCTTGCTTAAGCATATGTTACATATATGCTATGTTTTATTTCCAATGTTGTAACATTAAGAAATAAAAAGTAAAATGATGTATTTACTCACAGGTGGCACCTTCACTGGGTAGTGCCGAATTTGAACCGCTGAATCCACCAGCAGCACTTCTAGCCGAACCCGCCCATGGCCAGTTTGCACCTCAAGGTACCCTATTCCAGGAACTTTGTGTGTCCAAGTAGCAGTGGCAACTTGGTCCAGATACATACTTTGAAGACTTTTGAAGGAAATGTCTAGAAAGTAAAATGTTTATGAGTGAGTCACGAAACATAATAAAGTCACAGTACAGGATGAATATGTTTACATATTAAAGATTACAGCTTTTATTCTAGAGTATCTAGGACTTATGCAGTATTTAATTTTTTTTAAAAATTGTATTTATATGAAAGAGTTAGAGAAAGAGATGGGGAAAGAGAAAGAGGGAGGGGAGGGGAGAGGAGAGGGAAGGGAGAGAGGGAGTGAGGAGAGGAGAGAGGAGAGACGCATCTTCTGTCCATTGGATCACTCCACACTGCTACAAGGCTGGGACTAGTTCAAGGCAAAGCAGGAGTCTGAGCTTCTGGGTCTCCCACGCGGGTGCAGGGACCCACACACTGGGACCGTCCTCTACTGCCTCCCCAGGCGTTTTAGCAGGCAGCTAGATTCCAAGTGGAGTAGCCAGACTTTTGGTGTTGGATACAGTGGCTTTGTGCTCTGTGCCACAGCTCCAGCCCTAACACTGTAGCTTTAAGGACATAATGTATCAGTTATTTGCTAACACCTACAGAGAAGTAGTTTAGACACTAAAATAATAAATAACTGCTTTCTGAAGCTTTTAGCAGTACTCGATTAAAAGCTTTGAATGTCCATCTTTGTCGTTGCAGTGATTTCCTAAAGCAGACCACACTTTGTATTTTTGTAATTTATGTTACCAGTATGTAACAGTTTTTAACTTTAGATCAACATTTTATCCTCCTAACATTCACATTGTAAGGCCAAAGACATGTCATGGAATGAAACTTGTTTATGAATTTCATGAATATCTGCCTATGAAAGCATGCAGCTTTGCTCTTTTTTTAAAAACAGATTTATTGAGAAGTAATTCACATACCATACAATTCATCCATTTAGTGCATTTACTTTATTGATTTTTTTCCGCATGTTTTTCCCACAGCCTTCTGTCACCTCCCCGTCCCCCACAGCCTTCTCTGTCATCCCCCCTTCCCACTCCCGTCCCCCACAGCCTTCTCTCTGTCATCCCCCCTTCCCACTCCCGTCCCCCACAGCCTTCTGTAGGTTTGCCTGGCTGGACAGTGTTGGAATGGAATCTTAACACAATGTGGTCTTTCGTGTCTTGCCTCCTTCACTTGTTATGTCATTCATGATTTATATCAAAATGTTACTTGCATTGTTGTTAAAACAATATTCCCTTGTCTTGTTACAGTACACGTAGGCACTCAGTGTTTGATAGATACTTGAAATTTTTCCAGGTTTGGACCACTAAGATAATGCATGTATATGACTGTCAGAGTGAATGTTCTGCGAGGATACCCTTGGAGAACTACTCCACAAATAGAACCTTTCCCTTGTAAGAAGTATTCTAAAAGGATATTCTAAGATTTGTAAGTGTATATATGATATACAAAATTAAAATCTATCACTGGAAAAGTGTTTTTAAGAATTAGAGTTTGACCTGATGGTCAAAATACATTCTATGTTGCCTGAGATTAAATCCTTTTTTAAAAAATACTTCTAATATGAATAACCGGGAGAATTTGCTGTAATTAAAGTATTAAAAATTTTACGTGAGTGTATTCAGTTAGTTTGAAATTTCTTAAATCTTGGGCTCCTTTCCTCCCTTTTATGGGTATTTTTTCTTGCCCTGTGTTAAAAACATATAACTTAAGAGTATTGCAGGATTTTCTGAAAATGTTTTGAACAGTGAATTTTTTCAATTTTGCTTGATTTAAAATATCAAAGCTTTTCTGTAGATATGCACTTTGCCATAGGGAAAGCTAGTTCAGAATCTACATTAATTGATATAGAGATACTTCAAAAATCTGTGGAAAGTACAGCTAAAGGATGAGTTTATATGTTGGTACAATATTAATTCATGCATACATTTTTTCATAATGTGCATTTGCCCATAAATATTTTAGAGAACCTGATATTTTCAGTCTTATTGTCAATTTATTTTGGCAATTTTAAGGAGACCATTTGTTACTGTGGTCACTTATTTTAAGTTCTGAAAAAAAGTCATATGCTTGTCAGCACCAAAACCCGAAAGAACGTTGTCAGGATTATGTATTGATTATTGGGCTTGTGCACTACCGACCCTTTGTAGGCAGTGCTTCTTAACCTGACAGCCACAGCAGGCGCTGCTTTCATTTCCTTTATGCAGGGGTGTGATAGTGTTACACTTGTGCGATTTATGAAGGGTGTTACAACGAAATAGAGGCTGGTAGAAAGTATTGAAAGTAATGAGAAATTACTATACTATACTATACTATAATAGGCCTAAGGCTACCATTTACAATATAGTGTCTGTTGAAATGAAATCGACTCAAAAATCAGAAAAATAGCAGAAACATTCTTTTTTTGAAGACTTTAAAAATATTTTTTATTCAAAATGTAGAGTGACAGAGAGGGAGAGACACAAGAAGTCTTTCCCTCTACTGGTTCACTCCCCAGTGCCTGCCACAGGCACACTGGGCTGGGCAGCCAGGGGTCTGAACACGGCGAGGCTCTGCACTGTGGGCGGTTGTTGCTTTCCTCCCAGGCGCAGAAGCAGAAGCTGACCTGGAAGCAGGCGTGGGCTCAGGCCCCGGTGCCATGCGGGTGTGCGCACGCCGAGCTGACCTGGAAGCAGGCGTGAGCTCAGGCCCAGGTGCCGTGCGGGTGTGCACGCACCGAGCTGACCTGGAAGCAGGCGTGAGCTCAGGCCCGGGTGCTGTGCGGGTGTGCACACGCTGAGCTGACCTGCATGCAGGTGTGAGCTCAGGCCCAGGTGCCGTGTGGGTGTGCACACACCGAGCTGACCTGGAAGCAGGCGTGGGCTCAGGCCCAGGTGCCGTGCGGGTGTGCACACGGCGAACTGACCAGCATGCAGGTGTGAGCTCAGGCCCAGGTGCCGTGCGAGTGTGCACACGGCGAGCTGACCTGCATGCAGGTGTGATCTCTGGCCCTGGTGCTGCCGTTTCTTCTGATAAGGTGCACTGAAATGCATGATTTTGCGGAAATTGCAGACATCCTCCAAAGCAATTTCTTCACAAAATGTCAGCCAAAAGGAGAGCAAGACTGAAGAGTTCTTCCATTTTAAATACCAGGGACAATGCAAGGTACACCAGAACAATCTTTTTACTTTGCAAGTTAGAATGGTATTGGGACAATGGGAAGTCAGTAGATTACACAGTGCTATTGCATCAGTCCTGAGTTTGTTTATGGTACACTGGTAATAAAAGATGAAATTATTTTTAGGAAATTAATATAGGATCAAAGGAACTTTATATCTGCAATTTACAAATGGTTCATAAAATGATAATGTAAGGTAACTAGGTAGAGAAAATATGGCATTAGGAACCCTGGCATAATTATAAAGGAATTCTTTGTACTCTTGCATTTTTCCCCAACTTTTTTTTTTTTTGAGCAAAAGTCTGATTAATCAAATGTAGAAAACCCCTCCACTCCAGTCAGCAGGTGTCTCCAAGCAAGGAAAACGCAAAAGGCTGGGCTAAGTGGAGGGGTTTAGTGCAGTTGCCAGAAGGAAAAATAGAGCAGCCACAGAATGCAAGGGCCTGAAATTCCAGTCTCATCTAGCTTACTCAAAACCAAAAGCCGTCAGAGTGTTATGATCAGTAACTTATTTTCAGTCTCATGATAAGCCAAAAGCTCAGGCAGGTGGGATCACTACTGGCTTGTTACTCTTGATAATACTAAAAACCCAGAGGAACAGGGAGTCCTGTTGCACTCGGCCCCACCTTCCTGTCTAGCAGTTGCTATTTTCACTATAAAACCAGAAGCTGAGAGTCGGATTGGCACTTCAATCTTGCCGAATGCAGCTTGTGGGGGAGACACAAGCATCTTGGACATCTTTCAATATAGTGTTTGTTTGTTTTAAGTTCAGAATGGGACCTGTGTGATAGTTTCGTGGTTAAATTCTTGCCTTGCACACACCAGGATCCTGTGTGGGCACTGGTTTGTGTCCCGGCTGCCCTGCTTCCCATCCAGCTCCCTACCTGTGGCCTGCGAAAGCAGTGGAGGACGGCTCAAAGCTCAAAGCCTTGGGACCCTGCACCCGTGTGGGAGACCCAAAAGAAGGTCTTGGTTTTGAATTGCTTCAGCTCTTATTAGCCACTTGGGGAGTGAACCAGCAGATGAAAAATTTTTCCCTCTGTCTCTCCTCCTTTCTATAAATCTGACATCCCAATTAAAAGAAATCTTTAGAGGAAAATTACTTAAAAATTCGAAAGGAGTAAAGAATGTCAGCCCAAGTGTTTTAAACAGATTGGAGTCTTAGGAAATGTCTGCAACCTCGTGGTTTTACTTCGAAAGTCAATATCTCTGAAAGTGGAAGTTTTCCTTATTCTGGCTTGGGGCAAAACTTGTGCGCATGTGAACACGTGTGGCTGCTGGCCGTAAAGTGTGGCGACTGAAGCTGTGTTCGTTGACTCATTCATCGTGTTTGCTGTGATTGCAGATCTTCTGTAAACAGAAATATTTATTTCATTATCAGGTGTTGGCAAAGGGCACAATTCCCCATTTTCTAAAATATAAAAATATTTTGAATTTGGAAAAGCTCTGGCCCCTCAAATTTCAGAAAAAGGGACTGTGTGCCACCTGTGCGTTCGTCTGTTTGAAGTGTTTGGGGGCACAGAGCCGTTTTCTGCCTTTCTTGTCCTGGCTCCTGTACCCCTTCCCAAGGCACGTGCAGGGTGCAGGCCAGGAGGAAGGGAGTCCTCACGCTGGGCTCACGAGCAGGAGGAAGCAGGCAGATAAGAGATTATACAGCTGTCCAGTCTGGTCTTGTTTGGGAACTTTGCTCCAGCTGTAAGAAACTGTGGCTGTTGCTCATATACACAAGGTAAACACACTTTTGCTCTTTTCGGTTTTAGATCAGCATGAGATTGCGTCACCGCATCCGCCTCACGACTCGTCGTTTTCTGCTCCCCTACCCAAACACGGTGGTTTTGTTACTCCTGCCCTTCTGTCAGCAATGTGCGGCCTCTTAGACAACCTTTTGGCCATCGCCCCAAGAGACACTGCAGATGCCCTTCGACAGGCCCATCTCATGGAGTTGCTCTGTGGGTAAGCAGAAATACTTCTTTAAAGGCATGATAGTACAGGGATAGATTTATGCACTATTTATGACTACATATAAAATTTCATGTGTCCGGGCCCGGCGCAGTGGCGCAAGTGGTTAATGTCCTCGCCTTGCACACCCGGGATCCCATATGGGCGCTGGTTCTATCCCGGCAGCTCCACTTCCCTTCCAGCTCCCTGCTTGTGGCCTGGGAAAGCAGTCGAGGGTGGCCCGGGAAAGCAGTCGAGGATGGCCCAAAGCTTTGGGACCCTGCACCCGCGCGGGAGACCCGGAAGAGGCTCCTGGCTTCGGATCAGCATAGCATCGGCCGTTGCGCTCACTTGGGGAGTGAATCATTGGACGGAAAATCTTCCTCTCTGTCTCTCCTCTCTGTATATCCACCTTTCCAATAAAAAAATAATAAAAATAAATCTTAAAAAAAAAATTTCATGTGTCCTAGAAGGCTTTTATGCTCATAGGCTTCAGTTTTTTTGCTTTCACTGAGATTTTATTGACAGTTTTTATTTTGAATCTATTGCAGCACTTGCATTGGTTGATTGTATTTATTATTAAGACTCAAGAATATGATTAATGAATGTGTAAGAATGTGGAGGGTCATCTCCTTACTGGTACTATCAGAGTGTTGTCCCTGAGTTGATGAGTCACAGATGAAATTCGTCTGGTTTTGTTTTGGAAAGTAAGCTTTGGAGAAATCATAAGTTGTGTCTGAATTCTTATGACTTATTAACTTAGCACTAGTAAGTCTTTCTGTATTTTAGGAAATCTTATTACAAAGTGAAAAGGCCTGTGTGTTGCTATCTGGTGTCTAGTATAGTTCATTAGCTCGATATTACTGTGGCCTTGTAAATATGACTTCAGCATCTGCTGAATGGGGATGACGTAGGGATTAGCAGTGATGGTGTCAGAATAGTTTATTATCTATATGTTATCTTTCTTCTCTTTCACATCCGCTTTATTCTAGCCAAGTCTGCCCCTGCCTTTTAGCCACATATTTATTGCCTGTCTTGTCTCTTTGAACACTCACTTTTCTTTTCCAAATCATGTCTTCTTTATTATTGATACATTAGAATTCTAAAAAGAATGAGATATTTTCTTGTTCCACCTCAGTCAACTGTCATTGCTCCATAAATGTGTATACTATGTAACGAGGTATGTGTTTTGAGTGTTTGTGGTTTTCTGTACTGCAGTGCCTGCTAGGGTTGGAACAGTAACAGGCGGCTGGTCGGCTCTCCTTGCTGTATGCTCCTGCCTTAGCAGTGAGCAGAATGGAGCTCCAGGAACATGTCTGTCCTGTGGGTCAGCCAAGAGTCTGCTGTGGAACCGAGGCTACAGCGATGCTAGAAGACTTTTTGTGACGAAAGCTGATCACATTTCCATACCTGGTTTTCATTTAACTGTGAAGAGGAATTTCCTGTTTGCTTTATTTTATTGCTTTGAGAGTATTTCTATCTACTTTTTTGAATAGAAAAGTTACTACCAAAGTCACCCTCCTACTATCCACGCTGGATTTATTTATTTATTTGAAAGCCAGAGCTGCAGAGGGACAGGAAAAGGGGGAGAGGGTGGAAAGAGAGAGAGAGAGAGAGCGCAAGTGAGCGAGCGCACTTCCCTCTGCTGGTGCATTCTTCAAGTGGCTGCAACAGCCAGATTTGGGCCAGGATGAAGCCGGGAACTTCTTTCCAGTCTCCCACATGGGCACAGGGACACAGGACTTGAACCATTTTCTGCTGCTTTCCTTGGTGCATTAGCCAGGAGTTGGATTGCAAGTGTTGGAGCTGGAATGGGAACCAGCACTTACGTGGGATGTTAACATTGTAGATGGTTACTTAACCCAGTATGCCACTATGCCAGATCCCCCACTTTTATTCTTTGCTTTCTTTTCCCGATGGGCTGCATCATATTTTATTGTGCTCTTCATACTATTTATAGCTACTGCTTTCTTCTAGATTCTTTACGTTTTGTGTTAACTGACAGGAAATTTCCCCACTTTCTGAAGTACAGTAGAATATATTTTCACATATAACTTCTTTTTGCCAGTCTTCAGTGCGAAGCTCCCTAACTCTTGGGTTTTCCTTGTCCTCCGCAGTGTTGTGGAAGCTTCTCTCATCGAGGCGTGCGTGCAGGACCTGCAGGCGCTGTTGCCTTCGTCGCCGCCGGCGGAGCACACCCAGGCTCAGGTCAGTGTTTCCGGGCCGCCCTGGCCTCCCGCCTGCCAGCTTACTTTCTGAAATGTAAATTCTGCAGAGATGCCAAGCATCAGAGAAAGGTGGAAATGCCTCAGATGGGACGTTCTGCAGAGTGGGTTGCTGAGCACTTGACTGTGTGGATGGTGGAAAGCTGCCATGAGTTTTATCCTGAATTCTATTCCTGATGCCTTCATTAAGCAGCTATCAGTGTGTGACCCAGTGTCTGTGTATTTTTGTGTAGCACTTCAGAAAGGGGATTTACAGTGCTGGCAGTCTGACACTGGGTAGTTGGCTGTAGCTGGGCCTCCCACGTCCCGTGTCAGAGTGCTGATTCCAGCTCAGCTTCTCCACTCCTAACAGCTTACTGTCCAAGTGTCTGGGACTGTGGCTGATGATGGCTTGCGCAGTTGGGGCCCTGCACCTGTGTGGGAGACCTAGGTGGAGTTCCTGGCTCCTGGCTGCAGTTGGCCTACACCTGGCTGTTGTGAATATTTGAGGAGTGAACCAGTGGATGGAAGATCTCTCTCCCTTTCTCTTCCTCTCTGCCTTTCAAATGCCTTACATTTGTGCTAAGTTTGTGTTTGGCAGGTAAAGCATGGCTGGTCTTTCTTTGCTATGAGTTTGGTTTACCTACGTTATGTCCTTTATTTCACCTAAGTTTAAAGTTGATACATAGAGGCAAAGCAGTTCAAAGCCAAATCTGATATGAATAAATTTTTTTCCCCCATCAAGATATTTATTAAGTTCTTGCTACTTGTTAGAGGTTGTATATAAAGTATATTTAATGATTCTTTGTGCAGTTGTCAATGATAGACTTAAAAAGGAGAGGTGAGGAGTTAGTGAGCTGGGTGAGAGGTCCTTGGTTTGAGATGTGTTTGTTGAGTTGTCTGAGTAAGGGTGAGATCTCTGTTATAAGGTTTAGTGCACCATGCACTTGTCTTCAAAGCACTTGTCCCCGTGCAGTGTTTTCATTTGAGAATACCTATTTGTGTAATGATTGTCTCCTCAATAAATGTTTATTTTTTTGCCTGTTATGCACCAGGTTCTCCCCTTAGTAAATGAAAGTAACTCAGGTGTGACATGATGGCCTAACTGGCTAATCCTCCCCTTGCATGCATCAGGATCCCATGTGGGCACCAGTTCATGTCCCAGCTGCTCCACTTCCCTCCCAGCTCCCTGCTAGTGGCCTGGGAAAGCAGTAGAGAATGGCCCGAAGCTTTGGGAACCTGCACCCACATGGGAGAGCCAGAAGAGTTCCTGGCTTTGGATTGGCTCAGTTCCAGCTGTTGTGGCCACTTGGGGAGTGAACCAGTAGCCGATCTCTCTCTCTCTCTGTGAAGCTGACTTTCCAAAAAAAGAAAAAGTAACTCTTCCTTCAAAATGGGAGAAAGGTAATAAACAAATCCATACATGCTTGATGATGGTAGGCATCTCGGAAGAAAAGCCAAGTGGGGTCCATGAAGCCATATGAGCACTGGAAGAGGGATGTTTCCCTTGGCCCGAGGCAAACAAGGCAGGCACTCGCTCACTTCTTGTGCAGTGAATAGACAGTAGAAGTGAAGAACGTTGATAAGCTTGTTTATATTATTTGTATAATCCTTACAGCAATCCTGTGATGTACTGTTAGCACTGTGATTTTATGAATGAGTAACTTGTCCCTGTTATCTCATGCGGTGAGGACAAGCGGCAGGATTCCCACACAGGTGGCTGTAATGCTGTGTACCCTTCCTCTGCCTCATCTTATAAATGAGAATGCGTCTTGGTTCTAAGCAAATGCTCTTCCCTGTTACACTACCACACCAGCCCCTGTAATAGATTCTGTTTTTGAAGACTCAGAGTATTATTGTTAGGTACACAACCTCCATATAGAAGCATCTCTAACTCTTAATTACATTCTGGTACACGTCAGAATGAGAGTAAAAGGCATGTGTGTGTGTTATGTTTATGCAGAGAGAAGGAGATTGGCTGCAGGGTTGCTGTAAAGCTCACCGTTGTACACCCCATCTCATTTGACGCTGAAGAAAGACTAGTGCTTTGTGTGGTGTATTGTAGTTGATAGTGTTAATGTGGCCATTAGTGATGTACTTGTAAAACAAAAATATAATGCTTGGCTGCTTATTTCATGTCTGTAACAAGTAAGATTAATATTTTCATTAACTTATCTGACAAGTTATTTATAGTAATGCACACAAAATAAAATCCTACGTTTTTGAGACAAACTTTTCATTGATATGATTTTGTACTTGTTTCTTTTTCAAATAGGCTTGCTTTCTCTTGGAATACCTGTCCTCGTTGTCCAGGCTTCTGCAGTCATCTTTGTTGGTAGATCCTGACCTTGTGATCCAGGACAAAATTCTGAAGCCTCTTATCGCCAATGTGATTGGAGTTCTTACAATATGCATCAAAGGTATGTTGGATCAGCAGAGTTGATTCAGATTAGTGAGGAAGTGAAAATAATGTTGTGGGACATGTCTCACTCTTTGGAAGTTACTTCTTGGTTTGCCATTGCTCAGGGAGGCTTTGATGTTTCAGGGTTTGGATGCCCTTGAGGCAAGTGTAGGATGGCATAAAGGACATCCCTGTGCTTCATGTCACCTGGGGACAGAGCCCTCTAGCTCATGTCAGCAAGTGCATTGTGTCGCCGGAACCGATCTTTCCTCTGACCTTCGGGGACTGCCCAGTGCCCCACTAGCAAGGCCTGTGTGATGCAAGTGTACATTAATCTAGCACATAGTATCAAATCTCCTAAGCCCTTCATTATTGGAAAATATTCTGTGATGAAATGTTGAATGTGACTCTTACTAGCAGAGAAAATCCAAATGATATTATAACTCAATTAAAATCAAATATAATTGCTCCTGAAATTTAACAATTTACAGAATTGATCTTTGGATACTTTTCTTTGCCTTCCCAGTTGTTTTAATTCTTTGTATTGTAAGGATTGATTTGATTTTAAGTATGTTCTGATATCCAGTAAAGATGGGCCTTAGCATCACAGAATTGTAAAAATTGCCTAATCAAAAAAAAAATAAATAAATAAAATACAACAGCCTGGTTGGAGAGGAGCAGAAGCTTTGTCAGTGACAGTGCAAGTTTGTTAGATTGTGTGCTTTCAGAAGGAGTGCACATTGTTTATTGGGAATAGGTAATGATGGGAAAACCTTAGCTGTTAGAATGATGCAGGGCCCCTAAAACTCAGCTATACTGGGGACAGGCTTACCACTTAGTATCTCATTTCCCTTGCTGGGTTTTCTCACTGACGTTGAACTTGTGGAAAATACACAAGATGTCACTGATGTCAGTGCTCCCAACTGTGATGTGAGGTAACTTCCCTTGAAGACTTTGTTCACGTGCTTGATCCCAGTGTCATGCGCCGAGAGGGGCCTTCGGCTTGGGCTGCTCTTGGCTGCCTGGGGTGCTTCCCATGACGTGTTGCTTTGTGTATGAATTGGACTTTGCAAAAAACAAAACAAAAAATGCTATTTTATTATTTAATTATCTAAAAGTTATTTAGCCTATTAAATATTTTGAATGCTGAAAACAAAATATGTCAGCAGTTTCTGAATGTGAAGATAACAGCTAATAAAATTATTTTCTCATATCTAGAAAAAGGAAAAAGTTTACTAAAAGATTTTTCAAAGTAAGTTTATAGATGATTATTTTCTGGAAAAATAATTTTGAATTATATATTTATGGGAATTTCTAATTCGTATTTGTGTGATTTGGCGCATTATAATGTTGACAGTTTCTCAGGGGTAGATCTGTGGCCTGGCAGGTGAGATAAGCCCTTAGGATGCCAGCCGGAGGTCACTCGTGCTGGTGATGGGCCAAGGGTTCCTACAGCAGAGAGCCATTGCTCCCCAGGCACCGTGTGTTCACCCAGACACAAAGATAGCCAAGTGTGTCCTCACTTTAGGAGGTTAATACAGTGTTTTTAGCCTAGGCAAAATTGCGGAATCTCATTTTTATTAGTTCTCTGTTTGGGGTATTAATCTTTTTAGTTCTTAAATTGTTTGGGCCTGGTGTGATAGCCTAGTGGCTAAAGTCCTCATCTTGGTGTCCGCTGGGATCCCATATGGGTGCTGATTCGTATCTTGGCTGCTCCACTTCCCATCCAGCTACCTGCTTGTGGCCTGGGAAAGCAGTAGAGGACGGCCCAAAGCCTTGGGACCCTGTACCCACGTGGGAGTCTTAGAAGAAGCTCCTGGTTCCTGGCTTCAGATAAGCTCAGCTCCAGCTGTTGTGGTCACTTAGGGAGTGAACCAGTGGATTAAAGATGTTCGTCTCTGTATATCTGACATTCCAATAAAAAGAACAAATAGATCTTAAAAAAAAATAGTTCTTTTATTTTGATCTTGGCATGTTGTATTTTCCTTTTGAGTCCTCTACCAAGCTGCTGGAGGGGATAAAGAAAATAAGGGAAACCTTATGTTGATGGAGTGGTATGATGACATATTGTTATAATACTCTAGCTAGTTCTGAAGTTATGACTTGGTGCTCAGTCTGTTACACTTGCTAACTGTCTTGGGACATGCTTTAATAAGGGAGTGTTTGTGTGTCTGTCGGAGGGAGGCGAGGGGACATCTTTAAGAAGCAAGGGAACAGAGGGCTTAGCAGAAGTGAGTTTGAATAATGGTGAAATGGTTCTTTTCACGTGGGTGAAAGTGACCCTCTAAGGTGTAGCACGGTGTCTATAAAGTTCATTTTCCTTGTTGTTAGTAATTTGAAATGTGTCAATTATTTTATAGATGTAGAGCTAGTACCAACTATTTGTCACACGTGGACTCACTTGTTGAATTTTCTGGCCACACTGCTGAGGAAAGCTGGTGCCGTGTGTCTCCCTGCTCTGACTGTGGCTCTGGCAGAGAACTGGGCGGAAATGCTTGGTAAGAAGACACTCTGACAGGTTGGACTGGATAAAGCCATTACTCACACTTAAAGAAGTAAATTATCCAACATCCAGTGATTGTGCCAGAGCAGTGAAAGAGGTGCTTTCCTCCTCCAGCAATTTCAAGGAGATTCACAAATGTACATTTGAAAAATGGAGACATATTATTTCAAGATGCCACAAAAATAAATAAGAAAAGGCTGTGATTTTTGAATCATAAAGTACAAGAAACTTAGAAAAGTCTATGGAAAACTGGATTGAAAAGATATATTTTGGTGGAAAAAAAAAAAGCTAGGAATCCGAGAGTAGCCTTTTCACGGTGCTCGCTCGCTGCGGCTCTCTGCTGGCTGCCTGCCTTTGCCCTGGCAGCCTTCATGGCACGTTTTGTGACCCATTTACATATAAATCAATCCTCTTGGGTAATAGTAGATGTCATTTCTATGTGTGTCTATAAACAGATACACACACATCCATCTTTCCAATTAAAAAATGCATGTAATAAAGTTAGATCAATTGCTTAGTATATTTTCTTAATATGAATGCTTAAATGCTTTTTAAATACTAGTTATTTTTGCTACACTTTTAACTGTTGACAGCTTTACTTGATTTAAACAAGAAAGCTATAAAAGCAACATTAATATTGAGACATACAAAATGAAATGATTTTCTCATTTAGATATGTTCTGCACATGTGTGGACCTGTCTGTGATGTCCCCTGCTCTGTACACTGCTGGCCTGCAGTTCCTTTCAGTTCTTTTAACTGAAGAAGCAAAAAGTTATCTTCAGAATAAGGACAAAAGAAATCATTCCCACAGCCCAACAATGGTCTCACTTCTTGATAAAACTCAAGAAAATCAGAAACGTGTGGAACGATTGAATGAAGTTATTCTTAAGGTATGTGGTGTCTTAATTTCCTGTAACTGTTGTTTTTAATGAATTGTCAGCTTTGTGAACTTTTTTTCCAGTCATTTGAATCAAAGAATTAGTGCTTATTATGACTGTTCAAAAAAAAATGCATTGACTGTGCCTTCAGTGCCACAATTCCGCCCTCCCCCAGACTGTTCTGTACATTAAGTGTGTAATAGAAGTGCTTAATCCAAAAAAGGAAAAGTGTAAACTTTAAAACATTTCATTGAACCTTTTTCTTTCGAGCTTTGGTTGTAAGAGCTTGGGCTTGTCCCGGCTTGCCTTTGTGCTGTTGGGAGGCAGTTGTCTTCACTTGCCCTCGGCAGCCTTCCTCCCTCCCGCTCTTTGCATTTGCCCAAGAAACGTGGGCCACTTTTCAGTCTGTGTGAAATGCCACACGCACAAGCACACAGGCACACATACAGAAATTAAATCCTTTGCTTTGCTGTTTCCCAGTGTGAAGTGTGCGAATTTGCTATTAGTACTATTTTGTTTACTTTGGTTCAGGGCTTTTCATATCAGTTTCACCATGTACACATTTTAGAGCACCAAACAGTTCTATAATCATTTAGCCCAAGTATGGAACTTCTGCATTCTTCTTTTTCCACTTCGCAGAAATGACCACTGATGCCTCAGTTAGCTAATTATTTTATGATATTCTTCCATGCCTCTAAACAACATGTTTATATTCCTTTGTCCTGATTACTCAATTTGGGCTTTATCCATTGGATTCCTGCTGTGGAAGTTGGGACGACAGCTCTCTTTTTATACCGTACTTACTTAGCAAGCCAAAAGCATTTCATGTTGACGTTTCACGTTGCTGGAATGAGACTAGGCGCCATGCCTAGTGTTCATCTGGGGAATTGTGGCGGTCCACCACACAGGGATGCAGACAGTATTGACTTGTTTTCTGCACAGCTTTTGCTTTCCTTTGAGTTAATTATTGTGTTACTTTTTGATTTTCTGAGTTTTGCATTGTAACTAGTTAGCTCTAGTCTCTTCCGGCAGGCAGTGTCTTCCCAATCATGCTTTTTCCCCTTGAAGAAATCTCTGCACGCCTTTTGATTGTTTTGGTGCCAGTGTGCTGTCATCTTGTGATCTTCATTCATCCTTGTCTTGGGGTTTGGACAGCTCTGCAGTCACCCTCCCGTGTCCTGCTCCTTTCCCCACGTTGTCCTCTTGGGGTTGATGTCCTCCTTTTGTTGCAGTCTAAAGTTCAATAGCTTCAAGAGAAAGGATGCAGAGGAGAGCTGCTTTGTGAACTCTGCATGTGTTTATTCTACCATCGTACTTTACTAACAGTCTCCCTAGTGAGAATTCTGCTTTGGAAATTATGTACTTCTTAACTTAGAAGGTATCCTCTACTTAACTCTCATTGTTACTGTAGAAGTTGTCAAGCCACTGTAAATCTTGGTGTTTCTCTTAATGGAAAATTTTTAACTCTTTTTCTCTAATATTCTAAGTTTTTCTTATGAACTACCTAGGAGTGTGCATCTTACCATGTTGGCTTTCTTCATCTCTAAATCTATTTTAAATTGTATCACTGACATTCCTTCCACTTTGGGTGCTTTCTGTGTTGGAATTCCTAGTAAATTTTCCTCTTATGTAAACCTCTCTGTGCTTTGGCCGCTGTTGTCTCTGATGTCTGGCTAGGAGCTTTTCTCAGGCATTTAATAAATCTGGGTTGTTAGTTCAATTTAAGACTGAGAGGCTTAGAGCAGGTTGACATCCCTGTGCACATGAGTGGAGCTTGGCAGCTGTGAGCTTGACTGTGCTTGGGGACTCAGGCTTGCTTTGTGGGCCTGCCTTTGGGGCTGGTCAGATGCCCTAGAGAACACTTTGATGATTCCTTTTCTGGGGGTGAAAACTTACTGCAAAGTGTATTGCAGCAAAACAGAGAAGGAAAGCCTGGCTCTTAAATTTAATTTTCAGATTTTCACCTAATCCTCCGTGATTTCAGCTCAGTAGGCTGCTCTACAAGTCGCTTTGGTCTTTCACAGTTCAGAATCCTTCTGATGATCTCCTCCACAGACTGCGCCTCCTGGCCTTTGCAAAGGCTTCGGAAGAGGAGTGATTTGGCTGCACAGGTCTTGGGCGACAGGTGCAGCCTGGAGTCCAGCAGCTGCTAACAGAATTGCAGGAGCAATCCCTCATTGCCAGGAGGACCTGGTGCTAAACTTCCTTGGCCTTCAATTCAGTTAGATTTCCATGCTCATGCCTTAATGAATCAGCATTCTAATACTTTTCTTTCATGTATCTTTGCTTTTCCTTCCAGACTTGGGTTTGTGTATATGTCAGTTTAGTTCCATTTCTGTAATTTTTTTTAAAAAGTATTTTTATTGGAAAGACAGTTTTACAGAAAGGAGGAGAGACAGAAAGATCTTCATCTGCTGGTTTATTCCCTAAGTGGCCACAATAGTTGGAGCTGCACTTATCCAAAGCCAGGAGCCAGGAGCTTCTTCTGGGACTCCTACAGGGGTGCAGGGTCCCAAGGCTTTGGGCTGTCCTCGACTGCTTTCCCAGGCCACAAGCAGGTAGCTGGATGGGAAGTGGAGCATCTGGAACATGAACTGGTGCCCATATAGGACCCCAGTGTGTGCAAGGCGAGGATTTACTTACTAAGACATTGTGCCTGGCCCCATCATGGTAATTTTAATGATATTTTAAGAGGAAATCTGTATAAACAACTATTTCAATGCTACTAGAAAGCCAGATAATTTTGAAAATTACTGGTAGTTAAAACCTAGTGGCTAAAGTCCTTGTATTGCTTTCTCTGGGATCCCATAGCGGTGCCAATTCCTGTCCTGGCTGCTCCACTTCCCACCCAATTCCCTGCTTGTGGCCTGAGAAGGCAATCGAGGATGGCCCAAAGCTTTGGGACTCTGCATACGTGGGAGATTCAGAAGAAGCTTCTAGCTCCTGGCTCTGGATTTGCTCAGCTCAGGTCGTTGCAGCCACGTGGGGGTACAGCTGTGCATGGAAGAGCTTTCTCTCTGTAAATCTGACTTTCCAATAAAAGAATAAATAAATCTTTAAGAAAATGAAATATATGGGCATGGTGCAAAAACCTAGCAACTAAAGTCCTCACCTTGCATGCGCTGGGATCCCATATGAGTGCCGGTTCTAGTCCCGTGGCCCCACTTCCCATTCAGCTCCCTGTTTGTGGCCTGGGAAAGCAGTGGAGGATGGCCCGTAGCCTTGGGACCCTGTGCCTGCGTGCGAGACCCAGAAGAGACTCTGGGCTCCTGGCTTCACATCAGCTCAACTCTGGCCATTGTGGTCGCTTGGGGAGTGAATCAGTGGATGGAAGATCTTTGTCTCGCCTCCTCTCTGTATATCTGACATTTCAGTAAAAATAAATACATCTTTTAAAAAATACACTTAAATATTAATATTCTCTCTCTCTCTCTTTTAAGATTTCAATATGTCCATGGCCTTACTTGCTCGCTGGAGAATTGCCTTGTAATGTTTAACCTGCTTTTCTTTCTACCCTTTGACAAGGCGCTTGAGGCGCTCTGTCTGGGTGAGTTGTCTGTCCTTGCTCTGTGCACATAAGTGGGTGTAGTACATAGCAAGAGAGACCCTCCAGCACTCTTTATCGTTCCAGACCACAGGCTCTTATGGATACAGAGGCCTTTACCGGTGGGTGCTGCAGCCTAGTCAGAGCGACCCCTAAGAACCCTAACCAGGTCCATCCCCAGCCCTGGCCCTCACATACTGGTGGTTGCTGTGGTCTAGTTGGGGAGACTCCTAAGAACCCCCGTTAGGCACGCCCCCAGACCTGCTCTCACCTACCCTGGCCAGTGCTGTGGCCTCACTTGGCTCAGCCCGCCCCCATCGCCAACTTAAAGCTAACTTTCGTAAATCAAAAAGTAAGATGTTTTTTAAAAAATTTATTGATTTGCTTAAAAGATTGATAGAGAGAGGGGAAGAGACAAAGAAGTCTTTCATCTGCTGGTCATCCTGAAATTTCCACTACAATGAGCTAGGCCAGACTAAATCCAGGAAACTAGAAGTTGCAGGAACTCAAGCACATGGCCCATCATTGCTGTGTGCTGATTGAGAAGTACGAAGCATTCAGGTCTAGGTCCAGGCACTGCCTAGGGCTTGTGCCCATTCCGAGGCAGCAGCTCAGCCTGCTACGTCTCAGTGCCCATTCTGCGATGGAGAGGACGAGCGCCTGAAATGTGGAAGTTTGCTAAAATGGAATAAATGGAAGGGAATGTGTTCCCAGAAGGAGAAAGGAGGAATTTGACTCCTAGTGAAATTTTCTGAGGACTTGTTTTAGAAAATTACCCATATCTGTATTTATAGCCTGGTAATTTTTTTTATAAGTCTGGTAAATTTGACTAATGTGTTAATGTTAAATTAAACTTTTTGTTAGTAGATGATGAATCTTTGAGAATGATTACTAATGTTAGTGTAATTATTTTTATATAGTTTTTTTCCAGAAAAGAGCATTTAATTATTAAGTGACTTATCAAATTCTCAAATGACCTATCAAATTCTAGGGCATTCACATGACAGCTAAATACCTTTTAGGTAGAAAGTTTTTTATTTGCAACACTTTTGCTCCAGAGTAGATGTTCTTCAAGGCATTCGATGTATATTCTTGCAGTGCTATGCAGGAAAATCCAGCAAGGACAGCCTGCGGAGGGTTGCTGCCAACGCGCTGATGTCGCTGCTGGCCGTCAGCAGAAGAGCGCAGAGACATGCTCTCAAAGGTGAGTCTCAGACACGTCTGTTGTCCTTCGCTGCATTTTGTTTTCTTGCATTTTTGTTTTAATTTTCCATGGAAAGAAATGTAAAGAATTTGAGTATAATCTTAGTTTCACTGAAACAATTCTATCCAAATATTTTTTTCCTGCTCAAAAGCAAAGAAAACACTGATTACTCAGGAAATTTCCTTAACATTTACTCATCAGAATTGTTTATCAGCGGAATGAGTAAAGCGGATGTGGTTCACATACATACACAACAAGCACAGTGAAATATTATTTAGCTATAAAGAAGCATGAAATCCTGCCACTTACATCAAGATGGATACAACTAGAAGGCATTATATTTAGTGAAATTAACTGGACATGGAATGAAAATTATCACATGTTCGTTCTGTGTGGGAGCTAAAATTAAAGACAAAATAAATGCCTGTTTATTAATGCTGTAAATATACTTTGTCCTACTTTATTTTACTTTGTTGTCAAACCAGTGGCTAATAATGCTATGCTATTATAGGTCCGGTGACTTGGGATTATTTAAAAATGCACTGCATCATGAAAAATACAAAAACAAAAAAAAATAGTGTGTATACTAATGAAATTGTTATCTTTTCATTTGATTATTGTTTATACCTTTCCCTGAATTTCTGCTGACCTGTGGTCTTTTTACTTGTTAGTTGATGAACAATTTAGTGGAATGTTAAGCCTTTGAGTTTAATGTACTTAAGACTGTTATGGAAAAAACTAAAAGCAGAAAGAGAAGGAAGACAAGTATCATATTTTCATTTTTTTGAGATTTATTTTTATTAGGCAGATTTACAGAGAGGAGGAGAGAGAAAGATATTTCTTCTGCTGTTTCACTCCCCACGTGCTCACACTGGCCGGAGGTGAGCTGATCCAAAGCCTGGAGCCACGAGCCTCCTCCAGGTCTCCCACACGGGTGCAGGGTCCCAAGACTTTGGGCCATCCTCAGCTGCTTTCCCAGGCCACAAGCAGGGAGCTGGGTGGGAAGCAGAGCATTGGGACACAAACCAGCACCTACATGGATCTTGGTGTGTGCAAGGCTAGGATTTTGCTACTGAGCCATTGTGCCAGGCACTTGTATTTTAAAAATTGTATCTATGAACAGTGCTGAATCTGTTCTGTTTGTATTTATAGCACACTGATGTGAGAATTGTGTTATTATTATGCATTTGCTGTGACCCCAAGTTTTTAATTTATTAATGCCTTCCTTTTTTAAAATTTTTTTTTAATGTTGCTTGGAGAGAGAATGAGCATGTTCTTTGGTTTGTTCATTCCTTAGACCCCCAGAAAGGCCCGGGCTGGGGCAGCAGGCAGAATCAGATCAGGCCTGCCGTGTAGAAGCAGGGACTCGAGCAGTTGAGGTATCAAACATTGCTTCCCAGGGTGCATTTGCAGGATGCTGGAATCCAGAACAGAAACAAAAGTGAGGCTCAGCACTCGCACGTGGGACCCAGCCCAGACAACGTCCTACCTACTACTGCACTGCTTGCCCGTTCATTGCTTTCAGAATAAACAAAGATGTGCATGCAGATGATTTATTTAATGTGAATCTTATTCTGTGTACATAGTGGAGCAGCTAAAAGTGATACAGTATTTAGTTTTTTGCTATTTTAATATTAGTATCCACACATAAACACTGAATGCGTGAAGCGAAGAAGCACAAAGCGGATGTTAGAAATGTCAGCTCAGATGACATTTTCACATACATTTCCTCTCTGGTGTTGTAATTTCCCATCTGGACATCAGGAAACACATGTCTGATGATTGAAAAGAACAATAACAAAATCAGATTCATTAACTTCAAATATAATTTGCTGCTAAAACAAGTTACACATGTCTCCAAAAATCAATTAGGTTTGGGGAGTATCATACCAATAAGTGAAAACATGGCTTCAGTTCACTCTTCTGTTTACTCTGAGTCATACCTCTTCCTGAAAACAAATGAAGTGAGTCAGAAATATGAAGTGTTGGGGGGCAGTGTTGCAGTGCCTCAAGCTCATCTGCAGTCTGCAGTGCTGGGTTCCCATATTGGGACACTGGTTTGAGTCTCAGCTGCTCTTTTTCTAATCTTACTCTGGTAGCTTGCCTAGGATGGCAGTGCAGGATGACCCAGGACTTGAGCCCCTGCTGCCCATGCGGGAGACTCAGATGGAGCTGGAGCTCCTGTCTGCTGCCTGGACCAGTCCCAGTCAACTAAGTCATGGTGGGGTGAACCAGTGGTGGAAGATTTTGTGTGTCTTTCTCTCTCTCTCTTCTTGCTCTTCTTACCTTTCAGATAAATAATCTTTAAAATGGGAAGTTTTTTTCTTTATTGTTAAAATCTGATTGTTATTTGTGATTCTGCCTTACTTGGAAAGGCTCGTTTTGACTGTTGCAAACTTTGTCTTTCAGCTAATTTCATAGAGGATTGTGTGGGGCAGCTGAAGCAGGTCCATGCACAGCTGAGCCTGGATTCTCTCAGGCCTGGGAAAGCAGCACTGAAAAAAAAGGTGACTGCATTCTGAAATTCTGGTCTAAAGAAATGAATGTGGACTGAGATCATCTCTCCAGTGCCCTTGTGCCTAAGAAAGAGTCCAAGTTCAAAGTAATGTTTGCTTTAGTAAGAAATTAAAGGGCATCTGCACGTTAGCAGGTTGTGGGCTTTTATTGTTTTCACTGTTCACTTGAAGATCTTTAGATGGGATATATACCTGATGCAGTTTTGACATAGTATTTGGAAATACCGATATGGGCAGATAATACTATATCATAAACTTGTTATGTTGCCAAAAAGAAAAAAAGATTCTTATTAGCGTGAAAATAGGTTCACTTAGGAATGAGATCTGTAACTTAGTGTAGTAAGTGTTTATGCCAGGCAGTGTTCAGGCATTTCGTGTTAATTACCTTATGAACAAACCATTCATGACAGCGTAGTTACACAGCTAACAAGTGTTGATGCCACAACTTGCCTTCGTATTGGACTAGTCACAGAACTGGTGCTCTGAGTCTGCCTCCTGTGACTCCTGCCTGCCCCTTCCGCTGCCTCTGGTGGACTAATGTTTAGAACTGGTAGTAACATAGTTGTATTGTAGCTGTGGTTAATAACAACAGTGGTTAATAGAATCTGTTCCACAGTCTTACTCAAAAGATAAATGTGTGTGTGTGTATAAATGTATGCAGAGCCAAGGCTTTAGAATACATGGAAAATACATGTGATGAGAAAACAGCATGGGCTTATGACTTTTCTGCACCAGAATAAACTTACTTTTTAAATTCTGTCTTCTAGATTTTGTAGCATCCTCGTACACAGTAAATGTATGTAGAAAGGCCATTCATTGTAGCAGAATTCTGTGTGATAGTTCATCCCCACTGTATTTGTTAAGAAGTTTAGACAGTCTATCTAATGATGTCGTTGATGCAGTGGATTGATTATGTTCGTCAGTTTCCTTTCCTGCCTCTTTTCACCTTTTGCTCTTTAGCCAGAGGCCCTTATTTCATCACTGGGAAAGTCAGCCCACACTCGGTGTGATTGAGGACCAGTCAGCCTGGCTTCCCTTTATGGAGATGAAACATAGAGGCTATTACATATCCTGAATTCCTTCATGCTTGACAGAACAGAATAGCTTCTTGGTGGTGATGGTGTCCTTGAACAGTGGCCGTCATTGGAGCTGCTGACTGGATGGCCTGCACAGTTGCAGTGCTCAGGCCTGTGTGGAGTGTGCGCTGTGACCCGGGCAGACATGGTGGCTCTGTGTGAAAAGGGGAGCATGTGCGTGTGTTCACTTGTTCACTGCTTTGTGTTCAAACAGGAGGATGGTTTGAGTAAAGAGTTGAGTGTTACCATGCAGCTCCTGAGAAACTGTCTTTATCAGAATGAAGAATGTAAAGTAAGTCGAACTCCATTTCAAAATTTTTAGAAAAAAATGGAAAGCTGTTTGAATTTTCATTTTCTGGTTTTCTTTGTGTTTATTAACTTTTATGCAGAATGAGTAGATTTCACATTTTGCTCAGTATAGGTTTAGAAGCATGGGGCTCCCTCCCCCCTTCCTCTTCCCTTTCTATCTCCTTGCTGCCTTTTGTTTCTTTCTTTAAAATTTTTTTTAGCAAATTATTACAATAACACATTCATTCACTTCACAGTAACAAGCTTATACTTTCCAATATTTAAAGGTATCACAACATAGCAAGTAGAGCAAAAATTAAAAGTTAGAATTATATGTAATAACAGTAAGATAAAATAGAAATGGAAATGTGCTGTTCCGAGTACAGACACCCGCTGTGCACAGCACTGAGCTCCCAGGGCACTCATGTCCCTGACAGATTGCGCTTTACCGTCGTGTGACGGTGGGGCCTGCCTGGCCTGTGTGAACGGCCTTTCTGATGTGCTGGTAGATTCAACTACTTAGTGCTTTGTTGAGGATTTCCTTGGTAGTTTTACTGGGAAGTTCTCTCCCTGTGTTGTCTGACTTGGGTGGTTCTTGCTCTCCATTTTTGAGTGTAGCACATGCTTAATCATTGCAGGGCTAGGAGGGAGGCAGTGAATTCTTTCCATTTCTGTTTGCTTTGGAAAGTCTTCATTTTACCTTCTTAGGAAAATGAAAGCTTTGCTGTGTACAGTATTCTGGGTTGGTGGTTTCATTTAGGACCTAGATTATGTATCTCCACTCTCTCCTAGCCTGTAGGATTTCTGATGAGAAATCTGCTCATACCCACCAGCTCCTGAGTGGTCAGTAAGCAAGTGGTACTGTGAGCGTAGCCACTGGTGACTGTCTGGAATTAGCCCACCGTGCAGCGAGCCTCCCCCACACCAGCACAGGAACTGCACCGCAGATCTCATGTCCATGGGAGCACCAGATCCTGCCATGATGAAGTGTTGACCTTGTGACTTACTAACAAACTGGACTACTGTGATGATGTGATAATTATTGGAAAGGCAGATGTAGAGAGAAGGAGATACAGAAAGATCTTCAGTCTGCCCGTTCACTCCCCAGTTGGTCACAACAACTGGAGCTGAGCTGATCCAAAGCCAGGAGCCAGAAGCCTCCTCCGGGCCTCCCATATGGGTACAGGGTCCTGAGGCTTTGCCATCCCCGAGTGCTTTCCCAGACCATAGGCAGAGAGCTGGCTGAGAAGTGGAGCATCCGGGGCATGAACTGGTACCCATAAATTTGTGCAAGGTGAGGATTTAGCCACTGAGCCCACCATTTCAGGCCCTGGGTTAATTCTTTAATGCAGAAGTACTGTGGAAAATGAATAAAGCATAGTTAAATTAGAGGCTTCCTGACTTTTTCAATCCCTTAGCTTTTGGCACTTCTTTGTGGCAAAAGTGGAAGAACTCTTAACTGGAAAATGAGCATGCTGAACACGAAATCCTTTGGCTATGTTAATTAGGCACATAAGTAATTTATATTTTGAAACAATTTGATGGATATTAGCATTTATGTATATCTTACTAAGTTTTCCAGTATGTTAACTTTTTATCGAAATAGAACTTATTGAATTTATGATGTCAGGTGATATTGTGACTGGATATGGTCAGCATTTATCCGTGACGCTTTACACACAGAATACTGTGAAGCATTTCCCAGGTAGAACCTACCTGGAAGGAATTGTGAGATATAACCTGGCTACTAGTTATAGTTTACATATTCATGGATAGGAGGAAGGGGCTATGATAGTCCAGGAAGAGATTTTGGCAAGGAAGAAGAGAATAAATTTGATACCATTCTAAGAAAGAAGAGAAGTCTGGAGTGACTTCCACACTCCAGACTAAGTGCTTCCCAAGCCAAGAACGCGTGGTAGAGCCGGACAGGCTTGAGAGTTGGGTCCGGGTGTGCAGATGCTCATGGAAGAGCTCTCTGCTGGTGATCCCTAGGCTAGATGAGTCTAGGACTCTGATGAGTAACATAGGCTGGCAACAGTGGGAGCTTGTGGCTGTGACCAGGAATGAGGGGTTTTTTGCTTGTTTTTAAGAGAGTGTATAGTGAAAGCCCAGGTCCTGTGTTTGGGAAATAAATATTTCAAAGGAAGCAGAAAACAATTGAGAACTGACCACTGAAGACCAAGTTTGGAGATCTAGTACAGAGCAACAGCACAGAAATGGAGAAAAAAGAGCTGCAGGAAATGCCACGCGTGGGGGCTTGGCATCTGCAGTGCCCGGGTGATCTGACTAAAGTCAGCCGGGCAGGAGACAAATGGGAGTTAGTTGAGAAGTGAGTAAGATGCAGAAATAATAGCAGGAGATCCCCATGCTAGAAGCTTGGTCATGAAAAGCATTAATTTGGGAGTATGGTGTGTTTATTTTTCTTCACATTTAAACTGATTGAGTACAAACAGAAGAAGAACCAGTTGACTAGTGATTATTAAAGGAACAGGAAGAAAAGTGGTCCCCTGGGAGTTGGAAGCAGTGTGTCCCAAGTGCAGATGGATGTATCAGACTGACAGAAAGATGAACACTTACTCCTTACTGCTGGGCAGACAGGAGGTAAATGGATGGAACTACAGATCCTGTGGTGAGAAGGGCTGAGTAGGGAGAATGTATACATATTCTACACCTGTTTTCTGTGAAATGCCAAGAACGATTGTGTGCTGCACATGCGGGAGTGTATGCCAAATTCCAGAATGGTGAACACAGACCTTTGCGAAGAGCACAGGGACATCTTCAAGCTTACAGAGAAGGCTGGGCATTGGGTATAACCTCCCACCTGTTCTACCGCTTGAAGCGACCAAGTTCATGGGTCTGTGCACTCGTGAGCACATGGGTATACATTCTACCCCGTAATTCCTGTTGACTGAAAAAATAATCACTGTACTAGACTATTTATAATATTGTCCTGGTAGTACTGGTCTTTGTCATAATGCTATGAGTTAAGAATTTATTAAGAGTAATACTGTTTGTAACAAATTACAAAGAGTAACTTATTTCTGATACATAGGAAGGTGGGCAGACGGGTGGAAGAGGGCTATTCAAAGCTGGGAAGGATTTTAGTCAACCAGAAGTTCCTATTTCTTACCTATAGTAGAACTTTTGAGTTTACTCAACATCGTGAGCAATCACTCTACTGCTTTATTTATACCTGTGTGAGTGGTTTTTTATGTTCACACACAAGTATCCTGTCCTAGCCCCTCTGTGTTGGAGGGAGTTTTGAGGGTTTCCCAGTTCCTGTGTCAAATGCACAAGTCCATCTGCGGGACCCTAGTGCCTCTAGCATTCAGCAGAACACAAATACATTTCCATCTTGTTTTGGTGGCTGTTTTCTTTGGGTTTGGTTTAGTGCTTGCGTGTATTCACACTGGCGTGTCCCTGTCCTCTTCCCACAACAGGAGGCAGCACTCAGTGCTCACCTTGTCCCTGTGCTGCACTCTCTCTGGCCTTGGCTTTGGATGGATGATTCACTGATGCAAATTGCCTTGCAGCTGCTTTGTGTCTATACTGCCAATTTTCCAGCTGGTAAATATAAACCCATATTTTCCAACAGTAACCTGAAATGCTAGTTTTGTAGGATGCTGTTAAGGTAGATTAGAAAACTAATACGTGTTTTGGAGTGTTTCTTCTGCATGCTGAGCATATGTCACCTATTGTAGGTATTGTAAGAGCAGACAGCATGTTTGTTGACATGAAAGAGTCGTTGGACAGTCAGGAAGTAGGGAGAAAATGGCTTAAATATATGGGAAATAGACCTAAAAGGAAGATTTGTTAAAAGAAGAACTCAGGGGTTCAGTTTGGTCATGTTAAGCTTAAGGAGTACGTATAATTAAAGTGAAAATCTTAGGTTGGAGATAAACTCAGCAAAGAGGCAAAATGAAGATAGAAATATTTAGAATTTTCTTGGTTATCTATTACTGAATGACAAATTGCTCTAGAATGTCATGCCTGTAGCGAGCAGTCGTTGAATTGCCTTACAGTTTCTTTGTCTACCTGATCTGGAGGTAACTTAGCTGAGTGGTTTATACTCTGAGCTCTCACAAGTTCAAGGTGAGGCACCAACTGGGCTCCAGCCACCAAGGCCTTGCCTGTGATGGATCTAAAATGGTGCTGGCAGCCTCAGTTCTTGCCAATTGGGCTCTTCCAGCCTGCATTTGTGAATATTACTAGTATGCTATAATTTTGTTCCAGAGAGATGTGCCAGCACTGTTACCTTATGCTGGTCACAGCCCTGACACAGGGAGGAAGGCTCTTAGGCGGGGGCACAGGAGCCATTTGGAGTCTGACTGCTTTGGTACTCACTGTCTTCCAGATGGCATTTAGTTTAAAGCCCTGGGGCTCTGAGTTGGTCTAGAGACAGTGTCTAGCTGCAGAATGACCAAGTTCTGGAATATGTCACTGGTTGGAGTTGATTGAAACAGGAGAAACCAGCCCCAAAATGACAGAAAGAGCCAGTGACACCTGTCTGTGTGTCCTCTTTTCCCTGAACCTTCCTTGTTCAGGGCTTGTTCAGGAGCAGCGAAGAGCTGGTCACTAAAAATTAAGCAAAAGAAACATATACCTCAGTATGACTCTTTTGAAACTATAGTCTGCATTATTTCATAGTTAAAGTCAGTGTAAATATCAGAAATGTTTAGGCTACATAAAATTGAGGAAGAAACATTTTCCTCTCTAGCTTGTTTCTAAACAAAATTGCATTATTGATGACAGTTTTGTGTAGTTAATGGAAATATTGATATTTCAATATTGCTATAAAGTTATGAAAACAGGAAAAGTCTCTGTTCTTTTTTACTTGTGTACTTTTTTAGTTTCTTTGGCATGTTGTATTTGATTCTATCCTAATTAATACTGAAGCTGGTCTCCTTGCCTTAATATTCAAGGTAAATTCCTTGGGTCTATGTTACAATACAGTCTTTGATTGAATATGAAATAAAAAATGTATTTGTAATTCTTCTATGATTATTTTTCTCCCTGAATATATCTCATTTGGTCACTTAATTTATCGAGGAGGCCCTAGCCCCTGGCCAGCCAGTGGAGGCCCTAGCCCCTGGCCAGCCAGTGGAGGCCCTAGCCCCTGGCCAGCCAGTGAAGCCCTAGCCCCTGGCCAGCCAGTGGAAGCCCTAGCCCCTGGCCAGCCAGTGGAGGTCCTAGCCCCTGGCCAGCCAGTGAAGCCCTAGCCCCTGGCCAGCCAGTGGAGGCCCTAGCCCCTGGCCAGCCAGTGGAAAGCCCTAGCCCCTGGCCAGCCAGTGGAAAGCCCTAGCCCCTGGCCAGCCAGTGGAGGCCCTAGCCCCTGGCCAGCCAGTGAAGCCCTAGCCCCTGGCCAGCCAGTGGAGGCCTCTCTAGCTCACATGCTTGTGATCCCTGTGGTCGTAAGCCACTGCTGCTTTCTGAGCTCGGTCTCCATCTGTGTAGTCAACAGTGTCAGCACTGTTCCCTTGAGCCCAGGAAAATTATGTCCCTTACTTATTTCAGCATTTGATCCGATTACTTTTCATATCATAGTCTTTTCTGTGCAAGCCTTTATTTAGATGTCATCATAAACAATTTTTAAAAAGTATTACACTTACTGTTTTTTGGGGAAAAAAAGCTGGTGTCCAAAAATGCTCTGAAACACAGGGCTGTCTGTGGTGATACCAAGTGTGCTAGGTTAATTTATAGTTTGCAGATTAATGGCCAAGTCATTTTGGTAGACAGATATGTTTTACCACTTTGTATTTTGAAAATAATGAAACTGGAAAGATGTTGTCATGCCCTTTCCTTTGAAGGTTGCAGTTCTCTCTGCTGGTCGAGTTCTGGACAGCACCCTGCTGCAGCTGCGCACAGAGGAGCCGCCAGCAGCAGCCTGATGCTCTGCATCTTGAAGCTGGCTTCCCAGATGCCCCTGGAGAACAGCACCTTACAGCAGATGGTCTTCATGTTCCTTTCCAACCTGGCCTTGTCTCATGATTGTAAAGGGGTCATTCAGAAGGTGCGTACATGGACTCTCTTCACATCATAAAAGAAAACCCGTAAAGTAATTCTTCCAATCGAAATTTAGGATTCAGTTTCTAAGATTAATTTGTTATGATTTCAGCACATTTTAAAAAATCATAAAAGGTTTCAGCCCTTTGCTTAATGTGGATTTACTTAAAGTGACGGAAACTGGAATGTGATCGTGCCATTCCTTTTAGCTTATTTTCTTAGCTTCTGGATTCCTTCGTCTGTCAAAAACAAGGGTTTCTCAATGGCAACTGGCTTACATGTATTGGAGATCATAAAAGTAATGTATTTGGTGCTTTAATGGACCAAACTAAGCAGTAACAAGTTCAGTTTGATTTACGTTGACAACATGGTTTTGAAGTCAGAGTCCTTCTTCCTCTTGTTAGGACTTCAGCTTTATGAAATAATGGGAGATTTTATTAGTTATGTGGGACTTCATTTCCAAAACTTTTTGGTATTGATTTTAACTTACGGAACTGTAAAGCAGATGGATGAGTTAAAACAAATTTTTGTGCATTGTGGTTGGGTTCTACATTTAGATACATATAAACACAAGCAATAACTTAGAAAATTCCATAAAAATTAGATGTAATCAGATTACTGTTATTTTACTAGAGATAGCAGTGTTTCTTTTACCTGAATGCCAAGATTGTTGCAGAAATTGACAGCATTCATAAAAATTAAGCCCCCCCCCCTTCCTTTCCTATTCAGGTCCTTCTGAATGACTCCCAAGATACTTGAATGCAATTAAAAAATAAATGGAAGGAGGGCCTCGCACGGTGGCCTCATAGCTAACGTTCTTGCCTTGCATGTGCCAGTATCCCATATGGGTGGCAGTTCATGTCCCAGCTGCTCCACCTCCCTCCCATCCACCTCCCTGCTTGTGGCCTGGGAAAGCATCAAGGATGGCCCAAAGCCTTGAGACCCTTCACCCATATTTGCACAGGAGACCTGAAAGAAGCTCCTGGCTCCTAACTTCAGGTCTGCTCAGCTCTAGCTGTTGTGGCTGCTTGGGGAGTGAACCAGCAGATTAAAGATCTTTCTGTCTCTCTTTTACTCTGTAAACCTGACTTTCCAAAAAAAATAAATACAAGGATCAGTCTTACTAAGGAGTTGGGAAGATGAGTTTTCCTTAAGAAGGATGTTTTCAGTTATGTGCTGGAGCCAACTCCTCCTGCCTCATGAGTGCCAGCAGTGTTTACGGGAAGTTTGGTTTTGGAATCGGCAATGGTGGGAATGTTCATGTTGTGTAATCCACTCCTACTATAAATCACAGGGACCAGTTGTGAGTTTACCAGCACACAGCTAGATGTTTTCTTCATGCAGATGCGTGTGTCCCACACACATGAATATATTTCCTCCATGTGTGTATTCATGTGTGTGCACAAGAAATCCTCCTGATCTGGGTATCCAGGGTCCCTCCCAGTGAAGTCATACTTACCGACTACTTGCCTTGGGCTTTGGAAACTGTAGCTAGTGCTGCTGGCCGGCTCCCATTCTGTAATGGTCCGTTTCTTTCTAGCGTTACATTTTACACATTCAGCCTGGGAGGAATTGTCCTTGTATGTGCTTTGTTTTTTTTTTTTGTGTTTTTGTGTGAGTTATGTATGGAAGGCAAGGGGGAAAAGAGAAAGAGAAAGAAAGGGAGAGAGAGAGATCTGTCCAATGGCCACTGATTCCGTCTGAAGCCAGGAGCTGCTTCTACGTCTCATCTGGGTGGCGAGGAGCTCCTGGGTCATGTGCTGCTTTCTTCGGTACATGAACAGAGCTGGATTGCAAATGGAGCAGCCGGGCCTTGAACTGGTGGTATTCCTGTGGGATGCTGACATGGCAGGTCTTGCCTGGCTGCAGCATAGTATGGCCCTATTACTGTGTTAAAGTTTTGTAGAATGACATATAATCATGACAAACTATCTGTAGTGATTAACAATTGGTGTATAGAAATTTCTGCAGCATTTAAGTGAAAGTGAAATTTATCTACAGATCATTGAAAAAAAGTGTTGTAGCTGATAATGGTGATGCTAACACCAGAGTTCTTAACTGGTATCAAAGGCTGATTTGAGGTTTATTTTTTTTTCTCTCTATAGGATAGTTTTTAATGAGTAACAAAATTGCCAAAAGGCAGACAAAAAGAAAGCTCAAGAGGTCTGATATAATTTTTAAGTTGAAATTTCAATCCTAATATCCTAAATAAGCAAGACTTCAGTATAGTTAATTCAATCATTATTAGTAAAGAATTAGGAAGAATTACAATTTGAGAAATAATTTTTTATTTAGTTTTCTGAATTATCTTGGAAATAATATATATGGAGCGTTTAAAAGGAATTGGGAGAAAGCAAAATACAGAAGTTGGTGAAAAATGCACTGGCGTGCTAGTTAATTGGTCCCCAAGTGACTAGGAAGATAATGAAAAAGATTTCTTCCTGTTTACCTACAGAGTAACTTCTTACAGAACTTTCTGTCTCTGACGTTGCCAAAAGGAAGCAGTGGACATCTCAGTAACCTGACGGTGCTGTGGCTGAAGCTTCTCCTGAACATGTCGTCCGGGGAGGACGGGCAGCAGATGATCCTGAGGCTGGACGGCTGCCTGGACCTGCTCACGGAGATGAGCAAGTACAAGCACAGGACCAGTCCTTACATACCGCTCCTTATTTTTCATAATATTTGCTTCAGTCCTGCTAATAAACCCAAGATCCTGGCTAATGGTAAGTGTTCACTTCAGATCCCACACAAATGCACATATTCGTGTAAGTAGTTACTAATGGATTGTTCAGATGGAAAGCATTGTGTAAATAATTTGCCAAGTGCTTTTCAGGCACCCTTTGTGTTCGACGCACTGTGGAAGGCAGGGACTGTGTAAGTGTCAAGCTTGGCTCCCGTCTTTCCTGAGCTGCCTAGGTGCTCCTGAGGCTAACCAGTCATGTCATTGCAGTGACGTGCCGGTGCAGGAGGTGCCATGAGCGTGTACTCTCTAACCCCGTAATCTCCCTCTCCATGCTCTCTGAGTTTAACTCATCGTGGCCTCCTCTTGGTGTTTCAGAAAATACCACCATGTCACCGAACTTTGCTGTTGACTTCGTAAAGCTGAAGCCTCCGTCAGTTCTTCCGGTCTCCTCCTTTCTCTCATGCCCTTTGTTCTGTCTGCTGCCACGCCCTCCCAGCACTGTTCGCATCTGATGCGCTGTGTGTGTGTGTGTGTGTGTGTGTGTGTCCGTCCGTGTCTGTCCCTGGACTTCCCACACTGGAGCCAAGCTCTCGGAGAACAGCTTCTGTTTTTATCTATTTTGTTTGCTTGGCCCTGATGCTCAGGTTTGTATCTGTCACCAGTGAGCTCTCAGTAGACGCTTGTGATGGAGAGAGGGCCGGAGCAGGCAGGGCCCAAGAAGACCAGGCAGCGGCTCAGCCTTTCAGAGGGTTTGTGCTCCAAGACCCAGGACGGAGGAGGCGAGAACTGCCCACGATGCAGGAACATTTTGAGGGAAACTGAGAAGTGGAAAGATTTGTTTTGGCAGTCATTTGCTCTATCTGTGAATTTCATGTGAAGAGCGTTTTTAAAAAAGCATTTTGTTTGAAAGGTGCATTAGGGTAAGGAAAAAGAGGAAGAGAGGGAAAGACGGGTGGATATGTGTGTTTTCTATTTGCTGACTCACTCCACAAGTCACCAGGCCAGGCTGACAAGAGGACCTGGAACTCCGTGTAGGTTGCCCACCTGGCTGGTAGGGACCCAAAGGCTGAGCCATCACCTCTGCCTCTTTGAGTGTGCACTGGCAAGATGCTGGAATTCGACGCAGGGCTGAAAGCTGAGCCGAGCACTGTGATGCAGCAGAGGGAGTCACAGTGGGTTCTTCGCAGCTACGTCAGACACTCAGAAAAAGAGGTGGGCTGTGACCCCTGCACACTTTTAGTCACAGCCTTATGTGTGCGCATTGCAGTGCCCTTGATGGGCACTTTCTTTCTGTGCCATTTTCTTCGTCTAACTTTCCGTCTATAATCGAGTTCTCTTGATTTCAATAGGAATTCGTTTATGAGCACATAGTAAATGTCTAGCACCATATTTGGAAGTTGATAGATGAACAAGATGGATACATTCTTTTTTCCTGTCATATTTTTCACTTAGTATGTTTTCTGTGAAAATGATTCTGTTTTAGGACTTTTATGCATGTAGTAGTGATTCTGCTTTCTGATAATCACAGAATTGCCAGAAATATTATGTAGAAAAAACTGTTAAAATCCAGGCAAGTTTTGAATTACCAAGTTAACCTTGTTCTCCTAGCTGCTTGCTGACACTGCTGTCTGTTACTGGGAAACCCACATAGCTAGTTTGTTGCCTTTTTTTCCAAAGATCCACTTTGAATTCTCTCCTTTCTAAAAGGTGGATGATGATGGGCTCTGCGTCTGAGCTTCAACATGGTGTATAAAGTGCCTCTTTCCTTTACAAGTACATAAGAGCTACTCAGTAGTATCTCGATTTTATTTACTTTTTCAGGATAATTTTTGTCCTTGATGACTTCTTATTAAGCTAGTATTATTGGGAGAGTTAGGGAAAAACGATGAACTTTTAGGGAACCAAAGAAGTCTGCATTTTCCATATCCGGGTTCCTCTGGATTTATTTCCTTGTAGACATCAGTGCTGTCTCTTCTTCACTGACTTAAAGCACGTGGGCAGACTGGGTGAGAAGGAGCTGCTCTGGCATGCCCCCAGCTGCCAGCACAGTTCTCTCAAGGCAGGGATGAGCCCAGGGCAGCTTGCTCTGCCTTCTGGGAGGAGCTGCTGTGAGATGTGTAAAGTGTTGCCTCTCTCTTGTGCCTGGGGCTCCTTGCAGGAGAACTTACTGGGGTTGACTGGTTTCAAAATCTTTAGTATCACACATACTATGCCTCACGCAGGAGCACCCAACCCTACATCTGTGATGGCCACGAGACCTTCCTCCGCCCTCTCCCTGTTAGGAGTGAGGTCAGACTAACATCTCTCCTCAAAAATAGAGAATGGAAAAAATTTAGATTGAAATACTGTGCCTGGACTGGTAAGAAGTAATAAAGCTTGTTTTTTGTTTTTTGTTTTTTTTTTTAAGATTTATTCATTTTTTTAGAGAGAGAGGCAGAGAGTGAAAGTCTCACGCAGTGGTTCACTCTGAATTGTTGCAGTGACCAGAGCTGAGCTGAGCTGAAGAAGCTGGAAGCCACTGGTTAATCCCAGAGTCTGCCATGTGGACACAGTGTTATAGTGTGAGACAAAGACATTTTCCATCTGTTGAGTCTCCCCAAATATCCACAATGAGTGGGGTTAGGTCAGGCCAAAGCCAGGAGCCTCGAGTTCTACCCTGGTGTCCCCCAGGGGTTGCAGGCGCTTAAGTACTTGGGCCATCCTCCACTGCTTCCCTGGAGCATTGGCAGGACACTGGAGCTGAAGTGGAGCAGCTGGGGTGGGAACTTGTGCCCACTGTTACAGGTGACTGCTTAACCCTCTGTGCCACAGTTTTGGTCCCTAAATGTTTTTTAAAAGGGTTTAACTGGTATAGTACTTCTTGATTACTGTTTTATATAGCAGCTGTATAAGTAGTCTAGTGTTTCGTGATTACTGTTGTATAAGGCAGCCATATTCTTGATAAGTTTGTGTAACAATCTTTATGATTTTATTGTGACAGCAAATCTATTTCTCTATAGATTGTGCACTATAGTTGAGAAACTCATTAATATACTTAATTGTAAACCTATTTTTGCTTTCTCATGGTCATAAAATGAATGGGGTTTTCTTCAGTTAGGGTAACAAAATGAAAGGAGCCTCAGCCACTCTGACCATTCTGCTACCTTCATGAAAGCAATTTGTTTTGAAGCTGGACTTTCATATAGCAGGAATTGTAACAGCTTATTTTTGCTATGGCCTACTGCTACCAGTGTTGTGTATCTGTTATGGTGGGAGCTTATGGGAACTCTGACTAGTTGAAGATAAGGACTTTATATGATGTGTTTCTGTTTTTTAGAGAAAGTCATTACTGTGTTAACAGCCTGTCTGGAGAGTGAGAATGCGAATGCGCAGAGGATTGCGGCGGCTTCGCTGTGGGCTCTGAGTTACAATTATCACAAGGTCAGTGTGAATCGTTGCCGTCCCTGGTAGGCAAATAGCCAGGCCTCAGGACGTAGGCAGCTGTGGCAGAAGAGTGTTGGTCACATGAAAGCAGGTGCAGTCGCAGCTCCACGGCTCCTTCCTTGATGCACACAATTAATAAACTGTCAGTTGGCATCCTTTTAGTTAATTTTTAAAGCTGAATGTGTCAGTTCAGAAGAATGTCTCTGTTTTAAATGAGTCTTCCTATAAATTGGTTGTCATATTGTTATAATTTAGTGATTATTTCCTTTAAAGTGAGTGTTAAGGAAAAATTCATTTTGAAATAAAACCAAATCCTAATGTTTTATCCAGTCATATGGTTCCTCTTTTTGAGTACCACGTCCGAAGTTAGCTCAGTTCTTAAGAGATGGCAGCTCAGAGCCTGCCCAGAAGTCCTCACAGGCAAAATGGGTCCTGGGTCTGCCCTAGGGCCATTTCTCTCATCACTTGGGAGAGATTCCCACTGGTGGTTCCATGGTGACCCAGCCCAGTGTCTGAGAGACAGCCCTCCCCAAGTGGTTCTGTCAGCTGGGCAACCCAGGCAATCCCAGGGCGGCCCCCCACCTCCCATCATCACTCAGTAATGATTGGTTGGTCAGTTGACCGACTTGATGGCTTCCTGTCAAATCTGAGGTGTGAGAAAGATGAAACATTAAATCTAAAATTTCAAGCAGCAAATTGTGATTAAGGGTAAGAGGAATAAAAAAGAACATGAGAGCAGAAAAAGAATCAAATTACGTAGAAAGGCTATGGACAAGACTCTAGGCGGTACGGGGGTTTATGGTAGGATGGCACAATAGGATATTGTGTAATATGTAATTCTATAGTTACATTATTGTTTTTTATAGCATCTTTTTAAAGACTGTGTAGTTAGCAGTGGACAGAATTAGTATCCTGTTTTTCCAGCCCTTAACATGTTTGATTAAAGCTAAAATTTCATTGTTTGATATTATCTCTAGGCAAAAACAACTTTGAGGAATCCATCAATAAAAAGAAGAGTGGATGAAGCATATTCTTTAGCAAAGAAAAGTAAGTTTAATGAAAAGATTACAATTAAACTTATAAACAGGTGAGTTCCTGGATTATTTAAATATTTGAACAAGGCTTAACAAAGTGATAGGCTCACACTTTTTTGTGAGGGTTTGAGGACTTTGCCAAAACAGTGTAAAATGTGCCAGTATTTTCTTGCATTTGTCTGTAAGAGTTAAGTAAAATATTGTGAAAATGAAGGCACAGTAGTGTCCTGAAACATGTTTCTGATCTTTCTTCTTCTTTTTCCTTATTAATTTTCAGCTGCCACTGAGCTAGTGTGTGTTTTGGTGGTGAGAACTGGGCCCAGTTAGCATTGACTTCAAACAGAACACTTAACGTCAGGGAGTTCTGTTGTGGCTTCCCAAGACTACATCCTTATTCTCTTAGGCCTGGCCTGGTTCTCTTTGCAGAGACACTCGTGTTATGTGGCTTCCCAAGACTATATCCTTATTCCCTTAGACCTGGTCTGGTTCTCTTTGCAGAGCACTTTCGTGTTAGGTGATACCAGTTTCAATGAGTAGTATTTGAACACACTTTTACTCATCTCACTGAACTGTGTGACTTGCCTGTACTATATAGGTATGAGTTGGTTATTATATAGTGTTCTAGTCTGATTTTTTTTTTAGAGAAAGAAGTTTTTGTTTGTTTTTTGCTATAACCACAAATTTCTGGAGCTTTATAACTGAGTTATCTGTGCTTGAGGAAGGGTAGACATTTTTAAAAAGTAATGGTGTTCACTTGGAACTCTGATGAATCATCTGTTTAGTACCCAGCTAGTATTATTATGGGAGTATGTTTTTGAAATACTCTTTGGCTAAAGTATTAATTTGAAACAAATATAGTTTTTTTGGTTTTCTAATATTTAGGTATAAAGTATTTTTTTAATGCATTTTCATTAAGAGCCTAAATTTGTATAAACCTTTGTATATAAATCAATGTATTTGTTTGTGACTACTGTTTAGTACTAATTTTAGAAACTGATATTTTTATACTGTTGTTTTTCCTTCTCAGACTTCTCAGACTCAGAAGAAAACTCCCTAAATGCCTATTATTTGAAATGCCTTGAAAACCTTGTGCAACACCTCAACTCTTCCTGAGAGCTGAGAGATAACCCTGAGGCTGACGACCACGCCAGGGAGCTGAACTTGAGGCCAGCACTGTGCAGTGACTGTTTCCTGAAGATACACATGACTGGCAGGTGTTGAGCCCCCTTTTCCCTATGAAAAATAGAATGGGCACCGAGGAGAGGAGCAGAATTGGTGACAGCCAACTTTGTTCACTCCTGGCATCTCTAAACGTGAGAGCAGCAAGCAGGAGGTTATGTAAGATGGGTAGAAAGTTTTGGGAACGTAAAACATTTTTAAACTTGTCTATGCAGTCTTTTTTAAAACCCTATTTAAGTTATTTAAGAAAATATTTTTAGAAACTGAAAATTTACTAATTGCTTGCAGACTGTTTTCAACCTTATGAGTGTAATTTTAGAAATTGAAGGAAAACATGTTCTTTTTTGTCTTTTAAAGAATTTTGCCGTGTAATTTGGCCGTTGCCAAAGCAAATCCTTCGATTTCAAACTTGTATTGCATTCAGCGTTTTCATGAAGGAATGTGTTTCTGTGCATATAAATTTGTGAGTAGCTGCCTCACTCAGTTCTCAGTGCTGTTGTCTTTCTGAGTCATTTGTAAAATAGTTACATTTGCGGTTTTCCGCTTGGAGCTTCTGGTAAACAAGAAGGTAGTAGAGTTGTGGTCCTGCAGGCCTGCATTCCAGTTCTAGCTCAGTCCTAAACAGAATGAACAGCAAAAGCAGGAAGTATTGGAGGAACAAGTTCTGTGACTACTGCATTTCCAACTGGCCAGCGCGCAGCTGTGAACCCAGTACTGGGACTGAATTCAAGTGCTTTGACAGCCTTCTCAAACGTGAAGGAATCTGAAATGCATAACATTTTTGAGCACTAATTTACGTATGGTTGCATAGATGTGATCATTCTTAAGTACAGAACAAAAGCAAAAATAGACAAGAGGGATTCTGTAAGCCAGGAGGCTCCTGTGCAGGAAACACTCAACCTGCATCGGATAAAGGATTAACATGCAGATTATATAGAAAGCTCAAGAAGCTCAAAGCAAGCAGTCCAGCCAGGAAATGGGCAGGGAACAAGAATAGAATTTTTTTAAAGCATAAATTCCAAATAGCAAACAGACACATGAAAAAATGTTCAGGATTACTAATCATGAGGGAACTGCAAATAAAAAACATAGTGGGTTATCACCTCACTCCAGTTAAAATAGCTGTTATCCAGAAATCAAAAAAACAAATGCTAGTGAGGTTGTAGAGAAAAAGGTGCCCTAATACACTGTTGGCAGGAAATTGTGAAAAACACTATGGGATTTCCTCAGAAAACTAAAAATACATTTATCAAATAGCACAGCTATTCCACTCCGAGAATATTCTTAGAGGAAATGAAATCATTTGAAAGAGATAGCTGCATTCCCACATTAACAGCAGCTCAGTTCACGGTGCCAAAGAGATGGAGCCAACCTAAATGTCCAATAAGGCAGGTTTGAATAAAGAAAATGTGTGCGTAAATGATGGAATATTGCTCAGTCACAAAACAAGAATGAAACCCCCACTTCTGCCACAAAATAGACGGAACTGAAGGTCATTACACTGAGTGAAATAAACTGAACCCAGAAACATCTCACACATGGAAATTAGCATATAGAGAGGAGATAAAAAGTGAAGGTCATATGATTTGGTCGTTTTAAAACTGCTTCACTGAATCAGACCACATGCCCCCATTCTCTTCTCCATGTTATGATCGTTTCCGTGAGCCCCTGACTGTGATGTTGATGTTTCTGCTTTCAAGAAAAACAGTGTGTGTGTATTCAGTGTTTACACATGAAGCCAGTGCGACAAAATGTAAATTGTGAAATAATAAATGGTACTCAATTTAGTGAAATGGTATTTTTATATTTGTGAAAAATACAGGAAGAATACATTAACTACAGATTTCAGATCATTTTAGATTTTGAGTTTTTATAATAGAAATGCTCAACTGAAAACATTTTCATGTTTTCGAAATCTGAACTAGAATCTGAAACACTCCTAATCCGAAGGAATACTGTAGCTGCAGTAATCACGTCCAGCAGTTTCCCCAACACTTTTGAAAGCATGAAGTGAAAATTGTGTCCAAGAAAAATTGAACACACACTTACTTAGAGGTTCTAGAAAAAACTCATTTTTCTAATTGTGATTTATTGGTTAGCAAGAAAAAACATCCCCTTTCATGAGTGCCTATAGCAAACTGCTAATGTTAAACCAGCCCATGTTATGCTGTGTATACAGGAAGGATCAGGACAAAATGTGTGTTGTATTGTAGAACACGTAAGTTGTAGCCTGAGAATTAGTGATTAGAGATCTGAGAAGTGTCTAGGAAGCTTAGATTTTTCTGAGCAGTCCATTTAACTTGAAACAGTAAACGCGCCAGTATTCTGGAAATCCTCCAATACTAAAATCAGACATCTTAGAAATTTTTCTCCGAAGTCTCAGATACCATCCTGAGAACTTTCAGCATTCAGTCTTTTCCTCTAAAATTCCGTTATCCTGAAGTCAGAGGTGCCTGGAGAGAGAACGTGTAAGTGGTTTGCCTGTGGTCTGTGCCTGGTGGGCACTTGGGACTGGAACCCAGGACACTTGGTAAAGCCTCAACAACCTCAGTTACTATGCTATACGGCTTTGTATTTCTCCCCAAAAATCTGTCTTTGTGTTTTGATCCTGAGAGGTAACCACTGTTTCCCTACCAAAACTTTGGTCTCTTTAGGAAAATGATTGTTTCCTTTATGAATCATTGATGTTTAGAGTTACATATCTGGGTTGACTATGTCTCGTATTTTTGGGAAAGGAAGAGTCCGAAGTATTCTGCCTAGCAGTTCATGGTAGTGTCCTGGGGAGGGTTTGTAATGCAGTCATCAGAACCATTCAGAGATGTTTCCTGCTGATGCCCGGCAGGACTACAGACCACGGGTGAGGAAGATGAGCAGTGACTTTAGGGAAAGTTGCGCTTGGTTCTCTTGGTGTCCGGGATTATGAACCTCAGGGGCTTGCACAGCGCGTGTCCTGCGTGGAAGACGTTGAAGCAGAAGTCCCCTAAGTTGGTCAACTTGCCCCTTGAACAGCTGCCTCACACCCAACCTGGGCACACAGCAGCAGGTTCCTGGGAACTAGTGAGACACAGATACCACTGGACCTCCTGAGACCGACTCAAGTATGTTCATTGTGAGTTGACCATGTAAAATGACCTGGAACGTGGAATTGACTTCATACTGCTTAGCTACTTAGTGGTGGAATCAGCACTGTCTTATGGGTCTCCTGAATAACAGCCGTTCTCAGATGTCCCGGTGTTTGCAAGTTCCCAGAAAGTGAGTGTGTGTACTACTTTGTACCCCCATCATCTCCTTTTTCCTTTCCCTAACATTCTAGCTGATTGGGTAAGTCAGTGTCTGTTGGCTGCAGAAGCGCATAAAAACTGTCGTGTGAACTCTGGTGCTAAGGTTTCTGGATTTCATGTCTTGATCAAGTTGGGGGAGGAAGGAATCAATGATTTTGGAAATAAAATCAGTAGAATAGAGTTATCAGACCTAGCTGAAGCATTTCCCACTCATTCCAAACACGTTTGAAGGTGAATGAAGGACGTGCTCTGTAAAGAAAGGAGGGAAAACAGAATGCCTTCTGCTGGACTCCAGCTCACGTTTCCCTTTGTGGTGTTGAACTCATTACTTGTATTACTTTTCTGTCCTAAGTGTTTATAATTGCATCTTAGTTATGCCCCAGTTTTCTCTGGTTACTAAATTTCCAGACCTCCTTCTTGGCTCACGGTGTTCCTTATATTTTGCATAATGGTAGAAACCTTGCTTTGTCCTGGCCAGTTCTCAACGCATGAGAGAGCATAACAAAATTGTTAATAGGCAAAGCCTGTGGAGCTGTTGGACCTGGAGTTGGTTCAAGGTGAAGGCTGTGCTGTTTCTGCTGTTTGAGAGGTAAGAATACCTTAATGTTGGTGGGAGAAGAGACCAGAGTTGATTGTCCCTTAGATTTTACCATCACTAGTACTATGAAGGTAATTCAATAATTGTGTAACTTTAAATAAAACATGAAATCTTCTGTGTCCTTGAATGGTTTCCCTCTTTGGAGGGGAATGTGCTGCAAAGTAAGTTGAGCTGTGGGAACATTCCAGAGGGTTGCAGTTCCTGTGCGGATGCATACCACTGGCCTGAGATGACTGGTGGTGCAAACACCTGCCCAGACCTTCCTGGGAATCTAAGTCTGCAAAGCATTGCTCACTAAGTTTGAGATGTCTTCAGCAAACTTATGGAAATGCATATGATGGGAAAACTGCCTACAGCTGAAAGATATTTTAGCATCAGAATAATATCACATTGTAGTAACATGCCTGAAACTACCCATGTGGGCTGTATGGGAATCTAACTATTGGCAATGCCACCTCAGCTTTCATTTGATTCATTTCCTGTGTGACATATTCCTTGAACTCCTGTATTACACATGTTTCTCACTGTTGATAAGAAGCTGAGTGTTTTGAATTCTGTATCCCCCATTTTCTCAATGTATTCCTCAGTTAACTCTGAGGTTGGCAAAGGGTTTTGCTCCTTTGCACAGGAGTCTTTGTGCCTTTGTCTCTTCTCGGTCATTGTGCTTCTGGTTAGCAGATTCTTCTCCTTGGGACAGGTTTCTAAGCTAAAGTAGTTTAAGTTTTCTGCTTGTCAGGCTATTTTAATGAAATAACAGTTGATAAAATACTGCCGTTTCTCCATCTGACTTGTGAAAACAGAAAACTAAAATCATTATGTCAGAAGCCAAAGGATATGTTAGCTGGAAGAACCCCTTAGTTTGGAAGAAGCTATTTTATTTTCTGTCTTACGTTGATAAAGGTGATGCATAATTGAAAGCTATTGGTTAAATGAAGTAGGAGATTTAATTTTGGGAAATTAGTTTATTCTTTGAGTTATTCCTCATTGAACATGCCTTATAGAACTCCAATAATACGTCATGTGGGACTGTATGAGAGTGTGCTGGGCTCAAGGTTCAAGATATATAAAAGACTGCCAGGACCCTGGGAGTTCTGAGATCTGGCAGCAGGACAAAGGAAGGATCTCAGTGTGGTGTTTTGAAACGTTCCCATCCTTGCGTTTCATTGGCTCCTTTCTGTGCTTGAAAATCTGCTTTAGAAAAAAAATTCTCATTTTTAGGAAAATAATTCATAGAAACTCAATAAATTTCTCTTTAATCTTACATGAAAGCCAAGAGGAAAAAATGTGTTTTAACATAGATTCTGAAGAAAAATGCTTCCCAACATTTCTCTGTTTGGTAACATCTTTGCTTCTGCTGATGACTATACCTTCAGGGTGGCTGTGTCGCTTGATTCTCCTGGGAAGTGAGACTCAGCATTCTAATAGCCAGCTGCTTAAAAGTTACATGTAAACGCCAGACATTACTTATTCAAATTCTTCATTAGAACATTCTAACTTTGCCTTACTATGGGAAGAAACAAATAATAAAAATCAAACAATGTTTTTAAGTGTTTTCTTGTCCTATTCATAAATTGTGGTTTAAAAAGTCTGTTTATGTATATGATACTTGCTGTAAATTAATCTTTTTGTATGTGGTAGGATGAGCTGTGAAATTTTTTGGTAGAACATCCAAATTAATAGTGACTTCAGTAAGAAAGGAGGTTTCCCCACCTTTATCTGTTTTGTTTTAAAGATTTAGGAACCTGCTCTCTTGCCCACTTCCTTTGAGTGTCCTCATGAACACAGGGAAAAGGAAGATGGGAGTGCCCTTCTCCAGCTTTGTGAAATCTGCTGAAGGTGTCTGAAAGACCAGCTCAGCAAGAGGGACCAGCATTGTTGCACAGCAAGTTAAGCTACGACCTGCAACCCTTTGCAACTCACATGGATACCGGTTCAAGCCCCAAGTGTTCCACTTACGATGCAACTGAATATTAATGGCCCAAGTACTTGGTCTCCTGCATTCAACTAGGAGATCCTGAAGAAGCTCCTGGCTCCTGATTTTAATTTGACACAGCCCTACTGTTGCTGCCATTTGGAGAGTGAACCAGTAAGTAGATTTTTTTTTTCCAGAACACGACTTGTGGAAATATTTTAGTTCAGTAGAGGAAGATGAAAAACTGCTTTGGCTGTGACCTGAAAATAAAACTAGTGCCAAGGTGAAATAGAGCTGTCAGACTAAACATCCGGAGGGTTTTTTTTTTTTTTTTAAGATTATTTACTTAAAAAATTACAAAGAGGGGGAGACAGAAAGATCTATTCTTTGGTTCAGAGATGCAGTGGCCAGAGGTGGGTCAAAGCCGGGAGCCAGCATCTGAGTCTCCTGATGGGTGCAGGGGCCCAGGTACTGAGGCTCTGTTGCTCTCCCGGGTTTGTTAGTAGGAGGTTGGTCTCAAAGTGAACAGCGGGGAATTGCATGTCTGTGAGATGCTGGGGCTGCAGGCTGCACTGCAACCTGTGGCGCCGTCGTAACGCTGGTGCCCTGGGTGCGTGCTCACCTGGATCTTACTTGGGATGATATTTTTGAGAGTAGAGCATAGTTATCCGCCTTTTTGAAAAATGGA